GATTTTATTTTACAACAAGTATTTATGAAGTTGTAAAATAGCATTAAGTATTCAAATTTATATGTTATGTAGAAGATCCTTTTCTGTGTTCATAACAGTTTATCAAAGGATATTGATCAAACATAGAAAAAATTCAACAAAATTTTGATCTAAAGAAGACCACACTAATTAAAAGTTAAAATAATTTATTTAGACGCAGATTTATTGAGAATGCCGCTAACGAATTTTGCCAAAATATACATCTGAGCCCCAAAGTTTTTAAATATTTCCTTTCCTAAATAATATACTCTTTTTCCAAGACAACATGCATGACTATAAAAATGTTAAATAATTAAAAGAGAACCGATGCCATTGGTTCCATGCTACAAATAAAAATCAGGGCAAACACAATCCGTGTTTTATAAAATAAAACGGTTAATGTGCTACCTGAGGGTTTGATAGAATAACCAGGATGTTCTGCCTATGAATTACGTTCGAATGCAGTAAACAAGTGGAGAAAACTGACGAGGTGGGGGAGTGGATTTGCGGGTATTTAGATTTGCGACTCTGTGAATTTGTGACAGTTTACTGGATTTAAAATAAATAAATAAATACATAAATAATTTATCAAATTAGAAAAAAATAATAATTGCATTAATAAAAAAAAATTTTTAAAAAAATGTAAACAGAAACGAAAAAACTCAATATCAGCGCTAACAACATTTACTTATTTTCGTTTATTAGGAATTAAATTTCATCACTTAGCACCTTCCATATATTACCTTAACTTTCACAGTTCACCTGAAGGATATTTATGAATATTCTTAAGTTTAAACATTTTAATAATAAAATGATATTTTTACTCCTTTTTATAAATATCTCTTGTAAAGTTAAATCCTTAAATTTACCCTGATAAAGTCCATCAGAGGACAGAACACGTTGGTAAAGGAAAGTTTTTACTTCTGTTTTTATTCATATATAAGACACAGAGTGTGTTGAAACAAAATGGCTATTTTTGTAGTGATTTTATAACATACTTATGTTATAATTTTTTATAAAAAATAATTATATATATATATATATATATATATATATATAAAAAGAAAGAACAATAAGATATATAATCCGGTGTTCTTATAGATATTCTTATTTTTACAAAATAGTGCTCAATGTAAATTTACAGAGCATTAATATTATAAATTAATTGATTTAAAATATGTTTATTTTTCGCTTTTTTGCTTTCGCTACACAGTTCTAACCATGTTTACTGTGTAGCTAAAAAAACATATTTTAAATCAATTAATTTATAATAAATAAATATATATATATATATATATATATATATATATATATATATATATATATATTTATATATTTTGGTTGAATAGATGTGAGTTTGTGACCCTGGGTTTCACGCTTTAGCGATCGTCAGACAAACTGATTAATGTTTTAAAAAAATTGGGTTTATGCAGATTGCGTGTATTGGTGTTATTGTGGAAGTGGTGGGGGAAATTTCGTCGTTTTGTCATTCATCGTACTAACGCAAACATCGATGTATGCAGACACATATACATACTTGGTCGTCCGTCGGGACTCATACATATATAAACATATGTGGGCAGTTTCGGCTATGACACATGTATGTATACGGGTGGTGTTATATCTATACATACGCATTTGTATGTTGAAATGTTGAAATTTAAACACTGGAAGTGTGGCGGAAATGTCTCGTTAATGTATACATGTCATATGTATTTTCCCGCTGAAAAATATTTCCTCGCATGTATGTATATGCATGTGGTGGGGTTTGTGTAAAATTATGATAGGTAAAAATTATTATTTATATTTATTTTTTAATTTTTGAAAAAAATGGGGGTTTATTTGTTATATTTAAAGCTGGTTATTTGTTTTTGGTGACTGTGTATATGTAACAGGTAGAAATTTGTAATCCTTATTGGTTAATTTATATGGTGATGTTTAGTTTAATATTCAATTTGCTGGGTGAGAGGGTAGTTCAATTTAATAACGGGTCTATATGATATGATGTGATAGTAATGTTTCAAGGGATTGGAGACAATGATAGTTAGCTAATAGTTATTGTAAATTGATAGAAATTGTAAATTGGTAGACATGATTAGTAACGGTGGTGGGAGAATGATAAAACCATGAATGTAGTTATAGTGGTGGTAGCTTGAACTAAAAAGTGGTTGTTGGTGTTTTATTTTTGTTTTATTTTGTTATATGTATTAATTTATTTTGGTATAAATTAAACTGTATTATCGGAGAAAAAATATTTTTCTCAGTTGAGAATACGAGATTTTTTTCGTCACTAAGTTGACGTCTTGGCTTGCGAAAAACTTTGCCAAGTTTTTTTTTAAGTGTGAATCCGAGACTTTGTCGCCTAAGTTATTGTGGCGAGCGAATTTTTTCTTCCTCCGTATGAGTGCGAATTCTCGTCGCCAAAGTTGTTGTGGCGAGCGAATTTTTTTTCTTCCACCATATGAGTTCGAATCCCTCGTCGCCAAATTGTTGCGGAGTTATTTCGTAGTGGAGGCCTGTATTTGTACTAAATCGGTCCTAAATAGTTCGACGTACAAAACGTTAGGAACTTGATATAATAGGTATAACGCACAGTAATCCTGTTGTGGTCGCTGACTGCTTTCGTATTCGACTAACTGTCGCCCGACATCGACTGACCGTCGTTTCTCTTACTACTCCTACTTATATTAGTTGGGAGAGTCTATTAATTATAGAATAGGTGTGTTTCACCATAACAGAAAGTAAAAACTATTTGAAAGAAAATGTTGGTATTTTTTTAATAAATTTTCTAAGGTTACCAAGAAATTAAACATGGAACTCGACAGGATCACAACGAAAACTAATCGACATGATATGCCTTAATTATTTAACCACACCTGTTTGGATGAAAATATGCTGCTTAAATATACACAGCACAATACACACACACACACACACACATATATATATATATATATATATATATTGTCAGCATAAAGAAGAACCCAATGTGGGAATTACAAATTAAGGATACCAAAATGAAACAAGTACAAATATATATATATATATATATATATATATATATATATAGATATAGATATATATATATAGAGTAAATATTTTAGTAAAGGGCAAAAGGTGCGATACTAAAACCCAAAGGTGCATTTGGATAGCGAAAGTTGTCTTCCAAAACCTAAGCAAAGTATTAAGATACAGGAAAATAACATTTGAAACCAAAAGATTACTTAATTATTATGTAATATCAGTTGTCCTATATGGCAGTGAATGCTGTTCAAATCTCATCATAGATGAAGAAAACGCTTGAATCACTAGAAATGTGGCCCTACCAGAAAGATGCTAAGAATACCACTGACCGAACCTGTGAGCAATGTCGAAGTTTTTAGAAAAAAATGGAAACATACTTAACACCAGAAAGAGACAGAGTTGAAGTTTTTAGGTCGCAGAAAGGAGGTTCCTAGAAAATTTGATGCTGACAGGACATATTGAAGGCAAGAGGGACAGTGGGGGGGGAGGAATGTATAAACTACCTAAAATGATTTTGTAAATGGGTGAGAAGTCAGTGTTTTGGAGTGATAGCAAAAAGATAAAAATTACTAAGAGCTACAAAGGAAAGGAAATTGGGGAGAGCCATCATCATCATAATCATAAGAAGAAGAAGAAGAAGAAGAAAAAGAAATGTGGTCATTAAATGTGTTTTTTTTATATCCCACACAGGTAAAATATAGGAAAAAGAAATTGAAAATGCAAATGGAGTCTAAGAATATTTATTTAGATTACTTTTACCGGCTTCGAAGTCGATGATTTTCAAAAGTTAAATTGAGATGGAGAGACGTATACCATAAGTTTCGCATCTACTTGGAGAATTCTTTCCGTTTTATGCAAAAAAAAAAGGAGACCAGATTGTTATCTGGTTAAAATGCTGATGATGATCAGGGGAATTTTTACACCCAAAATTGATGGTCAGAAAATTTTGTTGACAAAATTTGGAAGTGTCATAGTTCAGTGAGCACGGCTAATCACAACAAAGTGTTAAGTCATTCAAATATCAGGAATTCTATTTTATTTGACATCAATGGCAATCCCAAAATGTTCATTGTACATAAGGATTACATTTGTGTGTGGGGAATAGCAATTTATCGCCTTATAATAATGATTCACTTAGTAAGATGGACAGGGATGTTACATTTACGTATGTGTGTGTGTGTGTGTGTGTGTGTGTGGATATTTCTTGGTCAATGTTCCTTGTTAGAGAATCGTTGAACCTCGTTCAAACTCTGGCAGAGACAGTTTGCGTTCCCTTCGCATTAACATCCTTGGGAAAACAATGAAGCCACTTCTCTCCAGAAGAACCTCTGAGTTTATAGCGGAGCAGCTGGAACCCATACTGGGCATTCAACATTCCTTGATTCTGGCACCATATATCCCAGTACAGACCGTTGTAACTTCTAGAGGAGTTGGACGCTTTCAAGTAATGTCCTATTGCCCTGAAAGCTATCATGAGATGAAAGTATTCAGGATAAGCCTAATATCTAATAGGTCATTGAAAACAAACAAACAAAAAAGAAGAGTAATATTCTATCTGCCAGTAATGCTTTTATTAATGCATGATCGTTTTTGTCACTTTTCAGCGCAGAGAATATAGATTGCCAAAAATTGCAATGAATTTGAAATTCCTTATCGCTGTTCCTGAAATAAATTTCCTATGGAAAATGTAAAGTGGATCAAAGTTTGAATGCATTTGTTTCCTCGATTTATTTCTATATTAAAAGGTCACATCCACATATTTAATGATTTTTTGCTTATTTTACGAACTATCATCCCCCATTGTGAATACAGTAATTACTTGGTTCTTTGTCTTTTAACAATTATTTGCAGGAAAATATGTATCAATGTTTACTTACTACAATGAAGGAATGAGAAGCTACCTCGTATCACAGCCTATCACAATCAATCGTAAAGGAAAACTAGAATTCTATTACTACATGGATGGCTCCATGCCGGGCGAGTTGCACGTCTCATACAAAGACAAGTCCTCTCCTCTGAATTCCTGGGATAAAAACGAATGGCATGACAATGGAGATCATGGTACAAGATGGAACTATGGCTGCATGGATTTGTACCCAGAACAAAAACAAAACTATAAAGTGACTGAGAAAAGAATTGTGTTCACTGGTATTACTGGAACATTATACGGAATTCACCTTGCACTTGATGATATTAAATTTTCCAATGGATCTTGTGAAAGTAAGTGCATTTTAGACTTTTGTCTCTCTCAGGTATATCAGTCTTTTATTATAGATAATGTTATGAGATTTCTATCCTCCTTATCCTCAGTATATTCACTTCATACCACTACTACCACTTTCATTCATATCACCCACTTCATATATCATAACCATTTCAACAGTAATCCTTTACATTGACTGGTTCTCGGGCCTTTCATTGAACTAATTTTAGTATATCAAAAAGAAATATGTTTATTTGATAAATTTCTTTAGGCGCTACAGTCACTAAGTTGGATCAAACTTCATTTGAGAAATAGAAAGGTATGAGTATTCCTACAACGAGAATACATTTCAAGTCATCCAACACTTATCGTTCAAAATGAAGACAAAATATTACCCAAAACGTTTTTTCGTACGGAGAGGGGCTATTAGATAAATCACAATTGATGAATTAAAACGATTTCAACCTGTAAAAAAGTTATTAACAAAATAGCTGTTTGTTCATTTGCTCTATCTTTTCAGTAACGCCTCGTATTAACTAAATATTGCATAGATAATTCCAATGATGTTATTAGACTAATACCCTTGAAAAATACTTTACACGGTGTGTCTGTGTATAAAACCACATTAAATGATGCAAGTAAATATCTCCATATACGAGCGTGTGAAAAAGTATCTCGGTTTACAACTTTGGAAAGAAACTGCAGATTATTTAGAACGTTCTTCTTTCTAACAGACGTTCAAACGATTGATTAAAAAAAAAATTTCTTTCGTAAAAGAAACAAGAAAAATCGTTTCATCTTCTGTTAACATTCTCTACAATAAACCCCAAAATAAACCAATCACCTCAGATACCACTTGGTTGGTTCGACGATGATTTTTGTTGATTAATTAAGGAAATTTTATTAGATTTCCTTCTTTTTGGTTTGTTGAAAGTCGGTGAGATTGTGATTGGTCTTCTACTAATATTTCACTGCCAATACTTACATTTTACATAAAACTTCTTTCTTGAAAGATTTTGAAAGCATGAAAACAACCACCGATGTAATTCTCTTCAAAACAAAACATCCCAATGTTTTCTTAAATCAGCGATGATAAAAATGTCCTAACGGATTTTCGATGGGGATGAGGAGACAAAATATTACACAAAACACTTTGTTGCATGTGAGGACTTATTAATGAATTAATTAATGAGTTAAAATGAACTCTGTCTAACCAAAAAGCTAGCACAAAACAATTCTGTTTGTTCATTTCCTCAAATTTTAAGAAGAAAGGTCAAACAATTGTCAGCCATATCTTGTATTAGCTAAATATTGAACAGACAACTATATTGATCTTATTGGATGAATACTCGAATTTTATTTTCAAATCTTCTATTAACATTCACTGGTATGAACTTCAAAGCAAATCAGTCATCTCAGATACCACATGAATGGTTCGACGATGATTTTTATTCATTATGTAAAGAAATTTTAGAAAATTTTCCTCATTTTGACTTGTCGGTGAGATATTTACATTTTACCTAAAACGTCTTCTTCGAAAGCATCTGCAAGCATAGAAATAGCCTTGGTAGCAATAAAACCCCTAAACTTCTTAGCTTCCTTAGGTATAGATGCTTGATTCATGATTTATGGCCACTTGAAACTTGGTGTCAATTTTTGCTGATTTCAAAATAGGACGATTTACCAAATTGGGAACTTTATAACTTTGTATCCTAAGAAGATACAAATTGATATTTGGTAGTTCTATAAAAACTACTAAAAGCTAAATTGTGGCGAACAAACTTCTTTTCTACAGTTTAGCAACCTATAACTATAAAGTTATAGGCTGCTAGACTATAGAGAAAAATGCTATTTTGCATTTTTTGGGAATGTGTTTTGCCACTCATAGAAGCTAAACCATAAACAATAGAATGAAAAATAAAGTTGATTATAATCATCCACTGTGAAAAACGTGAAAATATTTGTTTTACGAGACTTACAAAAGTTCCTATTTGACAAAACTTTGCAACCCGCCACATCGAAAAAAAAATCAAATTTTAGGACTTTTTCGAAATTTTGGCAAGTAGCGTAAACCGTTGAATTCAGGATTTATAATTGGGTCAATAATAAACCCATCTCTTATCTTTCACTCATAAAACTTAAAGGAACTGAAGTAAATTATGAATAATTTTGTTTCGAAATTCGAACCTATTTTGTCCCTTAGAGTCTATGATACAGTGAATTTAATATATATTTACTTTTAGAATATTGATTATCAGTCAAGTTTCTATTGTTTGACAGATTTTAATGACAATCAGCCTCCAGGTTTCTAATTCTGTCTCACGCCCCATTCCTAAATCGAAATTCTGATTGGCATGCTTTATATGTGAATGAATAACCTAATAATGGATGCTTTTGTTTAAAATTGAATAGGATTCAAAATAAAATGTTTACAAGGAAACGATCAATTTTCTTTTGCTGCACAAAGATCAACATAAATTATTTTGTTTCTTATTCCAGTGGGAATTGGCGCTCACGTTTGTACGTTTAATAATCCGAAAGTTTGCCACTATAAAATCAATTGTACGGCCCTTGGAGAATACACATGGAGAAGAATGCGTGGTTCAACTTTATCTAGCAACACTGGACCAAGCAGAGATGCATCAAAGGATTACAACGGTAACTTTTGATGTTGTTTTTTATTGCTTCAAATTGTATGTTTCCATTGGTTTATCTTTCCATCGATTCAATTATTTGAGGTCAAAAATTGTCAGTCAGTCGAGATATGATAATAACAAGATCATTTACTACTATCAAGGAACGGCTGTATGCATATCGTAAAAGGTATATGCATATTTATATATATATATATATATATATATATATATATAATATCTCACTTTGAGTGTTGGGGTTAATAATATAATTTTATGATTATTTTGATGTATATATTTGATATATTTTTATTTAAATTATATCTCTGTTTTTATAAGTTGTGTGAATGTGTGTTTTTACTTTTTCCATTTATTTATATTTATTCATTATATATGAATCTGTTGTGTACATTTGTTTGTAAGAGAAGTAATTTTGTTAAGAAAGGTGCAAATGGGAAAAAAACTGAGCGTAGATTAATATTTGGGTAATATTCTATGGCGGCACTCTCTAGAATTTTCCTTCTGAGTGAGTTATTTTCTTTTTTTTATGAGTGTAGCATTTTTAAAATCAAAATTATGGTTGAATTTATTTCTATGTATGACTAGTGCATTAGCTAAGTTGTTTTTTGTGAGGTCTCTTTTGTGCTCATAAATGCGTTTTTTTAAACTTCTACTTGTTTATCCAATATATTGAGAGGAACAGTTTTGGCATTTTATTTTATAAATACCTATATCAGAAATATTATTGCTATTAGTGTTTGAAGATCTTAATATATCCATAATGGTTTTGGAAGTGTTTGTGACTATTTCAAGATTATTTAGATGGGATAGGTTATTCTGGATAGTGGACGTGACAGAGTTGGTCGGTAGCATTATGTATCGGTTTTCATGTAATTTACTATTTTGCTTTGATGAAGTCCACATTGGACGAAACGCATCAGCAGTTACTAGTTTTCCTATTGTCATTTTTATTTTTATTCATAAATTTTGTCTTCTCTACTGCTTAAATCAGATAATTTTCATATATATATATATATATATACACACCTCGTAGATGATATAGACTGCTTCACTATTACGATAATCCGGTATATATATATATATATATATCATGTCATCCCATAAGTTCTGTCCGAATTTTGAATAAAGAAAACAAGTGACCAAATATTACATTTAATTACAGATTCAATCAACAATGTATTTTCCCTGATTATCTATGATTTTCTTCCATCTATTAGCAAGATTACTAATTCCATTACTGTAAATTTCTTTTGGCTTTGATTCGAAGAACTCACAAATGTCAGTTTTAACCTCTTCCTGTGTTACAAAAGCTGTTTCTTCCAAATGATTGTGTAAGCTACAAAACAAATGGTAGTCTGAAGGAGCAAGATCGGGAGAATAAGGTGAATGAGGAATTTTCTCCCAACCAAGTTCTTCGATCTTTTGTGATGTGATTCTTGCTGTGTGGGGTCGCGCATTGTCCTGATGAAACATCACCTCTTTTCGATTCACTAGAGCGTGTCTTTTTTTTCCTCAAAGCTTGGTTCAAATGCTCTAATTGCTGACAGTATATTTGAGCATTAATTGTTGCATTAGGTGGTAAGAATTCAAAGTGGATTATTCCTTGGCGATCCCACCAGATTGAAAGAAGAACCTTTTGCCCATGAAGTTCCCTTCTCGGCTGTGGCTGGGGTCCTTCCCCTTGACCAAGCCACTGTCTACGACGCTTAACATTTTGATAAAAGATCCATTTTTCGTTGCCAGTCACAAGTCTATCCAAAAACGCTGAGACAAGTTGGCGAGAATGGAGAGAAGAGCAGATGTCAACTCGGTATTTGAGGTTGTTTTCAGACTAATTCATGAGGCACCCATTTTCCAAGTTTAGGAACTTTTCCAAGTTGTTGAAGATGACGATGAACAGTTGTATGGTTTGAACTGAGAACCACTGCCAATTCCTCAGCTGATAAAGCAGGATTTTCTTTAAGGGCTGCTTCAAGAAGCTTTTCATCAAACTCAACTGGACGTCCGGTTCGATCTTCATCTTCAAGGGTGAAATCTCCACCTCTGACTTTTACAAAGCCTCTTCTGCAAGTTCTTTCATTCCCACATTCCTCTCCATAAACTGAGTGAATGTTTCTAGCCGCTTCGGCTGCTGAGTTTCCTTTCTTGAACTCATAAAGCATTATGTGCCTCAAATGATTCTTGGGTACCTCCATGTTAGCAGGGTTTTAATCAAACAAAATTTAATTTATTGTTCTTTGAAATAAAATTTGATCTGTTTATATGCATCTAAACATAAAAATAATGTTCAGCTCCATTAGACATTATAAAATACTCTTTAAATTTCGTTCATTTTAACGAAAAGTTAAAATTCGGACAGAACTTATGGGATGACCTGATATATCAAAATTTTAATTTTGTAGCGGTCAATTTTAACTCAGCATCTGAAGAGTGCGTTGTGCTTCCTTCTTTTTTTTTTTTTTTTTTTTTCTTTCTTTGATGTTGTCCACCCAGCTTTTGGACTGTCTCCCCCAACGTTTACTCACTTCCAAGGTATCTTGAAGACCGTCTTGGTTAGAGTATTATGGCGTATGACAGGTCTAAGCTACAACAGCTTTCTCCTCTTTACTTGTGCCAAGAGGAGCGCCTGGGAGGCTGCCAGTTGTGTTATTTGGCCTTGAACAAAGTCATTCGACTTGTTTTCTCTCCAGGTAACGCCAAGGTATTTAAAGCCGTTCACTTCTTTCAGTTGTCCTCCGTTCACTTTATTTTGGGGGTAGCACAAAATCAATAATGGAGTGATTTCGATTTTAGTTTGAAATTTGTTGTTTTTTGAATTTTGGATTTTTAAAAAATGGAAGAAACTAAGGTAGTTTGATTTCTGACCATTCACTCTTTTGCTATTCGTTAGAAAATAGTCACATGAAATCTAATTTAACCAACACAATTAATAGGCTTTCTGTTTAATCAACCAACGCATGTCTTAAAGCAAGGCTTATGATCGGTCTATATCAATATATAGGTAAAGCATAAAGATGAGGATACAGATTTTGTTACCAACATGTTGGTAGAATAGAAATGACAATTGTAACAACGTATTAATAGTTGGGTATATATCCTTAATTAAGGATCAGTGTCATTCAAATAAGTAAATTGTATTCACTCATAATTTATTCATTTTTCTAAAGTTTCAGTTTACCTATTTCCCATAGTTCCCTTTATTTAAAAATCTTTCAAAAATAAAATAGACTTTTCTCAAACAATATTTGAGAAAAATATGTTTTAAATTTTAATTAATCTAAATTATAACAAATAATTAAAATTAAAATAGACTTTTTTAAACAATTTTAGGAAAAACACATTTGAGAAAAAAATTTTAAATTTTAAATAAATTTAATTATTTTAAATGTTGGACATCCATAAATGTTTATACAAATTTATGATTTTTTAAAATAGTTTTAATAAAACCATAAAATTTTAAACTCTTGATCTTTTGATCTTAAATGAACAAAAAAAACAAAGGAATTTTTTTTAATGAAAAAGTTTCAGCCCAGCCAAGACATTATCCTACAAAACAAACAAACAACAACATGTTGAAACTGAATTTGCTTATTAGTTAAAAATTCCACACACATTTTAATATAATTATACAAATCGCGTAACACCATAATTATCCATTGCAGTTAAAAAACACAAAACATTGGTTTTCTTTTTATACAAGTTTTTAAAGACGTTTAGCATATTTACCTTGAAACCATTTTTGTAAGAATCACTGAAAACCTGAATTATTCAACTAAAAATAGTTAAAATTGATTTTGTCAGAAAATAGAATGAGAAAAAAAGATATCCAGGCATTCAGTAATGGTACTAACATTCATACCTTGGCTTCATGATTTCACCTTAGAGCTAAAGAGATCAATTAGAAAAAGACCCAACTCAAGCCATAAGACGTTTGGCACGTAAGAGAAGAGTTTCTGCTATGACAGTCCAAGGAGAATTGAAAAAAACTTGAAAATGAAATCGTACGTGAAACCTGTGAGGAAAGTTGTTACTCCAGGACAGAAAGATAGAAGGTTAGAGAGGGAGAAGATCATCTTGAATATGTTGGGAAATGATTCTGGCAAAATATATATATATATATATATATATATATATATATATTGTTACGAACCCCGATCTAAATTTATTATAAAAACTATACCATTGCTTATATTTTAGAAGCATTCTAAAATAAAGAGCCCAGTACTTGCAGAAAATGTAAAGATAGTAAACCCAAAGGGATAAGTAGATTTAGTGGCGACAAGGATTGACCAGAATATACCCTTTCCTTCTCTTTGGTCAAGGTGTTGACAGCATGATTTACGCGGATAGATTCCGGTTGGGGGAAGTTGAAATACTTTAAACTAAACTTTCTCTGACCCTGAAGATGAGAGAGAGGGTCGATGACCTCATTCCACCCATAATGGGAAAAGTTAGAACTTTGAAAATTGACCACGTGACAAAAAGAAAACGGAAACGAATAGGGAAACGGAAAAGTTAGTCTTGGCCTAGGCCTGCGGGCCGATAGGACGTCTGGCGAATGAATCAGCATATGGGCCGAAAAGATGTGTTCGCGAAATTGCGAGGAGAATTGGTCTCCGAGTGGAATGGGTGAACCCGTTTGACGATGCATGCGGAACGCCGCTAAATCGAGGAGAAAGAAATCAGTTTCATCTGTCACCAAGCCCTTAACCAAAGCACGAGAGGGAAAAGAAAGAAAGAAAGAAAGAAAGAAAGAAAGAAAGAAAGAACAGACCATCTCGAGCGAAAATGCTATTATACCAAGACGAAAAAGAGACGGAACACATTTCCTGCTTAATCGTCAGCCAACCCCCTAGACGACGAAAAGAGAAAGAGAGGAAGTAATAAAAGACCTCAAAAGGAGACCCTTATAAAAATAAATAGAAAAGGAAAAAGAAAAAGTAGATAAGAGACATTATTAGTGGAAAAGGAATTTATTCCGAGTTAAGTTTGTTGTTTTTCTTGTGCTCTGTTTTTGTTTAAATGTACTTCTTTTTCATGTTTGTACTTTCATGCAAATTTAGCATGAGATCTTTTTATTACATGTTTCTTTCAACTTGTCTTTAAATTTTTATGTTTTGTGAATCCGTGCAGGTATAGCACATGTTCTGTAAATTCGTGGGAGTATGGCACAAGGACATACGTTGATTTTTATTTTACCTTTCTTAGAGGATGCTCTCCTCACACTATTTTATCCATAATGTTTAAATGTTTAATCTTGACATATCGTCATTTTTGTTTTGGCCGTTTTTTTTTCATTTATTTTTATCTATTCCACGATTTCATGTTTGTTATTAAATTTATATTTCCTGTCACCATTGCTGTTCATCGCCTATTGTGTTTGCTCCTTATTCGATTCCGCCCGGCCGTGTCTGACCAATCGGAAAGGGACCTTTGGGAAAGAAATATATTTTACAAAAAAAACGTAATTACGATCCTCCTCTACCTCCGCTATCGATAAGGTTGGAGAAAGGAGAGGGGTCGTAAGAATATATATATATATATATATATATATATATATATATATATATATATATACTTTTATTTAAAAATCCTTAATGAGCTTCCGATTCTTAGCTATGATTAATTAATGATTAACATGCCATTTTTCGTTTATGATTATTCTGTTAAGCTTGGAGAGTAATTATTACTTATTACTGAAAGTAGAGTACAGTAGTATTTTAAAAGTCTCGGAGAATTCCAGTGAGATATCTTTAATCATTTCTAAGATATAACGGTTCTAATCTTAATCTAACAATTGGACAATTTTGCGGTTACACCCGTTATATATATATATATATATATATATATATATATATATATATATATATATATATAGGCATTCCCAACAGCGACAGTCTATTTCATGCTTAAATATACTGTTTGATAAGTAGCCACTAAAAATGCCGCTTATGTAAAAAAAATCTGTTTTATTAATAAATAAAATTCCATCCCTTTCCTTATAAATTGGTTTGTTTACGTTAGGATATGAAACTGAATAGATATATTTATTTGAAGAGTCAAAAATTAATAATAAGCAAGAATATGCAAAAACTTAAAATCCTAGAAGCCCTTTATGTAAGAGAATTAAAATCAATAACAAATAAACTATAAGTATAACAAGAAAGTTTTTAAATGTTTGTCGTAGCAAAGTTATATATATGTGTGTGTGTGTGTGTGTAATAAATACAAATTTTCCCTTCCTTACATAAGAAGAAAACCTCTTGAATTTGAATTTGACCTTACAACGCTGCAAAATGCAGTAAAACGAATAGGGAAAAATATTTTGAATTTACGGAGCTACTGAATATACACATCCACAGATATTTTAACCGCTGAAAATGGTCTGAGAATGAGAATGAAAGAACTTGGCAAAATAAAATTATTTGAAAAATATTTACTATTTTTCTTGATCAATTTTGTACGCCCACTATGAAATTAATTCAACTCGAAAGGATTAAAACTAAAATAAACAGCCATAATTCATTAAATTATTTAACCAAACCTGTTTGAATTAAAATATGTTTATATATATATATATATATATATATATATATATATATATATATATATATATATATATATAATCACGAAAACTTGTATATTTGTTATTTGCTATGCTCGTAATTTCCTGTGTTTAAAGTTATCTCCTTTGTACTGGTGAAGATAAATGAAAAGAACCAACACTGTGAAAGAGTAAAGTAGAAAAATTAATGATTTGTAAAATCTGCTTTGAGATTTACACAATAATATTAAGGACTTAAGAAAATATCAATTTTATAAATGACATGATTTTTGACAGTACTGGTAAACTATATCCATAAACTGATAAAGTGTGCCTAAAATTCGAAGATATATTCTATGTTTATGGAGCTCTGATTCATAAAGTAGCAATTCTAATAAAACTGTATATGGTAATGGTAATATTAGCTGTTTCCCTATAAGGAAACATTTATCATTATTGACCGAGCAGCCAGGACTTCATCCGGTTGAAATTTATAAAAGTTTCTCTCTAAACAATCTTCCAAGGAAATAGTTTTTTCAAGTCCAGTAGCTGTTATTGCTCTTTCAGTATTGATGGAGGTTTTTTTTCCTAACCTTTCAGTTGAAGTATTGTACAATGTCAACATCTTGAAAAACATTATTTTACAAGTGTATGTCTTTTCTTATAAATAGTTTTTGATAGTACGGTCAAATGCTTGTAAAATTTAAATTCACTCTTTTAGAAAAAATCATTAAATTCATATGCCGTATGTTTTCGACAATGTCTTTTTATTTAACTATTTTATTGTTTTAACTGTTTCATCTTGTCATTTTTATTTATTTTCTTTAAATTTCTGTATTCTTTTTCCTCACATTTCCGTGTTAGGCTTGTTTTCTTGATATTACAGTCTTAAGCCTTGCTTCGAGACAAGTATATACGTACATCTCTCGCTCCCTCTCTGTCCGTCTATCTATCTATCTATCTATCTATCTGTCTATCTATCTATCTATCTATCTATCTATCTATCTATATATATATATATATATATATATATATATATATATATATAATTATGTGTGTGTGTATACAGGCGTCTGTACGGTTTACCTGCTCATTAAATTGATTGCAAATTGTCGATCGCATATTTACTGGAAGTTTTTCTGGTATGCTATACTGACTGTTGAGCAAATATTGTACGCTCTCAAAAGGGTGGGGTGCATATTTACTGGCAAATCCAGAAAAAAAAGAAGAAAAATGTAAAATGCCGAAAAACACACACAAAGAAAACGATTCTTAGCCCACACCAATATTATGAGGTTGTCTCATTGTTCTCGTCCAGTGAAATTTCCCTCCTCCCCACCTACGAAAGCGCCATTAATATTCTGCTTCTGCCTCAAATTTGGTCAAAATCTCCCTATAGACTTCTTCTGTTGTATATTTTTCGACAATGTCTTTCTGTTTAACTTTTTATTGTTTGTTTGTTTTTGAGTTTGTTTTTGTTTTGGGGGATTTTTTTTTATCAGTTTCACCCAAGTAAAGCAGTACAGTCACTAATACACAAGGGGTTACAGGTATGGAGCAATTAGGAACGGTATCATCAGTAAAAGATTAGAAAGAGAAAAGAGCATTCAGGGGGACAATAGAGAGCGATTGGCATTGCATTTAAATTCTTGCAGATTAAAGTTGGTTGGAAAGCAGAGAGGCAGAAGGGAGTTCCAGAACTGTTAGCGTATAAGTTACAGCTACATCTAGCTAGCTAATCTGTATACGGATGCGATCTAGCTGTCAGTCTAGTATTTCATTCACTCAAACTCACAGTCCAGGTTCCATAGGGAAGAGCTCATCCGAACAGTTAACAGGAAAGTATTTGTAAAAACAAAACAAAAAACAAAGCAAAAAAAAAAAAAGCAGCAGATCCATCTTGCACGTTTATAAATTTAGCCTTTGTCCATGCAATGGATATTGCTGCAAAATCTGATGTGGTACTCCTTCTATATATTTCGATATTCTTAACAAAATTGCTTGAGTGAAAGGATTCAAAATTATTTACAAATAACAATATATACTTTTTCAGGTTACTACTTGTATGCCGAAGGCTCTTATGGTAAAGCAGGAGACGCCGTATCCATTAAATTTCCAGTTAAAGACACCAAGGGGAAATATCTGAAGTTTAATTATCACATGTATGGTCAAAGTATGGGCAGTCTGCATTTATTCTACACTTCTGGACAGTCAAGCAGAGAAGTATGGCAAATGTCAGGCAATCAAGGAAATGTGTGGAATTTTTTCTGCAGGCAAATAAACGAGGAAATTGATGAGGTAAAGTTAGTTGCTGTCCGAGGATCGACATACACAAGCGACATGGCCGTCGATAATGTTTTCTTGACTCCCCAAAAATGTCCAAGTAAGTAAAAAGAAAATGACAAGAAAAAAAGAATATTTTTTGTTTTTTAATTCTTTCAGTGTTTTCATGATCCAGAATGTTTTCAATTTGCTTATTGATATTTTCAATTATAAATATTTATTAAAGTTCGCTTAATCTGGCAAAAGACCTCAAGAGATCACAACACTAACTCACGTCTAACTTATTAACCATTACACTCTGACACTTTCCCATTGTTGTATAGATACACTGATATACATGCATACACATACACTGATAATGTTTGAACTTGAGGAAATTTACACAAAGACTAAATTCAGGAAGAACCTAGTCAGGAATTGGCACTAGCATGTGAGACAAGAACGACATTAACTGCGTTATATTTTCTATCCCAGAATATAAGAAGAAATTTTAGCAATTAACTGATTATATTTTTCAAGGTAATATGTTTAACAAGCACTGAAAAATCTATATTCAATATATATTTCAGAAAATTTGCTTTTTTTTTTTACTTAATCCTTTTTCCACATTCATTTATTTTTTAATTCCGTAAATATACGTTTTACATTTTCTGTTCTTTTTTTATTATTTCAAAATGAAAGTTACAGCAGCAGGATATTAACTGATAAAATGCATAGGATTTGGAGATATTCTATGTTTATCGAGATCTGATTCAGAAAGTAACCATTCTTATATAACTATATATAGTTTGATGTTATAAACAGTAATACTAAAATCATTTTCAATCGCAAAAAAAAAAATGATATATAAACAACTGATAAAGTGTGCATAGAATTTGGAGATCTAACATTTTAAATTGAAATTCATGGTACTTTTATTTTAAAATTATGTTGCCAGCCCTGTTTATCCCAGTCTGAGAAATTTATCGGTCTGCCAAATTTTTCTAAATGAACTGACGATCACTTTTCAAATCGTTGGTCACATGTCCGATTTAAATTCTTAATTTATGATCAAGGTAACGGGTCATATATTGACCTTTTGCCATTAGAAAATTACGCAGCGCTACTGACTTTCCTTCAACAGTTTTTAAAAAATGACTTTTGCTCTTATTTCCGATTTTATTTCAACATTGCCTTCATGATTTCAGATTCAGTCGACTGTAACTTCGAAAACGGAATGTGCAACTACACAGCGACTTCTTCCTATTACAGATACAAATGGACCCGGGTATCCGGCACTGATCATACATATGGTAAGTAATAATAAGTCTAACTTTAGTTGAGTTTATATAGTGTGCTCTGAAATGATGTATCCATTTATTATTAACAAAAATAAGAAATCTATCAAAGTTAATGGCGTCTTAGACTCATTCAAAGAACTCCCCTTGGGATCTTACACATTGATCCCTGCATTCACCCCCCTTTCCGAAAAGGTCAGCAAAATTCTGTTTTTGAACAGGCATCTTAAATATTTTCATTAACATTTTTTTGTGATTTTCAAAACTCACACACACACACACTCAAAACACACACACACACACACACACACACACACACACACACACACACACACACACATATATATATATATATATATTTCGATTATAGGTGTAGTTCAATTTATAATTACATGAATCATTCATAAAAAAACAAATATAGAGGTTAATGATTCATTCTCGCCATTTAATTATATATATATATATATATATATATATATATATATATATATATATGTATGTAATGGATTTTTAATTTATTAATCCGGCAGACTTTATCACTTTAAACGTTATATTTTTGTTCTACACTCAACGTTTCTTAACTTCGGTGATCCTGTGTTCAGATAGGCAAATAGTTAATATAAAGCAGAAGCTGGTTTGGACCGAGAAGAGAACCTTGGGGAATGCCTGTATTGATCAAGTGGGCTTCAGAAGGCTGCTCATTAATAACGAATTTCATGAATCTACCTCTTAAGAAGGACTTGGTAATCGTTAAAACTCTTTGAGAGATTACACAGGTTTATGTAGAAAATCCCTATGCCACACCTTGTCAAAAGCCTTTCATATATCTAAGGCGATTGACCTTATGATGAATTTATTGTCTAGTGCAGGGGTCGGCAACCTTTTGCTGACTATGTGCCGACTTAGGGTTTTAAAATTATTCCGTTTGACAACAGCATACGTATTTTTTTATACAAGTCAAGGTCAATATAACTGTTGTACAATATATTTCATCTAGTAATATATTTTATATAGTAATATATTCAATAATATGTAAACCACATTAATAGAAATAAACTGATTTTAAATGTTCTTTGAAAAGATTATATTATTATTAGGAATCCAACGAGTGAGCAGTTTTGAAACAACTAAATATCTACCTTTGTAGTAGTTATTGGTTCGGACTTCGTGATGCCATTTGCAACTGCGTGTCATGGGAAATTGCTTGGTGTGCCACCTGGGGTACACGTGTCGTAGGCTGCCGATCCCTGGTCTAATGCCAGTATTAGTAAGTGAAAGAAAGGTGTTTTGGTGACTTTCAATGCATCATGATCGTTGATGCCAAATCTAATATATATATATATATATATATATATATATATATATATATATATATATATATATATAATAAAATGACAATAGGAAAAGTAACAAGACTAATTATCTTAGATTACATTTTAAGTTGAATCCTTACAGAGAATGGTTGTTTTTGTTTTGTCCCATGAAAACATAAAATACTAAGTCCTAACCAAATAAAATAAATAAATCTATTAACCTTATTTAATTGAAGTTAGCTAGTTATTCCAAATATAAAAAACAAACACACACACACACACACACACATATATATATATATATATATATATATATATATATATATATATATATATATATATATATATAAGAATATTTTAATACGAATAAAGTGCAGTACCGAAAAAATTCTATGGCACGAGTTCAGTTACAGCAGAAAATATTATTTGCGTCTATCTTAACTTATACTGTAATAAATGCTTAGTCTTCGAATTGAACAATACAGATTCTTTGAGGTTTTTCTTATTTACCAATCTTACCAAGGACTGATTTTCCTTTGTAGGTTCAGGGTATTTCATGAAAGCTTATTACTTTTGGCCCGAAGGTTACACGACAAACCTAACAACACCTATTATACAACAAACAAGCAATACTTCAAGTCTCCAGTTCTACTACAGTCGATATACTAAAAGTACAAGTAAATTCATGGTTCAAATTAACCGTTTATCAGGCAAACCAGTGATGAAACCCAAGCAATTTAATTTGGACTTAAATGGCTGGGTTATGGGCTGCATCGACCTTCCATCAAATGAACAGATATCAGTTAACTTTATCGCTGTAAGTGGTGGCAGAAATACATATTCAATCTTGCTCGATGACGTCTCCTACAATGAATCATCCTGTATCGGTAAGTTCAATTTGTACTCATTAAAAGTTACACTGAACCACAGAAACCCGCCACTTACAATACAAAAGATCTACTTAATGTCTTACTTCAAAATTAATTTTTCTTCTTAAATATAAATCTTTGGTTACCTGGACGCTTTCTTTTCTTTTCCTTTTAATTCTACATAGAAATTTCTTTTACAAACAATAACATAATACTGAAATCTTAAGAAGCAATTCGTGAAAAATCGCATGCAATTTTGAAAAGATGTTTGATTTATACGATAAATGGCGGCGAGGCAAAATGATTTATTCATGTAGGAAAATTTAATGCAAAAAGATACACAAAATAATGAAATATGGTTTCTTCATATTTTTTTCATTCAAGCTTGGATATTTGACTTTACAATTTAAAAATACTAAAATTTATAAATTTACATGATTCAATCGAGAATGTCTTTTTATGGCGGTTGGTTTATAAAACTGACTTTCTAAAGGTAAATATTTTCCAAATGAAAAATCCCAACTTTAAAATTGTGTCAAATTTAGTTTCTCTTGCCACCTTTTCGATAGTTTGGATGGTTTATAAGATGAGGCTCCCGCCTGTAAATAATAAAGCTATAAAAAGATTAAGTCACTTATTGAACGTCTATAAATCTATCACAATTAGCCTGTATGTTAACAGAGAGTGAAGCTTAAAGAAAAAAGAAAGAAAGCCCTTAAAACATACGGAAATTCACAAACAGATCAAATTTTCATAAAAGCAAGTATTTTACAAATTGAGCATCGTTTCTTTTCAGTAATTTTCTTGCTCATATTTAATATAAAAGCCCAGAAAATAAGCTCCAAATTACATAAATGCGTTCTTTAGATGGCCGCATCGCCCGATAAGATGACTAAACACTATTTTAGCTTTGACTGAAACAAAACTCATTTCGCTTTTGTCCTCCATGTCTCAATATTACATTATTTGTGATTATTTCAAAAATATTATTTCTTTTTGGTTAATTTTGCCGCGAATTCCTCGCTACTTACAATCACCAAATAAACTCAAAATAATGTTTGTTGTTTGTTTTTGGAGAATGTTTTATTTATCTTCTGATTTAATAATCCACGTCGTATGAAACCGTCATTATTTTGTATAATTATAAACGCATTTTTAATAAGTAGTGACTATTCATATATGTTTATATGCAGCAAAGTGTGAGTTATTTATTGCTGCTTTGTGTTTTTTAATGAATAAAAGATTTATAACTTTTAGGAAAATGAAAAATATACAGAAAAATCTTGGATACCAATTAGAAGATAAAACGAGTTTGATAATATAATGGGTCGGAATGAATTGTAGCGTTTTCAAGTGAATTTCAATGTTCAGATACGTGAGTTATTTTTATTCTGCAATATTTCACCATCTGTGGGGCAACTTCATTATTCCATCCTCCTTGAATTTGGTACCATTCTAGTTGAAGTGGGTTTTGACAGGCCTCCCATCAAGAGGATTTTATAGGGATTTATTATAGGGCCACCCGAAAGTGCAAGGTCATGTGAGTAGATCAGGATACTGGCCAAGCCCTATCCATTTCTGTCGGGTTTGCAAAAGACATGAGATCTGATGTTGTTCTGATGGAAGACAACACCATTCCGATTGACCAATTCCGGACGATTTCTACCTTTCCAATCGGGAACATTACTTAGCTGAATCCAATGTCTAATTTTGCAGACGGAACAATACACAATGCCTTTCCAATCCCACCAAATACACAATATCACCATCTTCATATGCAGGCCATATTTTGGAGTGCTAAGCTGTGGCTCATTTCGTTTTGTCCAGAACATTTTTGCTCCACATTGTTATAAACTATCTATTTTTCATCTCGTGTGATCATGCTTTTAAAAATGTTGTTGTTTTTTGCGTGTCAGCAAAAAAATCGCAGATAGAAATGCGCTCCACCGCTTTTTTTCTGTTAAACTATGTGCCACAGAAAAATTATAGTAATTCCAAATGCCTTAAAATGCTCACATGTGATATATAGAGTATCTCCGCGGTGCCCAGTGTCATGCGACGTGGATTATTTTTTATCAGCACTTCAATTTCATGTAGGACTGACGTAACGTTCTTCGTATTTCAGATCAAAATTTATAATTTTGAAAATAACGAAATTTTTCGGAAATAATTAAAATGAATCTCATTTTCTTCTACATTCTGTTTTAACGTAAAAACACTTAAACTTTACAATCCCCATATGAATTATATGGAATATGCATATACAGTGTGCGATGGATAAATTGTCATCTAAATTACGCAATTTTATTCAATAAAATCACCATTGGCTTCAACCACGGCCTCCATACAACATCGGAATCTCCTGCAACTCTTCTGAACAGTCTCCTTATTTAAGTTGGTGAATACTGCCATAATCCTTGCCTTCAATTCATCTTTGTTTGTACAAGGAGTTTTATTGGTCTCTCGCTCAACTGCGTCCCACACATAATAATCAAGGAGGTTGAAGTTGTGGGGTGTTAGGTGGCCAGATGTAAGGTGTGATGGGGTCGCAGAAATTATCTGACAGTCAGGACCTGATTCTCTTGTTTTAGGGGCATGGTACAGGGTCTGTCCTCATTGCCAGACATAGATTCTTCCAGTAGCCATTCTCTTGCCCAGTTGAGACTACTATACTGTTCATTTGACAAATTAAAAAACAAACAACGCGCATGCGCGAAATTAAAAATATAATATGCTTACAATTTACCCACCATACACTGTATCTCATAATTTTCTGTTAGGTGTGAAATGGAATCACTTGTCTAAGCGTCACCTAATGAAAAACGAAAGTAACTTTTATTCCACTCCAAAATAGAACAATTTCTTACTTGATTCTCTTTTCTACAATATCATTATGTTGGTTTCTATATTATTTTTATATAATTTGTCACAGTTGGTATTGTGAATAATATATGCACATTTGATGAACCAAATGTATGTGGATATAACGTCAGCTGTCGAGAGGCAACCAAATTTCTGTGGAAGAGAGCGAAAAATACTGGTTCATATGGAACAGGACCTTCTTCAGATAATAGTGGAAAAGGCAACAAATGTAAGTAAATAGACTATCGTTACATAATTCATTAATTATTGTATTTACGTTGGCAAAGTTAATATTTTGTTCATTTATCCTATGTGCTTGAAGTTAGGTAATGAAAGATTTGGCAGCAAATTGATTAAATGTGTTACCCAATGTTCCTCAAATAATATCATCATTTAATGAAAAGGGTCATATATATATATATATATATATATAAAGGAAGAACAGTCAGGTTTAAAATCCACAATTCTTTTGCATTTATTTTTATAAAAGTGCTCTATACACCGTTGGACATATTATTATAATATTTTTATTTAAAAAATATTTTAATTTGACTCTCTCTTTATTTGTATATATTTTCGTTCTCACTGCGGTAGATCACTCTCTACATTTATTTTTAAACAAATATGGAGAAAACAAGATTCGGAATCTCTCTGAAAAACATTCCCAATACAAACAGACGGGATTATTTCATTAAATTGATACATAAAACAGAGGATTTAATTAGAAGAATGAGATGGAAAGCTTATTTCTTTCTTCATAAGTATAACTTATCCAAGGACGCTGAAGGATATGGATTTAAAAGCAAAAAATCTGCACAATTTATTGAAAGATTGTTTGGGTTTGAAAATGATCTACTGGATATAGTGAACAATATCTCTTTTCATAAAAGAAAAGATTATGTCAAAAGACATTTTGACCGCGTAGTAAAGGATATAAATTAAACCGATAAAGTGTTTGTAAAATCAGATAAAACGGCATTTTTTTATTATAAAAGAACGGCTAATAACCTAATTAGAAAAAAAATTAACAAAAAAACGATAGAAAAGTAAATAACAACTTAGCTGATTAGGTAGAAAGTATAAATACATCTCGTAAAAAGATCACAGACAAACTAAAAATTAATGTCAGATTCGGTAAACTTACCACAAAGGAACGTTACATTACCATCAAGGATTATAAACGTGACTTTGAAACAAATCCTAGCACTACGATCATAAATCCTACCGGGTCTGAGATTGATAGAATAAGTAAAATAATCTTTGAAAGCGTAAATAAACAAATTAAGGAGTACCTTGGATTAACGCAATGGATTAACACCTCCGATGTCACTAATTGGTCTTGCAATATAAAAGATAAAACCAATTGTTCCCTAATCAAGTTTGATCGAGGAATATTACACGTCAATTTCAAGTGAACTTTTCACATCGGCTCTAGAATTCGCCACTGTGTATTCGGATCTATCGTAGAATGATGGTAACATCATTATGAATGGAAAAAGTCAGTTCTTATTCATAACACGGAACAGTGGATGAAAAATAACTCTGGAGATCATTTTGATATTACGATGCGATCGGTGGACTCTGCGGAGTCTTCTGATCATGTTGGATTGTTTATTTTATACAATCTTAATGCCCACAATGATATAAGTATAGGTGATATAGGATTATATAGGGATGATGGTCTTATGGTTGTGAGGAATTCAACTAACTTCAAAACTGACATGATTAGTGTTATGGCTCGGTTCCTTGTATCCCGGTGATAGTCCAAGGTAGAACCAATAAAGAAGAACTCGAACACGGATATGGAATAACACAGATATATTACAAACAGGAATATATACAGAGAAGTAGAAGTGTTAGTACGAACAAACAGGTTTAGTTGGGAGAACAATGTAGTCTCGACCAGTATCACTATTCCAATGTCTTGTAGTAATTGTCTGAACGCGACTCTGTTTCGGACTGCCTCTGACTCGACTGACTGACTCCTGACGGACTTCACTCCAGACTTCAGACTGAACTCTCTGCTTCCTCTTGAGGCGCAGTATTTATTACGTATGGAATAGTCCATGATGTTATTATGGGTAAGGTCCCCTAACAATTAGAATGCTAATACATAGAGAGTTTAAAAGCCTAAACTTAAAATTTACTATCAATACAAATTGAAAAAAAGTAAACTTCCTCGATATAACATTAGATTTAATCGACAATATATACCAACCATGTAAGAAAACAAATTATATCCATTATATATCCACCCGAAGTCTAATCATCCTCCATCTATAATAAAACACGTACCCTCACCCATAGAATATAGAATTAGTATTAACTCTACCAACGATGATATATTTTATAAAAACTGCAATTTTTATAATAACGCTTTAAAAATAGTGGCTATAAATTCCCTGATATTAAATATAGAAAAGATAATAATAATAACCGGAGAAAAAATAGAAATAGAAAAATCATTTGGTATACATCCCCATTTAACCAAATGGTTAGCAATAAGTTAAGGCAAAATTTTCTTGCTCTGATTGAAAAACATTTTCGAAGTAATAATCCTCTTAGCAAGATTTTCAATAAAATACGCTAAAATTAAGTTATAACTGTATTAGTAATCTAGAAAACAATTATAAAAAAAAAACATAATAAAATTTTATATAAATCCCATAAATTGTCCATTGCAAAATAAATGTCTTACTGAATCTATTGTTTACCAATGCACCATTTCATCTACTGAAAACCGAAATGTTAAGAAATTTTATATTGGAAGCACAAAAAATACTTTTAAACGAAGGTGGTATCTACATATTTCTTCTTTTAACAACAATGTGTACCGTAACCGAACATCCCTTTCAAAATATTTCTGGTATTTAAAAGAAATTAATAAACCTCCACAGTAAAATGGAAAATATTAAAACAAACAAGAATGTGTCTACATGAAAAGCTACATATTATTAAGTTTTCTAAAAATAATGATCTATTAAATCAACGGAATGAACTAACTGTAATCTGTAGGCAATGAACAATGTTTATGTTAAAATATAGTGAATAGAATATTTCTTTAAAAAGTCTATAAATTACAATTATATATACATTATTTTATTATATATAATGGTACATATAATATGTATTTATTTCTAAAGCTTTAATTTTAATATTGCCATGTCTTATGACGACATTGAATATAATAAATACAGTATTTTAGTATCAAAATAATATATAAAATGGTTTAATCATACTAGAAGCCCCTTTAAGATAGTTCTAAAGTATAAACAAAAATAATTTTAATAAAAAAAATAAAATCCTAAAATTAATCTATTGTTGGATACACATCTCTCTGATTATTTCATTGTATCTTTAAACCTTTTTTTTAACTGGATATAATAGATGACACGTCTAAAAATGACGGTTCGTCTGGACAAGTTTGAATAACACACACACCCTAACCTCAAACCTACATTTTTCTTTTCTGCTTTAGCTTTGATTGGTCTTTTGATTGGTCAAAGAAGACATAGACCTAAAATTTTGAAATCTTGTTCCTTCCTCCTTCATAATAAAGTATTGTTCCTCCCTCATTCTTAAATAAAATACCATTATGTTTTCAAAAGTAAATCAATTTCATCAAAAGTTACCCAACATCGCTTGATAATGGAACAACACATTTAAGTTCCGAAACATAGCAATCTCTGTGTCACGATGTAAAATATTTCATATATATATATATATATATAGTTTCCCGAAGGAGGCTGTTTCATTTGCCTTTCCTTAAAAAAATGAATTTCATAAATCTACATCTAAGTCGCACACATAAATCCGTGCAAGAAATATTAAACGATGGTTGTAAGGCGTTCGAGAAAAAAAAGAGGCGCCAAACGGACTTCAATTACTGTTTATCTGCTTCCATAGTTTTTAGTCTTTTTGGGATGCACTAATAATAAAAAAGAAAAATCCAACACTCAATAACATCAACTAGGAACACGGCCATAATGTACTGAGCTTGTTTGGAAAATAAAACATTCTTATAATTCTAGATACATATATAAAAGACCCATACATTCAAGTAAAAATATAAATCATCTTTAATAACAGCTAAAAGAATAGCCGAAATCGCTTAGATATGAAGAATATTTGGATAATTTTAACATCATTTATTCTCAAAAAGAACACACATACAAATACAAGAAAAATAAATAAAAACTTAATCACAATACCCTATCGGTCGTTTTTAATGAAACTTCTAAGGGTGAAGAAAGAAGAAAATTCTAGTGAGAAGAAAAACAATAAAAAGAACGTTAATTTTTTGAAAGATTGTAGAAGACAAGAAGGCAAGGAGCCGAAAGAGAGTTCCACATGCGATAAGTATGAGAAAAGAACTTAAAATAGAAATTACGATTATTTCAAGAATAAAACGACGAAACCTTGTTGCCAATCTATCACTACTCCTAAAATCATGTTATTGAAGTACCAAAGTGTACCGATCATTAGACAAAATTCCATAAGACATAGGGAAGCCACATTCTGGCGATGGGAAAGTGGCTGACGTCGAGATGCCAGATTTTATGCCTAGACTTTATTAATATAAATGTAGAACGAGATTAGCGACAAGGATTCATCAGTTTATAGTTGAATTTTCTAGATGTAACCGTAAGTTCTATGCTCAACGTTTCTTCTCTAGCACTTCTTTCTCCTGGCTTTTTGCTTTCCAACCCATTTTAATATCCAATATTTTAAATGCAATGCCAATCGTTATAACGTGTCTTCTTCATTTCTCTTTTATTGATCTCGTTCTTTAATGTTTTTTCTGCTTCTTTTATTTTCCCACCTAGTGACCCTCTCTGTATCTTAGGGGCTTTACTGCCTCGTTTGGGTAAATGATTTAAAAAAAATCCTTCTTTGGATTTTGTTAAGAATCTCGAGATAAATAGCAGGAGTACCACATCAGATGTGGCAGCCATATTCAAATTCTCTGACAAATACTACTTTTATGAATGTACAAGATGGATTTTGTCGATAAAAATATTCTAGTACAGTACAGTGATGCAACATTTTTAGCGGTAGACCAAGTCATTGATTCAGTATAATCATTCCATGCCAGTAGAAGATGTGAAACTGAGCTCTTCTGGAGGGTAGCATCAGCCATGTTCATGTAAGGCAAAAATAGTTCTCTAAGATAATTACACTAGAACAAATATGATTTGGAGGCATTAAAGTTTGGAAGTCATTTCTTGCATCAGATTCAAGGCCATTTTGGCTCTTCAACAATCATAATCTTAAAATTCAAATTACCAGAAAAAACAAATAAAAACTAAATGTAGCTGCAAATTTGATGAATTATGTCACAACATTTGCGGAGTAATGTACAGTTAATTAAAGAATTAATTTGAATTCCTTGAAGATCAATATTTTTGTTGCAAACAATTTTTTTCTTGAAAATGGGTTGTTGTTTTTTCAAACTTGATTAAATTATTTAAATTTATGATATAATTTTTCCACTCCATAAAGTAGAAGATATTATGGAAGAACCTAATGCTGAAGATTAATTATCGAATTATCATCTGATTTTTTTAAAAGTTCCAAGAGAAACTGTATTCAAGGCACATGGTTTAACTAATATTCAAGAAATTATTTAAGTTAAATTTTAAAAATTCATACCTGAATGAAAGGCTGCCATAAAAGCTCAAGGAGAGGCAACTAAATATCAATCCACTTTTGTTGATGACTTTCATATTTTTTCTTCAGTGTTAGGTTATTTATTTATTACATATTTATATATATGACCAGATATATGCATATTTATATATATGTACTTAGATATATATATGTATGAATATTTTTTAGTATATATATATATATATATATATATATATATATATAGGATTATTACAAATACAATATTTGTCACTGATTTCATTGTTTTTATATTCAGCACACTGACAACAGAATTTCACAGACGTTCGGTCCACCTATTCAAGAAATATTAGCAATGGACTACCAATTTCCTCAATATTCGTTAAGTTTATATTAATTTAAAAGAAATTATATATATATATATATATATATATATATATATATATATATATATAACTGTCTATATATATATATATATAATTGTATATATAAATATATACATGTATATATATAACTGTGTTTATATATATATATATATATATATATACTAGTATCGTTCAAAATTTATTCTTAAGGTTTACAATTCCATCACGAAAGAATTTGACGTCCTATTCTTCCAAAAAACCGCACAGTACATATGATCCCATTATTGTTTTCAAAATGGTGTCCACACAGTTGAGATTCGACTTTAGAAAACAGGAAGAAGTCAGATGTTTGGTGAGTAAGGATGATAGATTAGCAATTCAAACCCACAGTTAGCTGCTTCATCTACTGAGACATGAGCATTGTGAACGGTCGCGTTATCTTATAAGAAGCGCACACTTGTCCTCAGCTCCCCTCTGCTTTTCGATTTGATTTTCCAGGGGTTGAGAACCAGAGTGTTTCCAATATTTGCTTTAAGTTTTTCAATCTTTGTTTCAGGTTCGAAGTGGTGAACTAAGCTGTGGTGTAAATTATCAGGCTCACTTTGAAAACGAATCATAATTGCACTTGTAATGTCAACGCTTTTCAGCTTCTGCTCTGGTGTCAGCATTTTGGGGACCCATGTTTACAGGCAGCTTACTCATCCTAAAGATCTCAGTTAAAATAATATGGACCCAACCAGAACTAATGCCTATGGACTTAGATATCTTCTGGACAGTAAGGTATCTATGATCCAAAACCATACGGTGAATGTCATCAGTTTGTTCATCAGCAGGTTTTTGAATGAACTGACCAGAGGTTATCTTTCGTGCCATTGCTGCCCTGCTTGAATATTGCAGACCACTTCTTCACAGTTACATAGAAAGGTCAATCATTAGCAAGTGTCTATAACATGTCCTCATATATACACTACAGTTCGAACCTTTGAAGCAACCCATAATTAGCATTGGATGAACTTGACAGAAGAGTGAAAAAAGTGAAAAAGAGCACTTAGAGTCATTAAAGAAAAAAGAATTAATTATTAAATTTATACTTTGAGAAACTTTTGAAACTAATGCTAAAAATTTGTGCTGCTGTAATCATGGCTAAAGGAGGATATTTTAATGACAACAAAATTTAATCATAAAATGCATCTTTTCTTCTTGTTGTAATAAATTTTCTAATACAAAATCATGTCTCACTTTTTTAGCCATGTATCTTTTTTTTTTTCTTATTTAAAGTATTTGGAGGCCAATTTAAAAATTAGGAGTGGTGACCTCGAACTTTTGAACTGATATATATATATATATATATATATATATATATATATAAAATATATATATATATAAATATATTAAAGCAAAAACTCAAAATTACTCAGTCTCTCAATGTCTGTCTCGAACATTGTTTTAAATTTATTTTCAATGTCATCCCTCCTCCTGTAGACGCATTATTAATGAGTGTGGGTTTGTGTTAAGGATTGGTGGGGCGTAGTTTATACCTTATCCTGGGGGAAGTGGTCTGGGGTTGAGTTTATTTATGGCCAGAACTTGTTATCAGTTCCTGCTGATAGAAATAACGCATATGTATATATATGTGTGTATATTCAGTCACCCCCACAACTGGGGCAGCATGTGACACAAGGTCAGTTATATGTGTGTGTATATATATGCATGTATATATATGTGTATGTTGATTCCTTTCTATAAGAGAGTAATGTGAGGGAATGTACATATACATGTGCACGTTAATTGGGACGTGCACGCACACAATACACAAAAAATGGAAATAGGTTTGACAGTCTCAAGTGTAATGTGAGGGATAGGAAAACATCTCATCAACACATCTATCATCAACACCTCTCAAAGCAAACCTAATAGTTTTATTACCACTTAGGGCAGAAATTCACTTTTGCCAACAATCCAAAAAAATGAGATCAAGGCTCGCTACAAATACAGAAACCAAACAATGAACCATTAAAAAAGAACATAAAAAATTTATTCCTGTAAAATTTATTCCTTTTATTTGCCATGAAGAAAGTTTTCGATACAGGAAACACGTGTACATGTGTAGTATGTGTATATATATATATATATATATATATATATATATATATATATTCACATAATTATTAAAATGAGTAACAAGTTCCACAAGAATATAAAATGGAAAAAAGAACCTCACGGTCCCTCGATCAATTCTCCTTTTGCATGAAATTCTCCTTTTGTCTACGTAGGCTCGGCTGGTAAAATTTTATATACACAGCTTCAAGAACTCAGAGGTGGTAATCCGACCACTATGTAGAATAGAAAACCATATGTCCTCATATTCGGGAACATGTTGTAAAATCCGCGTTTCCAACCTCAGGTTGGTACGTCCTACGTACGCCGCTTCACAGCGACATTTGAATTTGTATACAACTAAATTTTTCTGAAAATAGGACAAACGATCCTTGTTGAAGGAAGGGAACGCAGATTTTGTTTGAAACACAATGCGAAGCTGAAATTTGTCAGATAACAGCTGACTTCCTGCCAAGGGAACTTTAAATAAATAGCGCACCGAATAGGTGCCAAAACAATTGTTCCTGAATTTACAGTCTATAACGCGTTTGATGATATCGATGGGTTGTCTATTACTTTCAAAAATTTTCTGAATACTGGCAAATTAGAAGAACAGATCATCAAAGCGCGATGAACCAGGGTTGAAATTAGACCAATTTTTGGGGCCTTGGGAATAAAAGAATTCCAACTTTTTTATAAGCCTGTGAATATGAGTTTACGGAAGACGCTGGTATACAATACCCTATTCTTACGCTCAACGAGAACATGCAAAAAAGGCAATGTCCCATCACTCTCAACCTCCATAGCAAACTGAAGGGATGGATGGAGGGAACTGAGTTCCGCGAAGAGATCAGTAGCATCACTGGCGGAATCAAAAATTCAGGTGTCGTCAACATACCCCTCATGTAAACGTGGGGTTTATGGACCTTGTCAAACAAAATATAATTCATTGATATATATGTGTGTTTGTGTGTGTGTCTATCTGTAAATATAAATGTATGTATGTATATCTGCACATATATGTATGTTTATATATATATATGTGTGTGTGTATATATATATATATATATAATTACGTGTGTGATGTTTTATGACGTTGGAAATTGTCAATCTTATTCTTCTAAACAGAAATTATAATTGTTTAGTAGTGAATAAAATTTGTTTAGTTTTGGAAGTATTGAATATAATCAAGAAAATGCAAGAAAGATTTTCGATAATTTAATCATAAAGTATTATTGCAATGTTACTTCAATTTTATCATCTTCTTTAAAGTAAATAAGATATTATATTTGAAATTGTCAATCAAATATTGTATTTTCCTTCATTAAATACAATTTATTTCTGTCTTTTTTACAGATTTCATGTATACTGAATCGTCATTTGGTGATCCAGGTGACACAACTGACCTTGTGTTTCCTGAATTTGTCACACCTCCTGGACATATCCTCAGTTTCTATTACAACATGTATGGTCGTGATATTGGAACTCTTCAGGTGATTTAATATTTGATGTAAGAATTTAAAAGGAAAAAAAGAGAAGAGGACACTTAGTCAAACGGTTACGTCTATCAAAGGAAAATAATGAGTGTAGGTAAAATGAACTTTTTAAATTGTTTCACCCCCAAATAAGGCGACAATACCACCAGGCTGCAAGGTTTTTGCAGGACTAAAAGAGAATTAAAAGACATTAGTGAAGAAGAAGTAAGAAAGGACAATAAAGGAACAGGGTTCAGGAAGTCAGAAGATGATGATGAATGTTGCATTTAAATTTTGAACATTACAGATGTCAGAAAAGCAAGAAATTGGGATGGAGTTCCACAAGTGAGAAGTGCGAGAAAAGAAACTGTTAGAATAGAAATGGGGTTGCATCTGCTTAGTTCTACAGTAAAAAGAGTAAGACCTCGTTGCCAATTTCATGTTTTCGAGGAAAAGGCTTACCTGAATAGTTGATATAAAAATATTTGTAGAAAAGACAGATGGAAGCCACGTCGCGTCGGTGAGAAAGTGATTGTGAGTTGAGATGCCAGGTCAGGATCGATTACATTACTTTGAATTTTGTCAACAATCTCGAGGTCTACAGCAGGAACACCAAACCAGATATGGCAGCAGTATTCAATACACTGGCCAATGGTAGATTTATAAATGTTAAAGATGAATTCTGGCGAGAAAATCCTCGTGGCACGACACAGTGAACCATTTTTCCAAGCAGTAGACATAGCAATTGATTTGATATTAGTTACTCTACTTCATATCAGTGGAAAACGTGGGCCCACAAAGGTATAGACTGTTACTATCCTGGAGTTTAGCATCAGCCATACTGATGACAGACAGAAAAATTGTAGGATACGAAAACAAAACCAGTTAAAAAAAATTAAATAACATCTTGGCATATTGAGATAAAAACGTTTATATATTTGCATTTCAGATTATCATTTAAATTCTGAAGATAGAATTCAAATGATCTTTTCTTTTTCTCACTTCCATTTAAGCGATCTTCTGTGGATTTGTCAGTAGATATTAAACATTTATTCATTCATTAGAAAAATTAAATAACACTTCATTTTGACGGATTCTTTCATTTTGACTTCATTCAACTTTGATTTTCCTTAATTGATTTTATTTTTGTATTCAACTTTCTTTTCGTTAATTTATAATCTATTACGAATGAGAAGAAAACTTTTTATTTACAATTACAAATTCAATCTTTATTTAGTAGATGAATACGACTAGCATCAAATCATCATACACGATTCATTCTTTTTCTCTGTAAGTAATGCACGTATATTGGATTCAATAGATGCAATTTTAGATTTATTTAATATTTAATGATTGCTTCAAGTCTGTTATTTTAATTTTGTTAGGTTCACATTATCACTCGTTCAGGAAAAATGTTAAAATGGTCCCAAAAAGGTGGAATGGGAAAAAACTGGGTGAAAGGCTGCGTCAGTCTTCCAGTTAATGAGAAAACGACTGTTGTCTTTACTGGAATCCGAGGTAATGGTCCATTAGGTGACATGGCAATCGACGATGTTGGTGTCGTACTTGGCGTCTGTTCTGGTGAGTTTTATTTTAACTTTATGTGAACTTTCAATGTCGAAGTAACATTAATATTTTTGGTCCATTATAATCACGAACAATTCATTTGGTTTCCAAACAGTAACATAAATCCTTTTACGGCAATGGATGTTTTCCCATTGAAATGCTATAAAGAAATCAAAATTCTGTTGCTTTGTACGTTAACGAATCTTCATAGAGTAGAGCTGATGAGAGGTTAATTTTTAAAGATTCATATTTTTCAAATGTTTTCCACTAAATCGATTATCATTATCACATCATTTGTAAAAGGATTTTAGGGATTGAAAACAACGTTGTAGATTGATTGTAATAAAATTCGAATTTCATTGACATCATCATTACAAGTATTTCTACCACTGATTTTGAATTGGGTTCTGGTTTTTATATGACTCGTTTTTATTGGATTGTCTCAGTTCTTTTTATATTATAGAAATGTCTTTAGCCATGAGATTATCAGAAATGGCTAATCTGGAGGAAATAATAAGAGGTTATTGAATATCATTTTCAGGGGATCTAGTTAATCCTCTGGACACACGATAAATTCCGATGCCCTGCTGTTATAAAATTCAACATCGTTTATATTAAAAATATTCGAAATATCTGTGACACAAAACGTTCATTGCCTAAAAATTCCTTTTTGCACTATGCAATCAGTTTTCAATTCAATTATATTTATTATAATCCTAATGTCAATGATAATAATGATGATGATGATGGTGATTGTTTTTTTTTTTTATTTTCTCTCCTACTACTACTATTTTTTTACAAATAATTATGACGCTCATAATGATGTTTTTTTTTTTCAGATCAAGGCATTCCTGTGACTTCAATGATGAGACTCTATGTGGCTATACAAATACATCTCATACCAGTAATTCTGGTTGGGTTAGGAAGCGATCCGGTCCAAGTACTAATAATTAAAATGTTTTCTTATTTAAAATAAACTTTCTGCTTTCATTTAGAATGAGCATTTCCTATGAATAATTTTTTGTACTTCTAGTTTTGTAATTATATTTAATGTAGTCATCTTCTTAATGATATTTAATACATTGTGTATTAATTAAAAATGGATTATTATTATTATTATTATTATTTGTCATAGAGGAAGAAAATGAGTAATTACCGGTACCGAGGTTCAGGCGTGACCTCTAGACTTATGAATACATATTTTCCGCCAGTTATATAAATAGCGTGTCAGGCTACTGACTGGAGTGATTATTGAGTGACTATTGAGTGGAACTATCAGTCAATTAATATTAACTTCGATCATTTGAGTTTTGATTTAGGATTTACCGGGTGTTAAGCTGAGCTACTCACAAGGTATTCACTTAAATGGTTAATTATCTTTGGTTGACTTTTACTTTGTTCTTGTTAAGTATTTATTTCCGGTTGTAATTAAATACAGTTTTATTTTGACATTGAAGTCTTGAGTTATACTCAATACGTCCACAAGATTATTATCTTCTCTTCTTCCGCACGGTTTTCATTTTCAACTGAAATCTTACATTATGGTTTGTCCTCCATCGTCATACGACATCAAAAGATAGCAACTTTAAAGAACTAAGTAAAAAGCAAACTTCTGAAGCGATGAGATATTAGGCTTTTATTTTTATCTTAAAATAGATAATAATAATAATAATAATAATCATTATTATTATTATTATTGTGATAATGTGTGTGTGTGTGTGTGTGTGTGTGTGTGTGTGTGTGTGTGTGTGTGTGTTATTATTGTGTAGAGAGTAATCTTAAGTGCCTAATTACCAAGTCCTCTCCGAGTATTTTAATGACAACAAAATTTAATCATAAAATGCATCTTTTCTTCTTGTTGTAATAAATTTTCTAATACAAAATCATGTCTCACTTTTTTAGCCATGTATCTTTTTTTTTTATTTAAAGTATTTGGAGGCCAATTTAAAAATTAGGAGTGGTGACCTGAACTTTGAACTGATATATATATATATATATATATATAAGCAAAAATATATATATATATTAAAGCAAAAACTCAAAATTACCTCAGTCTCTCAATGTCTGTCTCGGAACATTGTTTTAAATTTATTTTCAATGTCATCCCTCCTCCCGTAGACGCATTATTAATGAGTGTGGGTTTGTGTTAGCGATTGGTGGGGGCGTAGTTTATACCTTATCCTGGGGGGAAGCGGTCTGGGGTTGGAGTTTATTTATGGCCAGAACTTGTTATCAGTTCCTGCTGATAGAAATAACGCATATGTATATATATGTGTGTATATTCAGTCACCCCCACAACTGGGGCAGCATGTGACACAAGGTCGGTTATATGTGTGTGTATATATATGCATGTATATATATGTGTGTATGTTGATTCCTTTCTATAAGAGAGTAATGTGAGGGAATGTACATATACATGTGCACGTTAATTGGGACGTGCACGCACACAATACACAAAAATGGAAATAGGTTTGACAGTCTCAAGTGTAATGTAGGGATAGGAAAACATCTCTCATCAACACATCTATCATCAACACCTCTCAAAGCAAACCTAATAGTTTTATTACCACTTAGGCAGAAATTCACTTTTGCCAACAATCCAAAAATGAGATCAAGGCTCGCTACAAATACAGAAACCAAACAATGAACCATTAAAAGAACATAAGGAAAATTTATTCCTGTAAAATTTATTCCTTTTATTTGCCATGAAGAAAGTTTCGATACAGGAAACACGTGTACATGTGTAGTATGTATATATATATATATATATATATATATATATATATATATATATATATATATATATATTCACATAATTATTAAAATGAGTAACAAGTTCCACAAGAATATAAATGGAAAAAGAACTCACGGTCCCTCGATCAATTCTCCTTTGCATGAAATTCTCCTTTGTCTACGTAGGCTCGGCTGGTAAAATTTTATATACACAGCCAAGAACTCAGAGGTGGTAATCCGACCACTATGTAGAATAGAAAACCATATGTCCTCATATTCGGGAACATGTTGTAAAATCCGCGTTTCCAACCTCAGGTTGGTACGTCCTACGTACGCCGCTTCACAGCGACATTTGAATTTGTATACAACTAAATTTTTCTGAAAATAGGACAAACGATCCTTGTTGAAGGAAGGGAACGCAGATTTTGTTTGAAACACAATGCGAAGCTGAAATTCTGTCAGATAACAGCTGACACTTCCTGCCAAGGGAACTTTAAATAAATAGCGCACCGAATAGGTGCCAAAACAATTTGTTCCCTGAATTTACAGTCTATAACGCGTTTGATGATATCGATGGGTTGTCTATTACTTTCAAAAATTTTCTGAATACTGGCAAATTAGAAGAACAGATCATCAAAAGGATGAACCAGGGTTGAAATTAGACCAATTTTTTGGGCCTTTGGAATAAAAGAATTCCAACTTTTATAAGCCTGTGAATATGAGTTTACGGAAGACGCTGGTATACAATACCCTATTCTTACGCTCAACGAGAACATGCAAAAAGGCAATGTCCCATCACTCAACCTCCATAGCAAACTGAAGGATGGATGGAGGGAAACTGAGTTCCGAAGAGATCAGTAGCATCACTGGCGGAATCAAAAATTCAGGTGTCGTCAACATACCCCTCATGTAAACGTGGGGTTTATGGACCTTGTCAAACAAAAATATAATTCATTGATATATATGTGTTTTGTGTGTGTGTCTATCTGTAAATATAAATGTATGTATGTATATCTGCACATATATGTATGTTTATATATATATATGTGTGTGTATATATATATATATATATAATTACGTGTGATGTTTTATGACGTTGAAATTGTCAATCTTATTCTTCTAAACAGAAATTATAATTGTTTAGTAGTGAATAAAATTTGTTTAGTTTTGGAAGTATTGAATATAATCAAGAAAATGCAAGAAAGATTTTCGATAATTTAATCATAAAGTATTATTGCAATGTTACTTCAATTTTATCATCTTCTTTAAAGTAAATAAGATATTATATTTGAAATTGTCAATCAAAATATTGTATTTTCCTTCATTAAAATACAATTTATTTCTGTCTTTTTTACAGATTTCATGTATACTGAATCGTCATTTGGTGATCCAGGTGACACAACTGACCTTGTGTTTCCTGAATTTGTCACACCTCCTGGACATATCCTCAGTTTCTATTACAACATGTATGGTCGTGATATTGGAACTCTTCAGGTGATTTAATATTTGATGTAAGAATTTAAAAAGAAAAAAAGAGAAGAGGACACTTAGTCAAACGGTTACGTCTATCAAAGGAAAATAATGAGTGTAGGTAAAATGAACTTTTTAAATTGTTTCACCCCAAATAAGGCGACAATACCACCAGGCTGCAAGGTTTTACAGGGACTAAAAGAGAATTAAAAGACATTAGTGAAGAAGAGTAAGGAAAGGACAATAAAGGAACAGGGTTCAGGAAGTCAGAAGATGATGATGAATGTTGCATTTAAATTTTTGAACATTACAGATGTCAGAAAAGCAAGAAATTGGGATGGAGTTCCACAAGTGAGAAGTGCGAGAAAAGAAACTGTTAGAATAGAAATGGGGTTGCATCTGCTTAGTTCTACAGTAAAAGAGTAAGACCTCGTTGCCAATTTCATGTTTTCGAGGAAAAGGCTTACCTGAATAGTTGATATAAAAATATTTGTAGAAAAGACAGATGGAAGCCACGTCGCGTCGGTGAGAAAGTGATTGAAGTTGAGATGCCAGGTCAGGATCGATTACATTACTTTGAATTTTGTCAACAATCTCGAGGTCTACAGCAGGAACACCAAACCAGATATGGCAGCAGTATTCAATGCACTGGCCAATGGTAGATTTATAAATGTTAAAGATGAATTCTGGCGAGAAAATCCTCGTGGCACGACACAGTGAACCATTTTTCCAAGCAGTAGACATAGCAAATTGATTTGATATTAGTTACTCTACTTCATATCAGTGGAAAACGTGGGCCCACAAAGGTATAGACTGTTACTATCCTGAGTTTAGCATCAGCCATACTGATGACAGACAGAAAAATTGTAGGATACGAAAAAACAAAACCAGTTAAAAAAATTAAATAACATCTTGGCATATTGAGATAAAACGTTTATATATTTAGATTTCAGATTATCATTTAAATTTGAAGATAGAATTCAAATGATCTTTTCTTTTTCTCACTTCCATTTAAGCGATCTTCTGTGGATTTGTCAGTAGATATTAAACATTTATTCATTCATTATAAAAAAGTAAATAACACTTCATTTTGACGGATTCTTTCATTTTTGAATACATTCAGCTTTGATTTCTTAATTGATTTTATTTTTGTATTCAACTTTCTTTTCGTTGATTTATAATCTATTACGAATGAGAAGAAAACTTTTTATTTACAAATTACAAATTCAATCTTTATTTAGTAGATGAATACGACTAGCATCAAATCATCATACACGATTCATTCTTTTTCTCTGTAAGTAATGCACGTATATTGATTCAATAGATGCAATTTTAGATTTATTTAATATTTAATGATTGCTTCAAGTCTGTTATTTTAATTTTGTTAGGTTCACATTATCACTCGTTCAGGAAAATGTTAAAATGGTCCCAAAAGGTGGAATGGGAAAAAACTGGGTGAAAGGTTGCGTCAGTCTTCCAGTTAATGAGAAACGACTGTTGTCTTTACTGGAATCCGAGGTAATGGTCCATTAGGGTGACATGGCAATCGACGATGTTGGTGTCGTACTTGGCGTCTGTTCTGGTGAGTTTTATTTAACTTTATGTGAACTTTCAATGTCGAAGTAACATTAATATTTTTGGTCCATTATAATCACGAACAATTCATTTGGTTTCCAAACAGTAACATAAATCCTTTTACGGCAATGGATGTTTTCCCATTGAAATGCTATAAAGAAATCAAAATTCTGTTGCTTTGTACGTTAACGAATCTTCATAGAGTAGAGCTGATGAGAGGTTAATTTTAAAGATTCATATTTTCAAATGTTTTCCACTAAATCGATTATCATTATCACATCATTTGTAAAAGGATTTTAGGGATTGAAAACAACGTTGTAGATTGATTGTAATAAAATTCAATTTCATTGACATCATCATTACAAGTATTTCTACCACTGATTTTGAATTGGGTTCTGGTTTTATATGACCGTTTTTTATTGGATTGTCTCAGTTCTTTTATATTATAGAAATGTCTTTAGCCATGAGATTATCAGAAATGGCTAATCTGGAGGAAATAATAAGAGGTTATTGAATATCATTTTCAGGGGATCTAGTTAATCCTCTGGACACACGATAAATTCCGATGCCCTGCTGTTATAAAATTCAACATCGTTTATATTAAAAATATTCGAAATATCTGTGACACAAAACGTTCATTGCCTAAAAAATTCCTTTTGCACTATGCAATCAGTTTTCAATTCAATTATATTTATTATAATCCTAATGTCAATGATAATAATGATGATGATGATGGTGATTGTTTATTTTTTTTATTTTCTACTCCTACTACTACTATTTTTACAAATAATTATGACGCTCATAATGATGTTTTTTTTTTTTTCAGATCAAGGCATTCCCTGTGACTTCAATGATGAGACTCTATGTGGCTATACAAATACATCTCATACCAGTAATTCTGGTTGGGTTAGGAAGCGATCCGGTCCAAGTACTAATAATTAAAATGTTTTCTTATTTAAAATAAACTTTCTGCTTTCATTTTAGAATGAGCATTTCCTATGAATAATTTTTTGTACTTCTAGTTTTGTAATTATATTTAATGTAGTCATCTTCTTAATGATATTTAATACATTGTGTATTAATTAAAAAATGGATTATTATTATTATTATTATTATTTGTCATAGAGGAAGAAAATGAGTAATTACCGGTACCGAGGTTCGAGCGTGACACTCTAGACTTATGAATACATATTTTCCGCCAGTTATATAAATAGCGGTGTCAGGCTACTGACTGGAGTGATTATTGAGTGACTATTGAGTGGAACTATCCAGTCGAATTAATGTGCTTCGATCATTTGAGTTTTGATTTAGGATTTACCGGGTGTTAAGCTGAGCTACTAACAAGGTATTCACTGAAATGGTTAGTTATCTTTGATTGACTTTTACTTCTTTTTTCTTGTTAAGTATTTATTTGCGGTTGTAATTAAATACTGTTTTATTTTAACGTTGAAGTCTTGAGTTATACTCAATACGTCACAAGATTATTATTATCTTCTCTTCTTCCGCACGGTTTTTCATTTTCAACTGGAAATCTTACATTATGGTTGTCCTCCATCAAGTCATACGACATCAAAAGATAGCAACTTTAAAGAACTAAGTAAAGCAAACTTCTGAAGCGATGAGATATTAGGCTTTATTCTTTATCTTAAAAATAGATAATAATAATAATAATAATAATCATTATTATTATTATTATTGTGTGTGTGTGTGTGTGTGTGTGTGTGTGTGTGTGTGTGTGTGTGTGTGTTATTATCTTGCCAGAGAGTAATCTTAAGTGCCTAATTACCAAGTCCTCTCCGAGGTGAATGAGTACAAAAGGGCACTGTAAGAGAGATATCTCTGCACATTTGGGATGTTTCTTTTAGATGGGGAATTTTGCGGATGATAGCTGCAGTTCTATACAAAGTAATCTTTTGTGGCTCTCTCAGAGACTGATGTGTCCAGGAATTTTACCCACGGAATTTTTGGTACCCTTTTTTATCAAACACATTGCCCCTACTACAACAAGGTTAATCGTAGTTTTAACTTTCCATAATTTCCTTACTTCGATTTACATTTGATAGTTTTTAATATTATTTTTTTAAAATCATTGGAATTCTGTGAACAAGTCCTGTCAATTATTTGGTTCCTGTTTTGACTGTGCCTGGTCTATTAGAAGATTCTAATGTTCATTTCTATGAAGACTGTGAAATTCCATAGCATAGTCACTCCATCATCATCATTTGTGATATAATTTGGGTGGTGTTTGTACCATGTATCTGGGACTTCAATAACATAATTCGAACAAACAAGCCAATGTCCTAGCCTGTCATGTCCAATAATTATATCCAGTATTCTTTCTCACCAAGGACTTTGATACTATGTGTTCAACAGTTTCATCAAAATCATGGTAGATTGTCTGTAACTGGGGATTCTCTTTGACCAAAAAAATATGATTATTTAAATTTTCCTTATAATTTGTCCTTATAACTGCTATAAATATAAAGCGCTACGAAAAGAATTTCTCGAAATTTCATAAAATTAGAAAAGTGTGTGGTAACAAATACAAAACTTTATTTGCGCGTAAGTCCTGAAAGTTTCATTAAAATCCGATAAATATCTAATTTTTACAAGTATCTCCAATCAACGTTTTTTTTTTCAGGACAAAAAGGCAATTAAATTTCCTGTATGGTACCCCGTTGACGCCAGAAAAATAAGAATTTTAACCATAAAGTTCGAAGGTTCCAAAAAGTATTTAAAATATAATTTTTACATAAAAATTAATTGGGTCTTTCCTCTTAATAATGACACAAAAGTTTTGAAAGTTTTGTAGATTTTTTCATGTATTCATTTTGTTTTACTAAATCGTTGGAAGTATCTATCTAGCTCTCTCTCTCTCTCTCTCTCTATATATATATATATATATCTAGTTTTTCTCTTCTCTCTCTCTCTATATATATATATATATATATATATATATATATATAGAGAGAGAGAGAGAGAAGAGAGAGAGAAGAGAGAGATGCTCAGTTTCTTATCCGAAACGTAAACAAAGCGATTTCTAAAGAAATTTCGCTGGCAAATAGGGACACAGGTTTGAATCCTTTCAGAAGGCTCATTTTTTTTTTATAAGATTGATCGAATGTTCAGATCGATAGACGAAATAAACAATATTTAAAATAAACGAAGCGTCTACTCAAATATGAGTATCCACTAAAAATAATATGCATGTCTACATGTGTGTGTGTGTGTGTGTGCTAAACGTCGCCCAAATACAATCGTCAAGATCCACTAATGGTAAATGATTGCAGACAGTAAAGCGGTCATAAAAAATGATGCATGTGAAATGAATATAAGAGAATGTTTTAAGAAATGGAGTATCAGGAAGAAAAATAACAATTGGTCGTTGACTTGAAGAGGGCAAGATTAAAGTGTTTTGGGTGCAGTCTGTTACAGAGTCGTAGTTTGAGACTAAAAGCTGCCTAAGTTGGATTTTATTTGTAGATTTAAAACACGAAGGAAATAATGATGATTTGTATCCGTAGAAGTGGCAAAGTGAATTCCATCTGTAATGCTCTTAACTGGAGGAACTAGAATATGGAAGATTTTTTTTAAATCGTTCATATCAGTATTGTGTCACTAATTAAAATTCTATTTGACCAATCGACTAACTAATACCCTTGGGAAAGGCATATGAATCTTCATTTTGGTGGAAAATAGCATGGTAAACGGCACTCACATCCTTGTTTTTTCAACTAATCAGAAGAATAATTCCAAATATTCTGTTACATGGATGAGGTGCTAGTAAATCTATCTGAAAAAAAAAAATGACTTACGACTGGAGCCATAGCGGAAGTAGAAGAATTATGACACTCAGCTCCGTAATGGATCTGTAGAAATAAATAAGGTTTAGTTGACGAAGATTTAAAAGCTGAATATTAAAAAGAAAAACATGTATTTGACTCTAAAAAAGCCTGAAACGATGAGTTTAGTTCAGTGTATAATAATAAAAATAATCTATTTTTAGTTATAAAAAGTGTATAAGTCAGCATCAGTTTGTTTCACTAATTAAATTTTATTTTGTGAAAAAACTATTAATTATTAAAATCTATTTGACCAATCGACTAATAAATATGTTTTTCTTTGTTTCAGGTTACTATATGAATGCTGTGGGCTCCTATGACATATTTAGTCTGAAATCTCCATCAAGAAATTTATCAGACAATTGTATTCAGATTTCCTACCGACTTGGAGGCAAATATTGTGGATTGAATGTGTATACATCTTATAACAATCATAAATATCTCTCATTAAAAGAAAACAATAATACAGACTGGCAGAAAGCACAATTTTACATTCAAAACGCTGAGACGAGTCTCATATTTGAAGCTGACATAAGAACCTATTGGTTATACTGTACAATTAACATCGACAAAATTGCCATTTTAAATGGGAAATGCCCCAATCTAGGTAAGACAAATTATGATTGATATTAATCGGAACTATTCGTTACTGTTAGTTAAAAGCAAGTTTATGTTTTGTATTTTTGATTGTTGTAAAAGAAATAATAATGAAGCCTCCTGAACCATGAAAAAAAATCATTCAATACTTTGTTGAAATTTACTTTTAAAATTTATGAATTAAAACGAAAGAATTTTTTTCGAACAAAGCATTAACGCAAATATTTTTTAAGTTGTGAAGAGATAATTTCTTTAAATGATTCAATTTTAAATGTGTCTTTCCTTTAAAAAAATGGGTTCCGTGAATTTCAACTGATATTCGGACACTGATTTAATAGAGAAGTAAGATTGATTTTATTTTGCATGTGCGAAGGTGACTTATTAAGTTTCATACACATATTAGTGGGATTTGGATCTGATATTTTCACTGTATAATGTTTGATCTATGTATTTAATATTTACCATTAAATTAAGTGCATTTTCAAAAATGAAGATTATACTGAAAAGTAAAATTTTGTGCAAAATGTATTTTTTATGATTAAGCTACAGACTTATTGATTCACGTACAATCATGTAATCATCATAAATCAATTTATTACAATATTTTCTTCACGTGAATGACATTAAACAGGCAACTTTCTGTGAATTTGAAATGATTCATATGATTCCACAAATTGTTAAGTTTATTAATTTCATTCTTTTTGCTCGCTTACAAGATTTTTCCAAACTTTTGACGGCATCCTTTTTGTTGCAAGCAACAAAAAGAGTGAAATTAATAATTCCAAAATCTTTTTGGCTGAAGACACATTTTAGCTCGACAATATTTTCAATGTTGCAAATGTTCATGAACTGAAAATTATCGTTTTTCTTCTTTACTAAATTTCTGTAATTTTTTTTGTTTTTTTTTTCGTTTTTTTTGTCTATAAAAAAACAAAAGTCATACAAAAACGCAACAAAGTATCGTGAAACGAATGCAAGTTCTTTTTTAATGTTTTTATTTTGAATGGAAAATGTAATTATGTCACCTTTTCTATCGAAGTGGATGCATAATAAATACAGCTATGACCGACTCCAAGCTAGTTAGGCCAACAGAATAGAAAAGCCAACATATTCTGTTCTTGATGCCGGAAATATTTATTAAAGTAATGACTTTGTTATGAAGCACCAATCTGCACTCATAAAACAAACACTCGTAAAACAAACCTAACCTTTTTTATTCACACACCGATCAAAAAGCATTGTGATTCCGGGTCACATATTTCTAAGTTTCTGTTTTATATGACTTCATCACATCAAACGAATAAATTGAACCAGAGAGAATATGCTTAGAAACCGCAAGTTACAAATTCGTAAGTATATCAATAAGTCCGTAGCCTAATACTGAAAAAAATACAATTATTTTCGACATAATGTCTTTCCTTGTCAATTCACTTAATTCGATATCGAATATTAATTAGATACATCCAACATTATACACTGAATATCACAAATTGAAATTCAGCTAATAACTATGTTTCAGTCTACGGACTTATTGATCCACCCTCATCAATTTCCAATATTCAATATTATTCTAACACGCAAATACTTGTATTTTTGTTGTACTTAGTAGACCGTTTCAGTTTGTCAATTCTTCAGTCTTCTTTAAGTTTTAATTTGTGAGAAAAATGAACCCTCTAATTTTGTATGTGCCTGTCATTGTAAGAATAGACCAGACCGAGGATATATTAATGAACAGTTTTTGATCTGTTGTTTGAGTGAGAAGTTTATCTTTTTGCAACTGACTATATCTGAGGGTTGAAGAAAAGCCCAGTAACATTACAAAAAAGAAATCTGAATGTCCGAACATTATTGAATAAGTTAATGACACTTCTCAAAATTAAAGACAATCTGAGGAAAGTTTCGTAAACATTCAAAGTTCAATTCATGACTGAATGGATTAAATTTGTTCCTTTTATTATCCTAGCTTTATTACTGATATTCAGATGGTTGCAATAAAAGTATCATACCTTTTTCAGACTGTAAGAATGCCACTCAGGCTTGCACAGATCAAGGCCACTGTGTAGACAAATCTTCTCTCTGTGATAAGGAAGTCGACTGTAATGATGGAAGTGATGAAAGTAACTGCTGTAAGTATCAAATGATTTCTATTGAAAATTTCTCTTCGCTTCGAAAAAGTATAATGTCGAATTATTATTTTAAAAAGTCAGCAATTAGTACAATTGATTGTATTTCCTATCAACAAGTATTAGTGGAAATAGTCTGTTCCTGAAATCATTAAGATATCAGTTTTTAAACGGATCTTTTATTTATATATAAAGTATATAATGTATAAGCATAATGTTATAATTTATGTTGGCCTTGGACACAGTTATGTCTGAAAGGTCATTTAGGTCATTTAGGTATGGCTGGAAGGAGCAAACATTTAGCTATGACTGGAATGGAAAGGCAATTGGCTAAATCTGAATGGGAAAGACACTTTACTGAGTCTAGAAGGGAAATACACTTTGTTGTGTTTGAAAGATAAACTTTGTTGTGTTTGAAATATAAGGACACTGTTATGTATGAAAAAGAATGACAATGTGTTATGTCTGAAAGGGAATATATATATATATATATACATATATATAAGTGAATATAGAAGTCAACACTTAGAAGCGACAGGCTGTTTCATGCTAGACGCAATCGTCAGGCCATGAGTGTTGTTTTTTTTCTCGGCTATTTATATATACGGGTCAGTGGTGCATTGTGGGTAGTTTATTTTGGCGGTTATTTTTCCGGGAGTCGTTTATTTGTTTATTTATTTATTTGAGTTAATTTATTTTGCTTGTTTTTTTTGTTTTTTGTTTTTTGTTTTTGTTGTTGTTGTTTTTAATTTTTCTTATCTTATATATTTATTTTTATTTTAATCGGTATTTTATTAACGTAGTAAAAATTTGTTTATATCGCTTATTTAATAGTTTTGTTTTGGTTTGGGGAAATAATTAAAGCTATTTATTCAATTTTGGGGTTGATTATGGTAGTTTATTCTAACTGATATTTTGGCGGGAGCAATTTTTCATTTGTTTACTACTTCATTTATTTATTTGGATTGATTATCTTTACTTGTTTTTTCTAACGGTTAATTTATCGGGAGCGGCGTGTTAGTTTGTTTATTTGTTTATTTGGATTAATTTAGATTAATTTATTTTACTTGTTTTTTATCATTTATTTATTATACTGTATATTTTTATTTACTCTCTTCGGTTTTCGATTTTTAAGTAACGTAGTACTTTTTTATCGTTATATAACAGTTATAGCTATGTTTTTCATCCGATTTTTGGTTTGATTTTTACTATGTTAATAAAACACTGATTAAAATTAAAATAAATAAATACATAAGATAAGAAATAAAAATAAAAAATAAAAATAAAAAAATAAATAAAAATGAATAAAAACAAGCGAAATAAATTTACCCAAATAAATAAATAAACAAATAAATTACTTCCGGCAAAATAAAAGTGCGCGATATAAAGTATATAAAATATAAAGTAGAGCAGAATATTATAATATTATTATTCAAAAATATATTTTCATCGCGACATAGAGATTACTGTGTTTCGGAACTAAAAATTAAAAATCAAAATTAACATTTTTGTTCCATTTTCAAGGGATGTTGAATAACTTCAGAAAAAAATGATTTACTTATTTAAGCAAAGTAGCATTATATTTAAGAGTTTAAGTTGGAGGGGGAATGAGATTTTAAAATTTTAAATGGGTGCTGTAAATTTTTGATGAGTCAGAAAACAGGTCTAATCTAAAATGGAAAAGTGAAAATATTATGTTAAATGTTTGTTGTAGGTATGTCATTTCTGCATATCGATACGGGCTTCCGTATATAAGACGTGTCATCCTATCTTCCTTTTTAGGAACATACATAAGATACACTAAAATACGGGTATTTATATGTATCGAACAATGGGTTAATTTTGGCATTTTTATTTATTTTTTTATTTTTTAAAAATATATTGGGATGTCTTAAAGGGGCTTCAAATATGATTAAATCATATTTTATATATTTATATTTTTAATTATAAAGATCTAAAATGCTATATTTCTTATATTTAATGGTACATTAGGTATGGCATTGTTAAAATGAAAATTTAAAATTTAGAAATTAAGTACTTCCTCGTATATAGTACTTTATTTTTTAATCAAATAATATATATATAATTACGAAAGATTTATTAATTATGTTTTAAAGTGAATATAATGTAATGCCTACAAAAAACAGTTATTTCTTTTCAATGATTTAATAAATTTTTATTTTTAAGAAACTTAATAATACTTTTCATGTAAGCACAAAGCATATAGGTAATTTAAAGCCTTACAAGTTCTCGTTTTTTTAATAATTTCCATTTTATTGTGGGAGCTTTATTTGTTTCTTTTAAATGCCAAAGATATTCAGATGGGGGTGTTTGGTTACTATACTGATTGTTTTAAAGGAAGACTGGTGCTGGTACCATCTTAATTTAAAATCATTTTTACTGCTTCTAATATAAAATTTTATATCAGGATTTTCAATAGATGAAATAGTACACTGGTAAACTATAGATTCTGTAACACATTTATTATTCAATGGACAATTTATGAGATTCCTACAGTTACATAATTTTTCATTACTATTATTTATTCTCATTTCTGAACCACTGTTTTTTTCATTTTGGTTTAAGCATTTATTTAAAATTTATTATGCTTTTTAAAAAGAATTTCTAAATTTTCAGTACAACTATAACCTAATTTTAGGGTATTTTTATTAAAAATCTTGCTAAGAGGATTTTTTCTTGGAAAACACCCATTTAAAAATTTAAAATCCCATTCCCCCTCCAGCTTAAACTCTTAAATGTAGTACTACTTTGCTTAAATAAGTAAATTATTTTTTCTGCAGTTATTTAACATCACTTGAAAATGGAACAAAAAATTTCAATTTTAATTTTTAGTTCCGAAACATAGTAATTTCTGTGTTGCGATGAAAACTTATTTTTAAATAATAATTTATATATATATATATATATATATATATATATATATATATATATATATATATATATATATATATTTCTGTTTTGAAACTTGATATCCAATATTTTTCTATTCATTTTGTCTATTCATACTTGAAGTTGATGAAGAGGTATTTAACTCAAAATGATTTTTGTTTGAAAAAAAACAGCTCTGCTCTTTTCTATAACTTAAGTGTAATGGATTGAAATAACCGTAACATAATAGGAATGTCAATCAAAAAATGTTGTACACTGGCCGATTCTACCACTTTATGGCAAATTCCGTTTTCGCCATATTGATCCAAGCTTTCAAGACATGATAATTCTAACAAACTTTTAAGGCGACAGATCTTAGACACTAAGAAAAGAATGATTTGGTGATAGACATGAAAAATTATCACATCTACCTTACAATCTGAGGTAACATTTTAAAATTAACCAACTTTTTTTTTAAATTGTATGAAATAAATGTAGTCGATAGCAGCTTGTAAATTTAGCAATTAAATATAAACTTTTGTCACTCATTTTATAACATATCGTCGATTATATATTAGAATCTTCTTTTATTCCATATCTTTATATTTAAGAGGTGTTGCTGAAAAGTTTTCTGGTCAATCTACTCTCAAATGGTAAAATATTAGTATTTTGTGTGGGGAAGTTAAAGAAATTAAAGAACAAAACTTTAAAAGCAATTTGGAAAACGTTGAAATGCAAGGTTAATATGAGGAATAGCCTGTAAGATTTAGGGCTCTTGATCATTGCTTTTGATGGAGCCGAAGACTTTTCAGTACCATCTCATTTATATAAAAATTGATTGATTGATTAATAATCTCTTTTTAAAATTGCAGCTCGATCTATTTCTTGTGACTTTGAAAAAAAGTTTACCTGTGGCTACAATCATACTTATGGATGGAAGCATGAAAAAATTTCCCTTTATGGTCTGCCAGAAATAGTTTTAAATAATTCAGGTAAATATATTGGATAAAACCAAGGCGATCCATATACCAGGTCTCGCAACCATGCGACTGGGGTCTACGACTAGTGGCGAACTGAGTTAAGGATCGCCTTGGATAAAACTAATTTGAGAAGTTACCGCGATTAACTTGTGTAATTATTTCTCTATCTGTATGAGTGTTTTCTTTTATGGACGCAAAATGTGTAAAAACTGTCCAAATATTCTGCATATCTGTCCAAATATTTTGTATATCTGAGCGCTATTTGTCAGCCATTATCTGAGACAATATTTATTTATTTTTAACTGAATGTGTGTTTTTTATATATATACCTAGTGTTATACGAATGTTTTATTTTCCAAACACAGTCAGCACACTGTGGCCGTGTTCATAGTTGTGTACCTGTATGAAGTATGGATAAAAGTAAAAAGAACGATAATTTTGAAAATGTAAGTTTCCTACTGGATTCGAAACTCGATTTGTGAGTTTGAACGCAGGAAAATATAATGTTAACAGGTACGAAATGTGTGTACGTGCAATTAGTCATTGGAGTCTGTTCGGTTATCTAAAATTAGGGTAAAAAATACGCTCCTATCGAGAATTGAGGTTAAAAGGTTAGTGGACAGTGTTGAAGAAAGCTTCCTGACTCCTATTTCCGAAGAAAACGAAACCAGGAAGGAAAGAAAAGGAAGAAATAAAGAAATGCTATGTCGAAAACTGTCGGACAAAGCCAGTTAATCTTACTGTGAAATTTTTAGTCGGGTAAAACCAAAATCCCTACTGACTATCGGTTGTGGGAGGGGACGAAGAATCTAATATTGTGAAAATATTTTCCAATAGGTGTGAATCGCCCCAAAGCGATCTGCCTTTCTCTAGGAAAATGTTAATTTTTATAGAAACAGCTAAAAACAGTCGCCCAGAATTAGTTTGAGAGATAGTATCGGGAGAGAAGTAGAGACGATAATTTTAATCTAGAACAGAACTGCGGCTGACCAATGAACCAGACGACTGCTACTGATGATTGCTAATTTTAGCCTGTTTCTCTTGTGAATAAACTTACGATAATTTGGGAAGTTTGACAACACTTTATTTATTTATTTATTTATTTATTCATTTTTTTTTTTCGTGGATCCGAAAAGAAACTCATACCAAATAATTTAACTGTTAATATTTTTTTGTTTGAACTTTCTCCAAGCATTTTTTATTGGTAACGTCTTGCTAAAGGAAAATAAAACTTCAGATTTTCTTTTTATCACCAAATCCGATGTTGCAACATTTCTTCCTTGATTTCGACATCTGAAGAAATCTGAGACGACATTCGTAGACGATCCATTAAAATTTACCCATGGTTCAATTTTGTTAGTTTTAGTAACAAATTGCGATAGACAACGTACTTAACTCCTTGTAATCAAGCAGACCCAACTTTGACATTAAGAGGATCTCTTCGGACAGAGATCAAGAGACTGTTCTACCTAATGCCAGAAACCTGATTACAGTTAGTGAAGTGACAAAATGGTATTTAGCGATGTCACCAAGGCTATATCTGGGACCGGATCGGCTTAAGATCACAGTTGATGATATTGTGCGCTGGCTTTTTTTTTTTTTTTTTTTAATTATTATTACTGCTTCAATTATTTTTAGTGTTTTTTACATGTGGATGAGTCCATTATACTTGTATTTTCTACAAGTATGTTGCAAATTAAATACTTTCATAGTAATTACTCCGAGGAGCTGCATTCGCTGGTTCCCAGACTTCATGAGTTCAAGCGCCTTATGAGGCTGGCATCCGCTCTCACCCTTTCACTGTTGAAACTAATTAAATGTAGCCGTCTCTTCTACTCCAATAGCTTCATATCTCGCACCTCTCGCCTGTTGAACTCCCTTCCCTATTCCAGTTTCCCTGAGAGCTATAATCTCCAGCTATTCAAATGTAATGTCAATCGACATCTCCAGTTGCCTTGATCTATCCACTACCCTTCTCCTCATTCTTTCTTCTATCACTCCTATCTGATTTTGCTCCAAATTTTCTGTAACCCCTTGCGTCCTAGTGGCTTCCCGCCTTGCTTGGGGTGAAATGCTTAAATAAAAAAAAATGTGTTTGATAGGTGTCTGTGTGTGTTTTAATGAATTCTACTTTAGCTATGATTAGACAGATGAAATAAGTGAGTTGTTTTAAATTTTTTATACTAGATAATTTAATTTTCTTGTTCTGGTCGACTGGGGTTGCGTATTTCTTTATAATCTTTCTGAAAGAAAATTAATTTTGCTTATAGTCAACGTGTATTTGGCTTTCATAAAAATGTTAATATTGTTTTTATCTGTATATTCAGTATTGTTATTAGTTATTTTAGAATGAGATAGTCTAATCTGGTGACCGTGGGGAAGGGGGGGGGGTAATTCGAAAAACCGTTGTTAACTAGCGTCTGTTTCACATCATTGAGTTCTTTAAGAAAAAGGGGGCGAAAGATGAATTTTCGTGTAATCTCTTGAAAATTTTTGTAACGACTATTTTATATCTAAATGAGTATTCACTCATAAAATTAAAATGGCAATAATTTTTCTCGTGTTTTTTGTGTAACAGAGAGAGGTATACACACGCACACGCACTCACATGAATGCACACACGCAAATATAACTTTTATTGACTTGGAAGTGGAAATGGTGTTTATATATGAAAGTACAATTTGGGTTAAGATGTGTGTTTACCGATGAGAAACACGATCTCAGGTAGGAGGCGATGTTTAAATCTGGGTCATTAGAAAAAACAAAGAAAAAATGATCTAAATAGAATTTATCGGTTAAAAATTGAAATAGAGATTACTCAGGCTACGAGATATTTGGTTTTCTTTAACAGTATTTGTTTTGATTAAAAGGTTGAATCAATGTTTAGATATCCCAAAGTATACTTTTGGGGAAGCGAGAACTCGTGGTAAATAATTGCAGAATCGGTTTGCATGTCAAGGGATAGTTTTTGGCAATCATGATAATCACGTGCCGGGCCAAGGGTCAATTCATGATCAACCAGATTCATCTATATAAACGCAGAGTTATGCGGAAGAGAGGCAGACGGTCGAGCGAGACGGAAGAGACCAGACCGGAGAGAGAGACGGTAGAGACCGCGATTGGTCGGCACATCGTCGTCACGTGCGTGAGCACCCGCAGGCGACCATTACGGGTCGCGGTGCTACAAAAAGACGGGAGAGAGACTCTGAGAACGAGACCGTCGTCGAGAGAGTCCCGAGAGATTTGCGGGAGAATTAGAGAAGGAAGACTGCCCCCTGTTCTGAGAAGTCTGTATGAGTCATAAACCTACCCCAGGCGATTCAATACGCGTTTATCACACACAAACCCTCTCTCTATTGGGAATTCGCTGGATGCATTGTGTCTTTTTCTTTTCTCATTTATGTTAAATGTTTTTATTCTCCCTGTAATCTCTGTTCTGATGTTATCTTCTTATATAAAAGACGTCAATATCTCCCCCATTGTTGTTTGGCTTCTGCAGATATTATTTCTTGTTTTATTTTGACACATTCTAAACTTCCTACCGCCAACTCTCATAGCCGTGTCCACATCCCCAGTCGACCGTGAACGTATGGACAACACCCCGCTTACTGCATCTAAAAACTAACACAGCGTGGGCAGCGAGCAGGACTTGACCAGTTGACCGGTCGAAATAATCTACGGGTACTCAGGAAGCGTACGGCCAGTTACCCCGAAGTTCTGTTCGGACCGAGTGGACACCTCAACCCAGGGAGGGGGGACCCCAGAGCTTGAGGGACTGGGGACGAAGTGGTAGATTTGTATAACGAAGTAGTGAATGTGTTACTACTGATTTCTATGTGAACGTTTAGAATGGAAGTTTATTTTTTCATAGGTAAAGTTAAGGACGGAGATTTCTTTAAATGTTGTTTTGAAATTATTAATTTCTTTTCTTTTTTTTCTTTTGTTTTCAGTGCATAGAGGACATATATTCTGGGTCTAGTAACTTTTCTAAATATCTTGTTCTACGTGAGACATGCTAGAGAAACACAAACCTACTGGATTTCCTATATTAACACCACTAGTTTGAGAGTAGATATTGCCATTATGGTCGTAAAAGGGAAATTTAGTTTTGCAGTCATGCAATAATTTTTTGTTGCACATGATATGTAAAAAGGAGCAATGTCATATTGAAAAGATTCCCCATTTTGTAGATCGGTCAATTAGACCGTAATAAAGTAATATATTTTTCACTGGTTAGGTTTCCATCAACATTTACCAATTTTCTTCTACCATCGTTTTCGATGACAATAGAGGTCAAATATAAAAGTAAGAATCAATTATCAATTATCGAATTTGAAAGTTATGATCGAATATGGAATATAAAATATGTCAGTTAAGATCGAAAATGTAATATAGAACATAGACTGTAGAATCGAATATGGAATATGAAAATTAACATCGAATATGGACTAATGAATATAAAAGTTAGGATCGAATATGGAATATGAAAGAATTGAATATTGAATAGGAAAATTAAAAATGAATATAAACTATGGAATATGAAAGTTAGAACCGAATATGAAATTTGAATGTTCAGATCGAATGTTGAATATGGAATATGAAAGTTAGGATGGAATATGGAATATGAATATCAGAATTAAATTGAATATTAAATATGAAATTTTGAATCAAATATAAAGTTAAAATAAAATATAGAATTTTAAAGTTAAGATCGAATGTGGAATATTGACTATGAAGATTAGAATAGCATATAGAAGTTAGAATCGGTTATTGAATATGAAACTTAAAATCAAACATGGAATATGGAAGTTAGAATCTCATATGAAAGTTAGAAAGGAATATGGAATATGAATTTAAGAATCGAATGTGGATTATGAAAGCTAAGATCGAATGTGAAATGTGGAATATGAAGATTAGGATAGAATATAGAATATATGAAAGGATTGTATGTGTAAAATAAGAATTAGAACCGATTGTAAAAAATGAAAATTATGATCGAACTGATGTTATTAAGCATGATTGGTGCAGTGTCATATTAGGAAGAAACGATATTAGATGTGTTATAAATTCAAGTAAGATTTGAAATTGTGAAGGGCATGCTATTGTTGGTGTCTGCGATCATATCGTGAAGGGTAGTGGAAATTTGTAGAGGTTTGTTGCAATAATCACTACACATTTAGTGTCGAAATAGAAATGCATAAGTAATCATAATAATAATGATTAGGACGATTCTGATAATTATCACATCATAATTGTAAAATATTAATATTAAAAATGATCATAAAATATTTAGCATATTATCTGTGATTATACAATTATCTTTGTATTATTTCTGTGTTGGCCAAATTAATAAATTGTTTTTTTTTCATTGTAGAATATTCAATGGTTTTACATTATGGAATGGGGCTTCTTATGTCTCCTTTCGAAATGATTCCTCAGTCTTGTGTTCAGTTCCATCACATTGGTGACATCGGTTCACGTCTGTGGGTGAAGGTGCATAATAGCAACAGCACAATCACGACGTCATGGAATTATTCCTACACCAGTTTAGGAATATGGACGCTTGGTCAATTCGAAATACCAGAAGGAAATATATCTTTGATGTTCGTTGGTTCTAGCAAACTTTTGGGAATAGCGCTTGATAATGTAATTCTTCAGAATGGCAACTGTGGTCCAATTGGTGAGTAATTACATTTACATCCTCATAAAATCCAACGGGATAAATTTAACACAATTTAATTTGTCTATAATTCCGTCTAAATCATTTGATTCTCTTATATGTAAGAACCTCAATGTAAGTATTGCAGTGAGTGATTGGGAAATGGTTTAAATATATGAAACACATAAAATAATCTTTCTGTAAATGTCATCAGAGTTGTAAAGTTCGGTTTAACAGAAAATGATTCAAATACTCATTCAATTATTATTGGATTGCATTAACTTCAATCAAATCAGATTTTTTTTCTTTTCTGTCACTTGTTTTTTTTTTTTTTGTTTTGTTTTTTTTTTTGTACATTTCGATTTTACCACATTACAGTAACGTAAATTTAATGTTACTCTTTTTGATTATTCTTTCCTGTTATTCTAATCACTATTATCCAATATAAAAATGACAGTCGATGAAATGAGATGAGAAAGTTTTCCTAAATTCTATATTTAGTCTAAAACCGGTGATCACTGTTGTATTATCTAGTAATCCTCTTAATAAAACTCTCCGGGAGTAGGAGCAATTAGCTCCCTTAGTCTCTAACGGTACTAACCCTCTTTCTACTGTTGTCCGTCATGGAATAAACACGTGTACAGCTTTTCGCTCGTCGTCTTGTCTCTGTGTCATAAGGGAAGACTGGGAAACGAAACATGGTGCCAGAAGAAAAGGATTTAAAAAAAAAATGAACATGGACCCCGTGCAGTCGTTTAAAAAAATAAAAATAAAAAAGACGACGTTTCTCTTCGACTGAAATAAACATACTTTAAACAAATACTACCGCCATTAAGTTAAAAATTTTCAGAATTCTTGTTGAACTTTTTCAAACTCAGATTTGGACATGGCAAACTCTCATGTCCCACCACCAAGTATTGACTGGACTAGTCCCAATCCAGGGAAGGAAATGGACAAATTTGCACGAAAAGCGATGTTACCTTTAAACGGAACGTTCTTAGACGCTAGTGACAGCCTAAAAAATTAAGTACCTATTAATTTGGGCAGGGTATGAAGGCTAAGAAGTAAGTGAGACGTTTGTTTTTCAGAGAGATGAAGGGAGAACTGTAGAAAGCTATATAAACAAATTTAAAGCTTTCGTGAAGCCCAGGTCAAACTTTCGAGTCTTCCGACACGAACTAATGAGATACCGACAAGAGGCTAATGAGACGGCGCACGTCTTCCTAAAAAGGTTCCAGCAACAGATGAAGCTATGTGAATATGAACGCGAATTCGAGGAGACCATGTTGGTGGATCTATTTATATGCGGAATAAACCTCAAATCACCGCAAAAAGCCCTATTAAAAGAAGGAAGGGATTTAACGATTTCATCACCTTTAAAAGTAGTGGAAACGGATGAAGCAACGATCAGACATCTAGAATCAATTCGTGCCCCGGCAGAAATGACGACCACGCACACGATTAAAAACAAAAGTGCGAAGAAATGCAGACACTGTGCTACAGACCACGAGGTGGGACAATGCCCAGCAAACGTTAAAACGTGCAAGGAGTGCAAGAAAAATGGCCACTTCTCACGTGCGTGCTTCCCAAGTGAAAAAAAAAGAACAGAAGCGAGGACAACTAATAAGTTTCTTCGATGCCAAAAGACAAACAAGAAGCGTCAGAATATATATACGACGGTACAACAGAACAGCAGTGGTGAGGAATACACCAATGACATGTATTTCCAGGTGGTGGAAACAAAAGGCACAGACAGAAGAGAGCTACCTAGCAGTGCAAAAGAGGTGGAAGCAAATGCCAAAATTGATAATGGAGCCATGAGCAACCTCCTACCACTCGAAGTATTTAAAAAAAACTACAGGGTGTGCAACTAGAAAAGATTCCAGTACGTCTGTTTGCATTTGGGGGTACTGAAATAAAACAAGCAGGTGCATGTCTCCTCAGAGTGCGACACAGAGATACATTCACCAGTGCCACATTCCACGTGGTGAAGACAAACGAACCAATGCTGATAGGGTTACAGGCGTCCAGAAAACTACGCTTGGTAACATTCAACCTAGTAGTACAAACGGACAACTCTTATATAGCGGAATCTGGGAAAGTTTTGAAAAGACCTAATAGTAAAAAAGTAGCAGAACTACCACCCAAACAGAACCTCAACACACGGGAACAGGTCCTAAAAGAATTCCCTAACGTATTTGATGGAATAGGATTCCTACCAGGGGAATATACTATAAATATAGGCCCCAAAATACCACCAGTTGTCCACCCACCACGTATAGTCCCAGTACCACTGAGGGACAAATTCAAAGCTCTCTTGAGAAGCAGGGCATCATATCGCCCATCACAAAACCCACTTCGTGGGTAAACTTATTTGTATGTGTCTCCAAGGCGAATGGCTGTTAGGTTATGCCTAGGCCCGAAAGACTTAAATAAAGCCATACAAAGACCTCACTTTGTAACACTTACATTCGAGGATGTAGTTACATTGGATTAAATGGTTTACAATCGTTGACGTGAAATCCGGATATTGGCAGATGAAGCTAGATCAACAGTCAAAGGAACTAACAAAACTTCATTACACCATTTGGACGATTTTTCTTCAACAGATTTCTAATGGGCGTAAAATGCGCCCAAGATGAATTCCAAAGAGCAATGTTCAAAAACTTTGGCGACATTAAGAACGTTTTATCGATATCGGACGATACCATTGTGTATGGGTTTGAGGAAGATCGTAGTGACCATGACACTGCACTTAAGGAACTTCTTGAAAGATCTAGGGAAAATAACTAAGTTCAACCCTGATAAACTGAGGGTACGGGCCTCTGAAATACCCTTCTTTGGGCATATAATATCAAAAGATGGTATAAAACCAGATCACAAGAAGGTCAAGGCAATTACGCACATGAAACCCCCGGAAGATAAGAAGCAGCTAGCGAGCTTCCTTGAGTTAGTAAACTACCTCAATATATTTTCCCCACACCTAGCAAGACTCACTAAGCCACTACGGGACGTGATGCCCAAAGACATTGAGTTCATTTGGACTCCTCCACAGGAAGAAGCATTCGAAAGCATCAAAAAGGAGATTAGTGAAACCACAGTGTTAAGCTTCTTCAATTCAATAACACTGCAGGTTGACGCCTCAACCGCAGGTTTGGGAGTAGCACTGCTACAGGACCAAATACTTGTAGCATTTGCCAGCAAGACACTAACAGGACCAGAAACCCGATACGCCAACATCGAGAGAGAAATGTTAGCTGTCGTGTTTGGATTAGAATGATCCATCATTATATATGGGGGCATAGGATGACAGTGAACACTGACCACAAAGAACACCAGTCGACAGCACTGAAGAACTTGGCAAAGACACCACCAAGACTAGCAATAATGCTACCAAAAGTGGAAGGATAAAGTATTGTCCAGGCAAAGCAGTCCCCTTTGCAGATTGCTTATCAAGAGTATCCCCCAGACCTGGAATGCCAGTGAAGGGTATTGACTTCAACATACATATGCTGAATCAACATCTCAATGCATCTCCAACACGATTAGAGACTGTATAGGAGGAAACAACAAAAGATCTAACTCTAAATGCGTTAACAAAAGTCATCACGGCAGGATGGCCAACAGATAGAAACAGCTTCCCACCCACTCTTCTTTCTAGGACTTCAGAAAAGAAATAGGAATACGGACTGGTGTAATGTTGAAAGGGAACAAGATTATAATACCAGCGTCCCTTCGGTATGACATACTACAGCAATTAAATGCCTCCCACCAGGGGATTGAGAAAACAAAGTTAAAAGCGAGAACAGCTGTATACTGAGTATTGACATTGAAGACATGGTCACGAAATACCCAACGTGCCAGAATCACCAGCCAAGCCTCCGAACAGAGATACTATTCCAACACGAGACCCCATCCTACCCCTGGCAATACATAAGTACTGATTTCTTTACTATGGAGGGCAATCATTACCTCTTCACAGCTGATCAGTTTAGCAAGAGTCCGTTTGTCAGACGCTTCCATTCTACCATATCTGCTGCAGTAATAAAACAACTGAAAAAAACAGTTTGAAGAATGAGGCGAACCAGAGATAGTCTACAGTGACAACGGACCCCAATACACCAGTGTAGATTTTACCAACTTCTCCTAAAGATAAAAAAATATGACTTCAGGTGTAGGAAGTAGGAGCAATTAGTTCCCTTAGTCTCTAACGGTACAAACCCTCTTTCTACTGTTGTCCGTCATGGAATAAACATGTGTACAGCTTCGCTCGTCGTCTTGTCTCTGTGTCATAAGGGAACCCCGGGAAACGAAACAATCATTGAGAAAAATATTTTTGTCACTACGTGAGCATTATATTTTCGCTATGAAAACTTAAATCGAAAGAAATCGAGAAATTAAGTTGTTGGCATAAAACATAAACCACAGAAAATAAATCACCTATATTTGAACTGACTTTATTGCTTTTTTAGAAATGCGTTAATATATCTTTATTTGTTATATAGATATATAAAAACAAGCCATAGTACTGTGTCGAATATCATCACTGTCTAAATGTTCTCTACTTCTTGACACAAATTAAAAAGATGATTCAGCGTTCGACTCGGCTGCAGAATTATAAAATGCCTGTAACTTAATATTACCCAAGATTCGTAAATAAAATGATTTTATTTCAAACATTCCATATTAGTCGTATCAGTAATATGAGCTTAGATTCAATTCAAATTGTTTTCTTGTTATTTTGATCCCTGCTAATGATTTCAGAGATGACTTTTTAAAAATGTGTCATCAGATATTGACTTAACAGTGTTTTAAGTTTCAAATATAAATGTTGATAGGATTCTCTTTGGGTTAACCTCTTTATTATTTTTCAATTTCCAGTTTGTCCAGATGATTCTTTTACTTGTGGTAGTAACGAAAAGTGCATTTCTCATCGAAGCAAGTGTGATCGAATCCAAGATTGTGCAGATAACAGCGATGAAGTCAACTGCAGTATGTATTCAATTCTCAATTCAAATTCATGAAAACATTATTTTTATTGGAATTAATTGTTAAAGAATTGTTATAAAGTAGATTTGAAAATCAAGAAAATTGTTAGTTATGAAACACAATTCATTACAAGGATTAATTCCGATAATAACCGATTAATTCCGATAATTGTCGATTCTAAAAACATTTGATTTATTTCCTGTTATTATGCTTCTACATCCTAATCGTGATAGGTTTGCGTTCAAGAAATAAAGTAATTGTAATCGTGGAAAAATAATGATGTGATTTATTTTGCTTTCTATTAAAGACGACAATACTTTGCACCGAACTGACGGAAAGATAAAGGCAGGACAGCGTGGGAAAGATAATCAGATTGGAATTTAGGAATAGTCTTAATGTTCTTACATTTGAATTACTTAAACAGAATTTGAAAATAGTCACTTGGCAAACTCAGTGATAATTCCTTTTCTAATGGGTTATATAATGGGTTATATATATATATATATATATATATATATATATATATATATATATATATATATATATATAGTTTTAAAACTAGGAAACCATTGATTTTAATATTAAAAGTCTCTAGGGCCCTTTCAGCCAACATCTCATCAGGAGACAATCGTTGGATTAGCGAAATGAATAATAGCGATATTGAAGAGCAAAAAAGAGGGGGAAACAATAAAATAACGAACAAGTATATATACTTGTAACGAGGGAAGGGATCGTGTAAATAAATAGCGAGGGACAGTTAAAATAAAATATCCCCCAACAGATTCAGAGACCTTATAAATTCTTTCTGCCGGCAGAGAGAAGGTTTTCTAAATCCTATACAGACCGATTCCAAAATCTTCAAATGATTATTGGAATCGGATGTTGGCTGAAAGGGCCCTAGAGACTTTTAATATTAAAATCAATGGTTTCCTAGTTTTTAAAGCTATTTATAAATTTTGTACCTCCAAACATTTGTATATATATATATATATATATATATATATATATATATATATTTCTTACAGTTGGAATTAAGACACCATTAGTTAATGACCATTTTCACCTACGAATTGTAATATTAAAATTCGCAGGATTTTTCAAACTATCAGTTTGTAGGAGATTCGTTAGTTGCGGGAAGGAAAGAGAGATAGAGAGAGTGTGTTATAGGAGTTAGAGTGGGAGATATGACAGAAAGATGGTATCATCGTTGCAGGAGGTAGGAATTGTGGAGGTAGGAATGGGCAGGGGTCGAGAATGGGAACCTGAGTAGAGAGAGACAAGGGGAACCCAATGATTTGACCTACATCTTAATGATCACATGGCTAAAATTTGATTCAACGGGAATCCACCGAAATTAGCGAAAAAATGAAAAAACCTAATTTATATAAAAAAAAATCACGAGATAATCTTAGTGAGATAAAAGGAAGATAATTCAGAATTATTGGAGTATTAAATTCGTCCGTATATCAGAACCCAAAATTTGGGGAAGTGTTTTCAAACATTTTGAGGGAATTTGAATATATATGCGCACACATGCGTTCGTCCACGTTAAGAACATCTCTACCCTTATAGCATCTATACGCATATACGCATAAATACCTACATACATGCACATTCAGTCGACATGTATCTACATATAACCTAGGTACCTCGATGAGATCGCTAAAAAATGAGCATAGCATGATGAAAAAGACACCAAACTTGACGAAAACAAAATTTTATCGTCTAAATGTTTATGCTATTATTAAGAGGAAAGAACAAAGTATTTTTTAATTGTTTTTAAAAATTTCCTTCTTTTTAGAACATTCTAACTTTTGATTAAAAAAAAAACTGTTTCTCTTTATGTCAGCGGAACTACTAAATAAAATTTTAGCGCGTTTTCTTGGCAAAAATATTTTTTTATATTTATTACCCCCACTCCCACAACTAATTTTATGAAAACTGTCGAAATTTAAAATTGGACAATTTAGTATTTAAAAGCACAAGGTTTGAGGAAAGCAAGTCATGTTTTTCTTTTTTTAGTTGGACCAACTTTACCTGAAAATCATCTCTGAATTGTAACATACAAAAATCAATAAAAAAAATATTATCTAATTTCAAATGCTTTTATTTGCTTTTGTTTGTTTTTATGAATATGGAAAAATTGTCTGAAAGCAAAAAACTTTTTCGATGAAAAATGAATTTTTTAAATTATTATTTGTTATTTCTTAAATTATTTTATTATTATTACATTAATGTTGTTAAATATTCTAAAATTAGTGAAAATTTTGTACGGTTTAGTTAATGGTGTTATTAAATGAATGTATCTTTACAGATTATAAATTGTAAAGCTTATTACAATCACCAGTTTATTAAAACACATTTTTGGCATGGCTTTTGCGTTCATAAAACGACTGTAATTCAAATATACGGAAGACCGTACATGAAAACAATAAAACATCGCGTTATTCCCATTTGTTACACCCTTTATTTTTGCGACTTGTTCGTGCGAAGTTTATTTGATTTTTCAATTTCAACTGAGAATGATACCTATAATTATTAGGTACCTATCTTATGAAATTTATGTGATCTTATACTTATATTATCTCATTTATAACATTTTTCACTAAATGAAATATCAAAATTAATAATAAAATGAATGGAAATTCAAAAGCACAGTAAAATGTAATAAATGTACATAAAATCATAGTATTTTATGTACACTCCTGATAAAATTTCATAAGAAAAAGTACCTATAAATTAATTAGATACATTTCTTCTAAAATTTTACCCTCGTCTCAGTCTCAAGTCTTATTTTAATTTTTTTTTTATAATATATTTTCCATAAAGCATCGTAAAGGTGAAAGGTAAGTACAAAAAAAGAAAAACAAAATATTAGAGCGCTGAAAGTTTTCCTTAAAAATAACGAGGTAAATAATTGGTTCACGTAAATCTAAATAATTATGTCACTTCTGTCCTTCCGTACGATAACTTTGCCTCATGTAAGTTGTCAATATGTGATGAAATCATCACTCAATACTTGTCAAGTGATACCAAATCTTAAGACCTGCTTTGTCTTATTTTTAAACTACATGTTTTCGGCGCAAAAAGTAAGTAGTGTTTGTTTCAAAATATTTTAAATAAACTTTATAATTTCTAATTTTCTTAAAATAAATTTTGAAAAAATTATAAGTGATTTTTAAAAGAATTTTAAACAGAGATTTTGATTTTTTTATAAAATGGAAAAAATGGTTGACATGATTGATTATCTGTCAATTTTGCTGACTCAAAGAAACAAGATTTTAAATGAAAATTTCGGACGTGATAGGAACGATTAAAAAATGCAAAAAAATACCCCAAAATACTTTGATCTTTCCTCTTCATAATAACATAAACATTTAGACAATAAAAATTATTTTCATCAATTTTAAGGCCCTTTTTATTCATGCTATAGAGATTTCATGGAGGTACCTAAGAATGAAATATTTTCGAAAGGTAGTAAAAGGGGTTAAGAAAAACCTGGGCATAAACCATAAACAGATTTATAAGTAATAAAAACGTTATTAAGTACGAATGTATAACCATTCATTATTTCCTTAGATATATATTCCAAGGTCACTTCTTCAACCCGTAATCTGATATATATCGTAAGTAAACCTTTAAAACTACTTATTAAATTTATATATTAATGTATGTACCATATGTTAAGTATGAAAAAATGGAAACGTTATTTAATACTCAACCCATCCAAGCAATCTGTACACAACGACCATGAATTCGACGAGAAGTCGTCCTCTTATATGGTTATAAATTTGTATTTAACAATATTTTCTATTTCGTTTTCATTTTTATCTCATAATTCTATTTAATAACGGTTGAATTAATGCTCAGTCTTTTCTAACTTTTACTACCCTTCGCAAAATATTTTCATTCTAACATAGGGTTATATGTAGATACATGTCAACAAGTATATGTATGTGCATGTATGTAGGTATCTATGCGTATGTACATATAGATAGCTGTAAGAGTAGAAATGTTCTGAACGTGGACAAATGCATGTATGCGCATATATATTCAAATCTTTGAAAAATTCAACAATTGACGAATTTGATACATCAATAATTCTGAATTATCTCTCTTTCATCTCACTGAGATTATCTCGTGATTTTTTATATAAATAAGGTTTTTCCGTTAATTTCCGTGGATTCCCGTTGAATCAAGCTTTAGCCGTGGGATCATTAAAATGTAGGTCAGCTCATCGGGTTCTCCCTCTACCCAGGTTCCCATTCTCTCCCACTGCCCACTCCTACCTCCATAATGTAATTTCTGCAACGATGCCATCTTTCTGTCATATCTCCCACTCTGACCCTTATAACGCTCTCTCTCTCTCTCTCTCTCTCTCTCTCTCTCCCCCTCCCTAACCAATCTCCTTCTAGAAACTGATAGTTTGAAAAATCCTGCGAATTTAAATATTAAAATTCGTAGGTGAAAATGGTCATTAACTAATGGTATTTTAATTCCAATTATAAAAAATATTTTTCTCTGTTTAATGAAAACTTAGCAACACAGACAGGATTAATATATAATCCCATAAATCAAGCCCTATTCACATTTCTCACCCAGACAAGACAGACATGCTTGCAGAGATAATGAAGTCTTGCACATATACACACACACTCACACAGATATGTACAGATACACACATCACACACACTCCCCAAAAACTAAAAGACAACATACACTTAACACACACATTCTCTTCCCAACAACCAATAAAGCTGTCAAAATGACCAAGGAGAGAATTCTGAGACTCGGGAGTCTCCCAACCTCTATTTTAAGAACAACTTGAAAGAGTCCGTTTAACTAATACAAGGGCTGACCAAAATAACGTTAAAAAAATGAAACCTACAGATAAAGTTCACTTTCTTCAGAGACAGTCATTCACTCCTGTAGTTCACTGCTACTAACAAGCATGATTTTTTTTTCTCCTGATGATGGCCATGTTGGCCGAAACTAGTCGAGGAACCTAATTGAAATAATAAGGCAAAAAATATTAATATACAACCCAGTGTGTCTGAAAATTTTAATTTTTTTATTTTTCAAAACGTGTGTGTGTGTGTGTGTGTGTGTGTTTGCAAATGAAATAATAAATAAGAGGCACTATTTTGTAATCAATCTGTCAAAAAAGATGCCAAAAATATTTCATTTTGCAAAATAAAATTATCTTTATTTCTCACCTGTCATTAAATTATATGGCATTTCGTAATCTTGTCATTTTTTTTCTATTTCAATGTTGATGCAATTTTCTTTTCAGCTTTTGAAACAAATGCACAAATATCTAAAATTCAGATCTTTATTATTGATATAATGCGAAAGTACACTGGATAATATTACTAAGCAACAAACTGGACTAAAAATTACTTTATTCTTCAAGTTTTTTTTAATGGTATTGTTCCAACAAAATCTCGCTACAATGTGCCGTTTTTTACTAAGTTAATGTAATAAATCAATCATAAATAGAGATCGAATCATTATAATGCAGATATTTCATTAACCATGTGTATTTCACAAGCTCTTATAATCGAAACCTACAACTTGGTTTGAATTAGCCACATCTAGAAAAATTGAATGCCATATTGATATTTTAATTTTCAATATGTACGTATTTATTTCCTTTTTAAATTTTTACATGCTTATTTTCATTTGATTTTTAAGAAAATGCGTTCTCATAAATAGTTTTTTTTTCTTTCAAATTACGTTTCATGGCAATAATGTACTGTTTTTTTCTTATGAAATATAATATGTCTATTTGGCTGTTTCAGCTTCATCCATAAATTGTGATTTTGAAGATCCATATCAATGTGGCTATGAGTACGAACCCGGAACATGGAGAGTCAGCAGTGGAAAAATAGAAAAATATCCCGATTTAGACCATTCTCGTGGTCTGTATTCAGGTAAGGAAAATTTCATCTATCTATCTATATATTTATATCTATATCTATCTCTTTCTCCCCATTTCTCTCTCTCTCTCTCTCTCTCTCTCTCTATATATATATATATATATATATATATATATATATATATATATATATATAGGGGTTGGACAAAATAATGGAAACACCTAGAACCTTAGTATCATAATTTTGAAACCCCTATAAAACCATCAAACGCTTGTTATTTTTTATTTATTATTAATTTTTTTTTGTCTTATTTTACTAAAATGGTTGAGGAAACTAATCAAAATTCATTAAAATAGCAGATCTATCAGACTGTAAAAGACGTCAAATTATTGGTGATCTTATGGTAAGCGCTAGTATAACAAAAATTGCTGAATTATTTGGTCTGGCAAAGAGTAGACTCAAAAGTAATGACAACATTTGAGAAAGAAGGAAAAACCTCCTCATTGAAGCAAAACTCTGGAAGAAAGCGAAAGCTGTCTGATACGGACCGTCGAACTCTTACGTGGGTTGTTAGGAAAGATCACAAGCATATAGCCCCGAAAATTACAGCAGAACTTAATGACCATCTCGAGAGCCCAGTTTCTTCAAAAACTGCAGTAAGGGAGCTGCCACAAAGCCCGATTTCACGGGAGGGTTGTAATCAGAAAACCACTCCTTTTACAAAGCAATATTGCAATGCATTTAGAATGGAGTAGAAACCTACAGAACTGGTCCCTAGAACAGTGGAAGAATGTTATTTTCTTGGATGAAACCTTTACCTTATTTTAGGACATCTGGTCGAGCGGAGACAGCCTAAAGAAACATTCGATCCAGACTATCTTCTTCCAAGTGTTAAACATGGAGGAGCCTCTGTGATGATCTGGGGTGGGGGGTCTATATCTTGGAAATCTGCCGGCCAAATGGTTTCCCTTCATGGCAGGATCAAAAGTCAAGACTATTTAAAAAAAAATTATCAGATCAAATTCATCCTATGGTCGTGGAACTGTTTCCGGGGAGAAACGCTATCTTTCAGGATGATAATACACCAATTCACACTGCTAAAATTGGGTCTGTGTGGCACAAAGAACATTCTTGTGAAGTAGACCATCTTATCTGGCCACCACAGTCTCCAGATAACAATATTATTGAAAATTTATGGTGCATTTTAGAAAAACAAGTAAGGAGACGATATCCTCCAACATCATCACTGAAAGAACTTGAGATTGTTTTGCCAGAAGAATAGACAAAAATGAATCTGGAAAGCATGTGTGTGTGTGTGTGTGTGAGAGAGAGAGAGAGAGAGAGAGAGAGAGAGAACACTCACAACTGGCGTACATTCATAAGAAACAAGGTATGCATTGCTTATCCTATAAAATTTTCCAGTACTCAGTAAAAAAAATATTATGTATCAATTCTAACACATTATCTATTTCAATAGTGTTATAAAGTACCTAATGGTGGTCATAGAATTTATGCCTATTTGTAATAAATTCTTGATAGTAAGCAGGCATTCACCTTTGAAAATCAGTTACTCTGATATGCCAAACACATATTGGAGTAAGTACTTTCCACAATACAATTATGAGCTTCCAGTCGTAATATAGAAGAATTTAGTCAGACATTACACATCACACTTAGCAGTCAGTCACAGATGCTGCTGATTCGATGGAAGAGAAATGAATCCAATGTCTAGTCTTTTTATCTGCTTTTTGCCATTTAGTTTGAAGTATTTTTATTACTCTGATGTATTCCTTTCTTCTTCAGTTTATAATTTCTACCCACTTGAGTCAGATTTAAATATACAGTGGCAGTGAAAACTGGGGTCTCTTAGTCTTTTTCGAACAATGTGGACTGGCGCTGCAGAATCACAAACAAAGAACTGTACAAAATAATGGAAAACACATCAGTTTAGAAAATTCAACAGCAGTAATAACTAAAATGGATAGCACTTGTAAGAGAAAATAATGACATAATCAAGATGTTGACATTCCACACTACTTCAAATAAAAGGTTAGGAAGGAAACCCCCCCCCTACAATATTGGAAAGAGTGATAACAGCTACTGTACTTGAGAAACCCATTTTGTCAAAAAAAAAATTTAAGAGAATGATTTTATAAATTCAACCGAAAGCAGTATTGACTGCCAGGTCAATGAATGCCAAATGTTTCCAACCGCAGCAGGAACAGTTTTAGTTTTTACGTACCACATTTTTTCTGGTGGCATTTTCAAGTCTTTGTATTTACTTAGTTTTCCAAAAACATTTGCAGAGATGGTTTTCTCAAATGGTACGCTCATATCAATCAGTGTACAATTTTTTTCTTTTTTGTCATTAATAATAATGTCTGGAAGATTTGCTTGTTTTGTTTGATCTATTTTGATAGGAAATCCCACAAGATAGTAACATCTTTTCCCTCAACTACAGACTCTGAATTATGTATTATTATTATTATTATTATTATTATTATTATTATTATTATTTTCAGGCAATTTCTTTGTATCGTCCTTCAGTCAACAGTCAAATGATACCATACATGATCTTCATGCCCCCGAAGTGATGCTGCCAGTTGATGCTTGCTTGACTTTCTACTATTCTTTTCATGGTTCTGGAGAACTGGAAATACTTGACAATGACATGTCAATGCTGAAAATAAGACCAAATAACATCAATACGTGGCAGAAATCCCAGATCCAACTGAGCCCAGGAAAACACAATATCACTTTTTGTCACATAAATGGAAACTATTCAAACTCGGGGCCGTATAATGTTTTAGGATTGGACAGTATTCACCTTTCAAATGGAACATGTAAATTATTTGGTAAGTACACTTTATTTACTAACGTTGTGAAGTTATTCGATATTTGTTTTTTATTTAATTATCATCAAAATGATCTCAATGCCTTTATCTGGTTATTCTTCTAATTACATCCACATTTAGTATTTATTATTGACGATTGCAGAGTTGGGCTTCAAAACGTTATTTTAGATGCAACTAGCAAACTGGGATCCACTTGAAAGTTCAGCGCCATTAAAATTTGGGTACTACTTAAATAGATTGGTTCAGTCACTAAAAAAAGGGTAACAATTTTTGTAAAGGTGAATAGTTTTTTGTAGCTTAGAATTTCTTAGACTTTCTTCAAGTCACGATTTGTGAGAATTGAAAAATGTCAGTTTTTATTGATTTAGAACGGGGCTCATGTCTATTATATTGAAAGAATGTAAAATCGATTCCTGATTTTATTAGTTTATTCCTGAGTTACTTAAATTATTGAAAGTGTGATTTTTAATTTTCTTAATTTTTAAAACATTTTTGGTGGGTAGGGTAAAATTTCCCGAAGGACATGAAGAAATTTTTGTTCTTAAATTAAAAACTGATGTATCCGTTTGTTCTTTATTTAAAAAAAAATCCTTTTGTAAAAATAATGTACGTTGTCTTATACAGAAGAGTTATGTTTAGATAACCTCGTAAAAAATCGACCTTACACTGAATCGATATTATGAACAAGAACCCACTTTTAAAATGATAAAAATTCATTATTTTTATATTCTGCAAAATGTCATACCCTAAAGGAAGGATGCTAATCTACCAAAATTATTCGTCCCAAATATGTACCTATTTTTATGACTAAAACAATCTACTTAAGTAGTACCAAAATTTGAACTGACTTTTTGCTCATTTGGAACTGAAGCTGTTTTTTTAAAATAGCCTAAAACATTTTCAACAGCGAAACTGAAAATTTAGTTATATATTACCTTTCAATCTGGAATCATGGATATTTTTTTTACCAAAAGGTTTTTGGCAATTTTCACTGTCTTGAATTCTAGGATTCTTCATGTTTCATATTGTCAGTTTGAAGAAATTCAATCTACAATTTGACGAAGATATTTTTTAAAAAAACAAACCATTTTAAAACAATTATATTTTCTTTTTTTCAGAATGCGAAGAAGGTTGGAGAAAATGTAGCGATTCACCGGTTTGTGTTCCTGAATTTAAATTCTGTGATCACGGCGAAGATTGTGCCAACGGAGAAGACGAGCAAAACTGCAGTAAGAGATTTCATTTCAAAATGTGTATTCTCTAACGTTTGAAAATGATTGAAATTAATCAAATAAACCAAGAGGCTTGTCAACAAGAAATAGCAACTCTGGCAATCATTGAAATTGAGCCTTTTGTCCATACAATGATGGCCATCTTTAAGATTAAAGTTCCTTGATTCTAGATTACTTCCCTTGTTTGCCCAGGAAAATTATCTTCCAGCCAATTGTCACTATGCTGTGGTACTTTGAGTTATACAGTAATGTCGCTCCATTCTTTATATTTTTGCGTAATAATTTATTTTAGCTGGAATTTCATGGTTATTTTGAAAACTATAGGATTGATGAAAACTTATAGACAACCATGAAATGGTGGCTAGTATGGATGAAACCATTTTAGAAGAGAACATCCTTGAAAAATATTTATTTGTCACCGTTTATATCTCCACTTTCCAATCCCAAATGAACTTCTTAGTAATTTCCAATCATTAAATATTTATAAGATTCTCAAATCAGTGGTGTATTTATTAACTAAATTATTAAATAAAATATTTTAATTTCTCTCTTTCATTTGCCTCTCCACAAACCGTACACTCCTCCTCTTTTCCCACCTCCATTTTCTTTTATCTCTACTCCTCCTTCCTCCCATATGATGGCTAGTACGGATGAAGCCATTTTAGAATAGAACATCCTTGAAAAGTATCTACTTGTCACCATTTCTATTTCCATTTTCCAATGAACTTCCCAATCATTATATGTTAATAAGATTCTCAAATCAGTGGTGTATTTATTAACTAAAATATTTTAATTTCTCTTTTTCTTTTGCTTCTTCACCGTTTTTCTCCACAAATCTTAAACTTCTCCTCCTCCTCTTTTCTCACCCTCATTTTCTTTTATCTCTATTCTTCCTTCCCCCCATATCTTTTTCTACAATTATCAACAGAGGAATCTGGGCGAAAAAATGCAAAACTAACCCTTCCGTTTCATTTCATTTTAAAGACTTCTTCCTTTCTTGTTCTATCTTTCTTTTATCGATTCATTTATTTTCATACAACCACAGGGCGTCCATGTCACACCTTTCTTTCCACACTCTTCCAATGGAAGAATAGAATTTTTCATTCGATTTACTAGGATAAAATGACATTTTTAATTTATTTTAAATTTTAGAAATAGCTTAACGATGAAATCTCAACGAAAATCTTCCCTTTTATTTTAAAGACTTTTCTGTTAATGATATAAATTTGAAAAGTATTTTTAATATATATACGCTGAAATCACTTCTTTATATTTTTGCTGTTAACAAACTGATTACACCTGATGATGGTTAATGAATCAATCAGTAGAAATTTGGCATTAACAATAGAAAATCGACTAAGAACTTTTATGCAGTATTCTGAAAAAAAGTATTGCAATCTGCTAATATTGAATTAATCGTTAAAATTCTTATGTATATTGCATTCTTGTTAAGTTCAACTTTTATCCATTGAAAATGATTTGAAAAATAGTTTTAAGTTACCGTAAGTAATGGATTCCTGGTATTTTTTCCGAAACAGAAGGAAATTCTTTTTGCATATATATATATATATATATATATATATATATATATATACACAGTGGGGAAACAAATATTCGTAAACCTACAAATTTTTAATTATTGTATTTACAACTAATGAATAAACATACTAATAACTAAATACGCATAGAAAACAGAATAAAATTTGATTTAATAGAAATAAATCTCATTTATTCATTTTAATGGGTGAAAAATATTCGTACAATACAAAAAAGAATACATAATCTTCATTTGATACTTTGGAGAATAACCATTATTCACTTCTACAGCAACCAACCTCTTCTTGTAGTTCTCAATGATTTGCAAATTTTAGTTGGTATTTTCTTCTACACTTCTTCGCATATGGTCTTCAGATCCAGGATGTTGGAGCTCTCGATTGGATATGAAGTTTCAAATAACACCACAGATTCTTGACTGGGGACTGATTTGTCCATTTCAGGATATTTACATTACGTTTAGCAAGCCATTTCTTTGTAGATTTTGCAGTGTGCTTAGCATCATTATCTTGTTGAAAGATCCAACCAGGAAAAAGTTCAAGATTTTCAAACGAAATCATTAAATTTCCTTCCCAAATATTTTGATATGCTGCGGCATTCATTCTATCATCTACTACTACTTTTTGCAGAAAAAACATCCCCAAACGATGATGCTGCCAACACCAAATTTCATCTTTCCTCCATACATGATTTCTAGAATTATGTCCAAACAATTCAGTTTTGGTTTTGTCTGTCTATAATACTCTTTCCCAATACGAATTTTCTATATCCTTATGTTCACAAACGAATTTCAGCCTGGCATCTCCGTGTCATTTCATTGCTTATTTTCCGTTTAGTGGCAAAGATTCCTGATGAAAGCAAATGATCCTGATATTTTCCTGTAACTTTTACCTTCTTTCCAGAGCTTAACAACCAATACATTTTGCGTATTTGTCAATTCTTTACATCTGGTCATGATTATAACCTTCTTGTACGAATATCAATTACAGAATGTTCTGTTTGTATTTTTTAGGCTAAAAATAACTACTGGTAACATTATTGTAATATTCTATAATATTCCACTTGAATAATTTAGAGAACTAGAAGAAATTTAAAAGTTTTAAAATCTGAAATTTGCATTATACAAATACTTTTTCACCCATTAAATGGATAAATGGGATTTATTTCTATTAGATAATTTTTTTTTGTTTTGTTTTCCTATGCATATTTAGTTAGTATGCATCTGTGTACAGTTAATTATATGAAAAGTATGTTTATTCATTAGTTGGAAATGCAATAAATTAAACATTTGTATGTGTACGAATATATTTTTCCCTTGACACTATATATATATATATATATATATATATATATATATATATATATATATATATATATATATACAGACACAATTATGAAAACTATAGATTGCATCATTATGTTATTTTTCAGCAACATATTCTAATGTGCGTTTGGTCAGAGGAAGAAATGTTCAGCAAGGTGAAGTTGAAATGTATTACAATGGAAAATGGAGTTTAATTTGTGGAAGATGGACTGAACAAAATGCCGCTATTGTTTGTCGAGAATTGGGTTATAAGTAAGTACAATTCTCAAATAATTGTAAAGATTATTATGTCATATATTCAGCAACAGGTAAACAGTTATAGTACAATGAAGATGTATTTAAAATAACCGTCGATTACGCATGTGGTCAAAAGAAGTCGAGTCACTTAAAGCACGATGGATCTAACGACCATTCCCTCTGCCCATGGGGACACAAGTTTGAACCCTGCTAGAGAACGCATATTTATCTTTAATAAGAATTCTTGAATATTTCGGTAGACGAAAATAATTATGCTGTTTAGTAAAGAAATTGGGCGTCTACTCAAAAATGAACATCGACTAAAAATAACGTTGAAAATGATAAAAATATATATATATAATAGCATAATTCTTGATAAAATTTCGATAAGTCGTAAAAAATAAAATCTGAAAAGAGAAAAATTAATGCTACTGAGTGATAGATACACAACGTTACAAGCTGCAAAAATATTGAATTTGAATTCATAATGTTGACAGTAAAATTATAAGTTTCATTTAAGTTAATGATCGAATCAAGATAAATGCAGATAATTGTTTTAAAATTATGCGCATGACGTTTTTTAAGTAATAAAGATAAAATCAAGAAGATTCAAGTTCAAGCATATATCGACGCAAGGCCATGTTCCTTCAAGTTATACAAAATTCTTTGTTAAAAAAAAGGTTTTCAAAGACACCAATTTAATGGAATGACCTCCATCCTCTCCAGATATTAATCCTGCAGGAAATTTGGGACTCGTAATATATATATATATATATATATATATATATATATATATATATATTCAAACAAAAGAATGTATATGGAAAGAATGATAGGCTAAAGAACAAATAGGAAACATTTATCAATCTAACATTATTAATCTCACTTTTATTTAAGCTTTAATAAAAGTGAATCATGTGAGACGGATAAACGTTTCCTATCTGTTCTTTAGCCTATTATTCTGTCGGATTCCGATTCATATTCGATCTGTCTTTGATCCTAATTCATACTGAAAGAAATAAAAATGTAGAAAATCTATTGGAAGTAATAAACACTGTTGCAAGTAATGTTTAAGACGAAAGTATAAAAAAAATCAACAAAATCAATGAATAAAAACTAATGAAGGTCATAGAAGGTCGTGGATGTCATGTTAACAAGTAAAATTATTTATTCAGTTATATTGGATACGGTGTTCATAAGAAATGTTTCTATAGCCTTTATAAATTTTGATATAATCATAAATATATTTACCATATATTCATAATTCAACACTTTATATCACACTTTGCATAATAAAATCCACTACAAGCAAAACAAGTTGTTATCAATATTCAATTCAAAATAGATACATAACCGGAAACTCATACAATATATTTCACAGATGAATATATTCTAGAAAAAGTTACTGTTGTAGCATACCTACGAATGATAATGGGTATGTCCCCATTACAGTAGTAAATACTGTATGTTGGTCAGCAGTTGGAGATTCGTCTCCAGTTGTGCCTGTTAAACTCTCTACCTCCGAGCAGAGAGGATCCACAGACGAGGCTATCTCGAAGGGCAGAGTCTCGTCTCGAGAACTACTCGATCCTGTTTTATACGGGGTCTACGGAGAATTTTTGGCGGAGCCTACGGGCTCGGTACCTCACATTAAATTAGGCCTTGTGCCACATCTGACGGCGTGGGAGGTAGATATCCTGCAGTTGGAGATTCATTGTGGAATTCCCTTGACTCACTTCTAGCAGTTGACTACTACTTCTACGAGCCGCTGGCGAATCTTATATGTGTTGTTCTTGTCCTAAGTATTATCGTTCATTACTAACCTTCGTGTGATTATTCTATTCAGTAACCTTCCCTAGGTTACAATAGTTACCAGTATTGATTAGTGAATAGAAGCTTGAATGTGCAATAGGCGTTCCGAATGAGAAATCGGAAAGTCGAGTTCGCATATCAGTCAAGCACAGTCCATTCACTTGCAAGCGGCTATTGCAAGGAACGCTAATTTTGGCGTCCTGTGTCAATCTCGACCGACAGTAAAATTGAACGAGCCTTTTCAGATTCACAGCCCGCATGCTATCATGTTCCAAATTAGGTTTGAAGATTAAATATAATTCTTATTTTCTTTGCTGAACACCATTAAAATCTCTATTGATATACAATCCTTTTCAAATCTCAGTAAAAATATTCAAAATAAATTTACTGATAACATAAACGTAATCTTCTAGAAAACGTTCAGCCATTAACATATTACGATCAATGTTAACTTGAAATACATACTTTTCTACTGCATTATAATTTCATTTAAGTATAATCCTTTTAAATTCTCAGTTCTTATTTTCAAGGATACAAATAGAAAGTAATATTTTCAGTCAATCTTTTAATCATTTCACCCTAAGCAAGGCGATAATGACGCTAAGATGCAAGGGGTTACTGGGAAGGAAATAGAATAGGAAGACTTTAGGGAAGAGAAAAGACAATAAAAGAACAGGATTCAGGAAGACAGAAAATGACGATTGGCATTGCATTTAAATTTCTGAAGATTGAACTGGCAGGGAAAAAAGAAACTGAAAGAATTCCACATGCGAGAAGTGTGAGAAAAAACTATTTAAACAGAATTTATATCGAGCTAGTTCAACTGTAAAATGATGTGACCAAATTAGCAATCTAGTAGGATGTTTAAATTCATGTGATCTAGGTACTCAGGAGCAAAGCTCATCAGAACAATTGTCAAGAAAATATTTATAGAAAAGACAGAGGGAAGCAAACATCGCTTGGTTGAAAAAGTGAGTAAAATCGTGATGCCAGGTCAGAACCTATAACATGACAGACTCTTCTTTGGATTTTCTCAAGAATCTCGAGATATAAAACAGAAGCACCTGACCAGCAATCTATTAGCAATTGGTTAAAATTTAATCTTTATAAAAGTTCAGAGTTATCTTCCACAATATTTTTACCGATAGAAATTATTTTATCAAATCTTAAAGAAGTTTTCATTTATTTCGTGTCTTATTTTATATTTTAACAGTGTATCAAAAGCTTCTTTCACTACAAAGCGTTTGGATTACGCATCAGCATTGGTTAAAAATTTCTACTGTTATGGATATGAAAGTTCCCTGACAAGTTGCAGTTACAGCGCTTGCTATCGGTCTTGCAAATGTTATATAAATTCGACCGTTGACTGTTCCAATACACGTAAGTTCAATGCAATTTTTGATTTAAATTTCTTTAAAGATGAATGAATAAACATATATGTATTATGACTGCTTCCGGGTTATTATTATTATTATTATTATTATTTGTGTATGTTATGTTTCCTGCTCTGTATCATGTAGAGCCGGGTCCAATCTATAGTTCTTAGTCCCTACTGTCATTTAGTTGATAGCACTTGTCTTAGTATATGGGATGTCCCTAGTAGGGCGATCTTCTGGACAACTTGTATGTTGATGTTACCAGGGACACTGTTTCTCACGAGGCCCAGAGCTCCGATTACTATTGGTACAATCTCAGTCTTCATTACACACATCCTGTTAATAATTGATCTCCATGTCCTTGTATTTGGACAATTTCTTGATAGTTTTTATGGAATGTGTTTCTCTCAGATAGTACTGTTATGTCAATATGCATACACTTCCCAAATTTAGTTTTTTATTATAATATCAGGTCAGCTGGATTTATTTCCCTGTCAGTTTGAATTGTTAAGTCCCAAAGGATAGTTATATTGTTATTTTGGGTAACTGAACCTGGTCGGTGTTCATACCATCTCTCAGTGGTTTCGATTTTATGCTTCTTGCATATCTTCCAGTGCACAAATGTCGCTAACTTGTTATGTCTGTCTGTATATTCATTTTTTGCCAATTCCAGACATCCTGATATAATATGATCAATAGTTCCATGATATTTTCTACAGATCCTGCATTTTAGTTTAGTTCCATTCTTGATTAGTTGACAGTGATAGGATCTTCATAACTTTTCCAAAGACATTAGTGTTATATAAACATAAACAGCCTCAACTGAAATGCAAACTTCGTTTGCCGATTTCACTTTCTCTGTTTATATCCTTCATGCTGCCTCACACCACTATATTGTATATGTAGGGAGAGACGGACACAAGCCTGTTCCTGTGACACTAGTTCTCTGTACCCATAAGTAACCTCAACCGAAATTCACTTATTTAGTGCCGATAACAACTAACTAATCTCTCTCTCTCTCTCTTTCTCTCTCATATATACATGCGTGTGTGTATCTACGGGCACATGTGTTTCCATGTGTGATTCATTACGATGAATGAATATCGAAATAATTGCCAAAATATAGAAGCGGAAATACTAAAAATTAGACAATTATTTAAGAAATTATAGAGCCTCTCTTCACTTGAATATTGGCGGCTACGCGATGTGGCAAGAAGTCTACGTCTACTGCTGATGTAGTAACTTCTCTCTCTCTCTCTCTCTCTCTATATATATATATATAGATAGATAGATAGATAGAATGTATCTATAAGAGGTCTGTAACATATCCCCGTGGGGTTCTTGAAACCTACCATATGTGTCCCACTCACAATGGAATGGCTAGAGTACTTGCCACAAATATACGACTTGGTTCATTTCTACGTTGGGAGAGCGAGATCCTGAAATATAATTTTTTGACGGGGCTGGAGGGCTCCAGTTTATAGTCTATATTAGCCAACTGAAAAAAAGGAAAACATCTCATATTATAAGACCACGTGGTCACCGCCAGACATCGTGACTCTCTCTAAAAAATTACCCATTTTATTGGTTTGTTTTCTTTTGAAATTTCTGTTCTTTTTGCCGATCATCTTTATATTATAATTTAACAAAACAATTCAAATGATAAAACACTTCCTCACAATCATTAAACCCTCTCTCTCTCTCTCTCTCTCTCTCTCTCTCTCTCTCTCTCTCTCTCTCTCTCTGGTGAATATGCAAATATGTTCATACGGAACAGGAAAAATGTTTATTATAAAATGTCATTTTTATTGCAATTCTTCACCTTTGTCTTCGTGTCTCTTTTTTTCAGCTTGTGAATCAACTCATGTGCCTTGTGTAGCAAGCAATGCAACGAATTCTAACAACACTATAAGTAATCCACAATGTATATGGAAAGAAAGTGTATGCGATGGTGAGAAGGACTGCCCTGGTGGAACAGATGAACAATCATGCAGTAAGTTTTACGTTCTATTCTTCTATTCTACAATGATACCTTGAAACTTACATTTGTCTACCTCTTACAATATACGCGACATGTAAGTATTTGATAACTTCAGAAACACGAACTGAAGATTGTGTATAAAACATTACTGTTGAAATTACAAGATGTAATCATTTCTATGCTAACAGTTTTTTTTCTCTCGCACTTCCTGCTTATGGAACTCTCTTCCGGATTTTACCGTTCCAGTCAAATTTTATCTTTAATAGTTTAAACGCAATATTAATCGTTATCTTATGTCTCTTTAAACCCTGTTCTTTTATTGTCCTCACTCCTCGATAATGCTTTTCTCGGATTCTTTTCACTGAGTTGTTTTTTTCACTCTCGGTAACCCTTTGTGCCTTAGTGGCTTTGTTGCCTTGCTTGGGATGAAATGATTGAAAGAAAAAAATTTCGACATCTTCAAACAATTAAGATCATTTCTTTCCAGTATAACTGTACCAACAAAACATTTGATTCATTCATTTTTTATTATTATTTGCTTTAGATTTACGAGTTGTTCTTTCTTTTCATTACCAAGTATGATGTTGAATTGTTCTATCAAACTAACGATCGATGTTTTCCTTTTCATTAGACATTGTGTATTTATTTACCCGAACTCATATGAGTCTGTAAAATATTGTTTGCGTGACAGATCATACCAGGAGTCGTATAAATGATTATTTATCCCGCCACGCAATATGTCTATTTAGATGAGTAACTGTTACTAAAATACAAGCCTATTTTAAATTGTTCCTCTCTTGTATCAAGATAAGCAATGTATCTCATTTCTTTTTCTTTTAGCCAAATGCAAATCCAATGAATTTCAATGTCTTAACTATGAGTGCATTCCACAGAACAAACGTTGTGACGGAATTAACAATTGCAAAGATGGATCTGACGAATATCATTGTTGTAAGTATTGAAAATACTCGTGACCTCTGACCTCAATGAATAAATAAATTTATATTTAGAGATTGTTGAATTGAACTTATTGTTTATATATCCCATCAACACCGGAAGTTACCAAGAAAATCCTTTATTGTCGAAGAAAACTGTAAGCTGTAGCCAACCCACTGCTATTTGAACTTCAGCTAATAATTCTAGGAAGCCGAGGACGTTTTACATTATTCAAGGTTGTTGTTAACCGCAAGTTCGTTGTTTAAGTGTCTTGAGTTGGGAGGGTTCTTAAATCATGGAGTCACAAATAATAATTTGCACACTAAAATGAGTTCACATCATTTTCAAAGGGAGGGATGCAAATGATTTTTCGGGGCGTATAGGCCCCTCCCAGCCTCCATCCTAAGGTAAGGGTCTTGATTAAACGTTTCGTGTAACCTCAAAAGGTTTGATAATTACTTGGTGTGTCAACTAAATATGGTCCCTTTTTTATTTCAGTCAAGCATGACAATCTAACTTTGTTGTTCATGATGAACGGGGAGTACACCCCTGTATGTGAAGATAATTTGAAAGAGAAAAACATTGCCAATAAACTTTGCCATTACGTTGGAAAAGGGTAAGCATTAAATTTATTATCAAATAGACATTAAACTCATGTATATGTATATAAATGTGTATATATATTCCATTAAGATGATGCTATTTATAACAAAAGAATTCAAGTTACAAATTATGAAGGCGGCAAATCTTTTAAGGAGAAAAAAGCAACCAGCATTTTTTAATTTACTAGACTCACTTCCTTACATTGGGAAAATGAATTCCAGAAACGACACAAAGAAAAGGAAAATAACATTAGACATTTACTGAACTGCATAATTGTTTGATTGTTACAATTCGATAATGACTGTATATTTGGTTACCAACAGATTTCTTTCTTGACCTCTCATTATAATCTCTTACTATCACTTTCTTTCTCTCTCTTTCTCTCAAAGACTTAGTATCTGACTGGCTGTGTCGGTGGCGACAAACAGTGATTTCGAGGGCCGGGATCCTTGTGGTTAACTAACTAGGAACTGGACAAGATATTCCTGACCTTTTAACACATCGCTTTAGCATTATTTCCCTCTCAATTAAAATCTCTCACAATCTCTCTCTTTCTCTCATGGACTCAGTATATGATTGGCTGTGTCGTTGGTGGCGACCAGTGATTTCGAGGGACGGGATCCTGGTGGTTAACTGAACTAGGAACTGGGCAATATATTCCTGGCCTTTTAACAGATCGCTTTAGCATTTCTTGCCTTCTCATTATAATCTCCCATTATCTCTCCCTTTCTCTCAAGGATTCAGTATCTAACTGGGTGTGTCGGTAGTGGCAAACAGTGATTTCGGAGGACGGGATGCTTGTGTCAACTATACTAGGAAGTGAATAATATATTCCTAATCTTTTAACACATGCCTTTAGCATTTCTTTCTCTCTCATTATAATCTCTACTATCTCTCTCTTTCTCTAAAGGAGCCAGTATCTGACTGACTGTGTCTGTGGTGGTGGTGAACAGATTTCGCGAGACGGGATCCTGGTGTTTAACTAACTAGGGACTGGTCCATACATTCCTGACCTTTTAACACATCACTTGCGCTAGACAAGTGGTCGGAGAAGCCGATCTTATAATTTGGCTGATCTTGTTACGCGTAAATACACACTGTGATTTACGCGTATATATATATATATATATATATATATATATATATATATATATATATATATATATATATATATATTATAGTAGGGCCAGTTGGGTCCCGTCTATGAGAAAAAGATCGCATTGACGCAATTCACTCCACCAGAATTTTTTAAACGGCATGCTGTACCGTGAGCTCCAATTTCAGAGTATTTCCATTTCAATATTGAGTATTCAGAAAGAGGAGGATGAATCTAATTGTGATTACGTACGTGTTTGGAGAGATCACTAATGATGACGATGTTATGCCTCCATTCATCTGCAAAGAGGGTCTCAGACTCAACACGGAGGCCTATACCGTGCCTTGAGTAGGTAGTGCTCTCCTTGGTCAAGAGGGTGGCTACTGGACAACCCTATGTCTGGCAACAGGACATTGCCCCATGCCACACAAGCAGGAAAATCCATTTATAACTATTTAGTCAAATTCCTGCGACCATATCACCACTTAATCTGGCTACCTACCCCACCCCAGACTACAAACCCCCACTTGATTATTATGTGTACAGCGAACGAGGGAAACACAACAAAACTCCTTGAACACCAAAGATGAACTGAAGGAAAGGCATTCACCAACTTAAATAAGAAGACCTCCCTGAAGAGATGCAGAAGATTCCGAAGTTGTCTGGATGCCGTAGTTGAAGCCAATAGCGATTTTATTGAATAAATTTATTCTTTAATATTTCAGAATATTCTTGTGTAATTTTGGTAAATATCTCTGTTAAAATGAGATGTCAGTGTTATTTTCATTTTTGCTTAATTTAGACGATAATTTACCCATCGCAAGCTGTATTTTACATATATATACGTATACTACTTATTTAAGAATGGAAATTGAATAAATGAATTATATATATATATATATATATATATATATATATATATATTAAGAAATGGACATGGTCCGACAATTTATTTGTTCCGTATAGGATGCAGGTTCGAATCCTGTCAAAGAACGAATATTTTCAGGCCGGTAAATGTTATTTTTAATACTGTTTATCATAAACAGAGCATTTGTTTAAATACTTGTATCTATAAATAACAACGTTAAACATAAAAATGTCTTTAATAAATATATATATATATATATATATATATATATATATATATATAAAATATGATTAAACAATATATATATATATATATATATATATATATATATATATATATATATATATATATATATATATATATGAAAATAAAGGTGTCACTCAGGGAACTATGTAAATATTTGACTGTAACTATTCGATAGTGACTGTATATATGGTTGCCGACCCTCACAGGAAATTTTTTTTGTCAGTAAATAATTCCAATCAACAAATAGAATAAATCTTTGGATTAATTTGTTGGAAAAAAAAGAATAAATAGATAAGCAAAATAATAATAATAATAATGAATATCCTTATATATTCAGCACCATCTGTATATATTATTCTTTCAAAGACTATTAGTTTTCAGGAGATAAGGAAACTGGATATAAAAGAGGCTACACATAGCAGTAGTTTCGCCGTAGATCACCAATGGATAGTTAGGATTTCATAGAGACATTGAAGTATTATGGTGGATGTAGTAAGAAAGGTGGGTGAGAATGTGTTGTTTTGGTGATAGGACTATTGTTGGTGTGTTTGGGTCAGGGTTTGTGACTAAATTTAGAATTAAGACAGAAGATCGACCTTTCCCCCCAACCCGCATTTTCGGCCCTGTGCCACATTTTGTACTGTTGTACGAATAAATATTATTACAACCCAAAACATTAACCTAAACATTCAGATTGTGCTCTTAAATGTCAGGTTGTGACTTTTGATGTCATGCATGACGCCAAACTCGTTCAGAAATATCGTAACTACCAGTTGTACATAACCACTTTCTCAACTCAATAGCTCAAAATTGTTTCGGGCGAATTCAACCTCTAGGTCAAAGAAAGCGGGCACCCTTTTTTTGCTACAAAATCAAAAAGAACTAGACCAAATAACACAAACCATACCACTTGTGGCCTTCCAACGACAGTAACAACTAAAATAGTCAGTACAAACAACTGGAAGGAAAAATAAAGTGATAATCATGATGTTGAAAGCCCTCATCAGTATTGGAAAGCGTGATAACAGTGAACTTGTGAAACCTATTTTCCAAAAAAATTGTTTTAAGAGAAATATTTTGTAAATTTCAACTGGTAGCAACACAATGCCGAATGTTACTTTATAAGGAAATAGTTTATATTATTATTACTATTCAGAGACAGTATTTTCTTTCAGCAAATCGGTTCTCGCTGTTTTTGCTAAAGCTGTTTAGCTCTTTCTTTGTTCATTTTCTAAAAAAGAACCAAGCTCACCTTGTTCATTTCGTCCCTGATACTATCTGTCATAACTTTTCTCTTTCTTTCTCTCTCTCTCTCTCTCTCTCTCTCTCTCTATATATATATATATATATATATATATATATATCAAAGTCTTAGCCAACAACATTATTTTGGTTAGTACTAACTTGTAAAATTCCAAAAACTAACTAACAACTCTCTACTCTTAAAGTGGCGACCATCACCACCATATTTTCACTTAAGGTCAGTAGTTACTATCGACTAGCCTAAGGCCACAACAATCACTTGGGATTTAAATTATATTATACATTGGTAATATTTTTAGTGCCACGAATTAAAATGTTTCCAAATATTAAATGCTTCTAAATTTTACAATACCATAAGTAGGCATCTCCAGGTCCATTTTTAAAGGTTTTCATGGCCTCTCACATTGAGGATCACTGAAATTGAAGTATCATCGACACCAATAACACCATTAGTAGAATAGCATAAAAATCAATTGAATCAGTTGTTTTCTATAATTGCAATATTTTACTTTTTCTTGCATTAAATTCTTCAATATTTCTCAACTTTGAAAACTGTTTTGTTTTCTCTTTGATCAAGAAACAATTATTTGTAAGCAAATTTTGTGTTTAGAAATTTACAATGTTCACACTTATATGATTTAAAGAGACTAAAAGTCATAATGATCTTTATACTTATTTTTATTATTCTAGGAATGGCTCAGTTCGTTTCTCCAACATTAAAACAAATGGAGTCAAGTTTTCTTATTCAGAAAATTCCCAACATTCTGTGTTGCCTGGCTTTAAACCTTCCTTTGCGTAAGTACTTAATTCCTTTTGCATAATTGTTGAAATGGAGACACGTTTGAGTAATGGATCGCAGATCGTTACATTCACTTACATGCAATTAACCTTGGGAATATTATAACTATGTGTAAATAGTAGGACAAACTGGATCCTATAAACTTCGTTGGTAACTAGTTTAGGAAAATTCAAAATCTCCAACTATAGGTTAAATAGCTTCACCCACAATTGGCCAAGAGTGATGTGTATAACTACACACTCTGAAGACATGGTCAATCAACGAGGGTTTCCTCCAACAGGATTGAGAAATCCCTTCATTTTGAAATGTTTTCAATTGATTCTCGTAGATTTATTCGGTAATATTCTGACTTAAGACGATCCTTTAAGGGGAAATGAGCATTGAATATCCAAAAATATAATTCCTCATTTATTTCTCAACATTTAATATAACCAAACAGATTTTACAGATTTTCCTTCTTATATAAAACGATCCTTTAAGGGGAAATAACTCTTTATATTTCTGAAGGTAACATTTCAAGTCCGTAAATGTAATGCCGTGTTTATTTCTCAACACAATATAGTAGATAAAAAACGAAAACAATGCTTCATGGGTAAAAATCTAAAGGGAGTTAACTCTGTAACAAGAGGACTTTGATTATTAGTTTATTTCTGTAATAGAGGTTTCTATGTAGAATTTACTTTATAAAATTAAGACAATGAAAACCAAATTTCAAGTCAAATATATCATGTAGTTTGTTGCACAAGAAATTACAAATTATCGTAGGATTTACTTTGCAATGTTGTCATTAGGTATTTTTTGTCAACTCAAATCAGAGTAAATATATGAATCCATTGCCATTTCGAATAATATTTTGTTTTGTTTAATTTTATACTGTTCCCATCAAAATATTCAGTGATATGAGCCTATGTAGCATTGTGGACAATGAATTAATATCAACCCTACAAACCAAACGAAACCTTGCAAGTCTCACGTTATTCTTTCGATATTTCCATGGCATATGTTCTAGCAAACTTCATTCCTTAGTTCCACCAGTTTTTACCTTCACAGTTAAGACCCACCATGTTACGTACACAAGAATGAATCATCCCCATGTCCTTCGTATTTAGTTTGTAAGATAGAAATTCTATTTGGTCTGCTTACCGATGTTTTCCCAATTGCTACAATCTTAACCCCTTTAAGTCTAGGGTTAACTGTTATCTCTCCAACATAAACTTCTAAACATCACTTCTTACAGCTTCCTGTTACGCTCATTCAACAACATTATTCAGTAACTCTGTACATTGAGTGGCTCTTGGGACTTTTATTAGGTGAATATCATTAAAAAAAATTCTAAAAACACCAAATTAATAAAAAACATGATTAATAAAAAAAAACAGTTCTACTATTGTTTCAACTTGATATATATATATATATGACAAAATATTGGTTTGATATCTTTTGCTGTTTTCTGGTATATAATTGTATCTACATTATGATCCAATACATATGTTGTCGGTATCAACTTGGGGCTTGAATCGTCAGAGATGTAAACTTATTAAATTTAATAAGGATTATGTGTTTTTCTTATTAAGTTTTAATAGGTTCTGTTAATAGTAAAATGATTTAGTAGCAATTTGCTATAAACGGTAGTGAAGCAACGAAGTTGCCTCAAAAATGTTAGTTACAGAAATTCTTCTGTGGCTTCGACTTTAGTTGGTCATGATGTTTTTCCGTTTCCTGTTCTGAAAAATTGAAGTTTTGGTTTTCGAAAAGATACCTTTGTCTACATTTTATTTTTAATCCAAAATAAGACGATATTTGGAAAAGCCGTTGCAGATGTTCATCGAGTTCCTTTTCGTTCTTTCTGGCAATTACAATGCTGTCTATGTAGTTATAGACAAATGACACCCCCCTCCAAAAAAAAGAGTAATAATTCGTGCATTCTTTTCTAACCATGGCGATATTTCACCTTCGGTTCCTTCGTAGAACGTACACGAGACTTTTCTCAATTTTTGTTCTTGCTGAAAATTACAGGAATCGAAATACACTGTGAGGTGAAATGGAGAAAAGTAACCAACTGACCTGGCCATATGTTCATATAATATTCAGCAATTTGTCTTCTCTTAATAATAGAGAGTTGTAATTTTCATGAAAATGTATTGTTTTCTTGTTTGGTGGTCACCATATGTAGATTTGGATTGCTGTCTATATATATATATATATATATATATATATATATATATATATATTAGGTTGCCCCAAAAGTTCGTAAACACTTGCAAAACATTGAAATTTTACTCGCCTAGTAATAACAAAAGCAACAAAAATTATTCCTCAAAATAAAGACCATCATTTTCCAAGACTTTCTGCCATCGATCTGAAAGCTTTTGGGAACTGGTGAAAGTACCATTCAGCTGGCTTCGAATCAAAGAATTTTTGATACGCTTCCTCGACTTCATCAAACGAGTCGAATCGGCGGCTTTTCAGAAAGTGTTGCATTGAGCGGAAAAGGCTGTAATCTGATGGAGCACAGTCAGGACTGTAGGCTGGATGTGGCAGAACCTCAACGCCGTCCAGCTTTTCAAACGGTGTGTGGCTTGGCATTGTCCTGCTGCATCAAAGCGCGCTTTCGGTTGATCAGAGCCGACTACTTTTGCTTCAACTTTTCGTAGACCCGCTTCAGTTGCTGACAGTAAAGTTCAGCACTGATGGCACGACCATTCGGAACCAACTCAAATGCACGATTCCTTCAAAGTTCCACCAAACGCAATAACATGACTTTCTTGCCGAATCGATCTTGTTTTGGAACCGACGGTGTCTCTTGCCCTTTCTGAACCCATCGCTTGTCTCGATTGTGCTGACCAGATAGACCCATTTCTCGTCCGATGTCACAATGCGCTTCCAAAACGCTCGTCCAATGGATTGCTGAGCAATTGACGGCAAATTTCAACTCGTCTGTTGGCTTGTGCTTCGGTGAGTTCGTGCGAATCTTGGCGCGGCTTTTGGTGAACATAATCAAGTTGCTTCAAGTGTCGGTAAATTGTCGATTTGCCAACTCCAAGCTCATCAGCCAATTCTCGAGTGCTCGACGAAGGCACAATGTCCAACCTGGTTTGCAAGTCTCCATCATCCAACTTTAACGTCCGTCTCGAACGAGGCTTATCTTCAAGACTCATGTCGCCAGAATCGAAACGCTTATACCACTGAGATCGCAGCATATGCAATTGTTCCTTCACCTTCGGCAGCACAAATCTCTTCTGCAGCTTTTCTGGTTGAAAGACGTCGCTTCCAGCAGTAAAGAATCAAAACTCACAGCTGAATTTTATCAATTGCCATCTGGAATATAAAGATGAAGATCACTATAACAATATAAACGCAAAAAACAATTAAATAAAAATTTTAATGAAATAAATTTTTTTCAAAATTAACAATAAAGTAAAAAAACAATTAAAAATTGCATAAAAATTCAATTTTTCGCAAGTGTTTACGAACTTTTGGGACAACCTAATATATATATATATATATATATATATATATATATATATATATATATATATATATATATGAATGTCAGGTGAAACATTTGTAGTTGACCCAAGTGATATTCATATCTTTAAAAATAACATAATAAATAACTTTCATATTTTTGTTCAGGATTAAATCAGGTTTCCTTTATTTCGATGTATATTTGATAATTAATATTGTAGTGGGTTCGCTTATGTTGTCGCTGGACTTGAGAAATTACGGCTCAGCAAGTTTTAAAAGATGGAACAATTCCTGTGTTGGGTTTCTTTTCATTTGAACTTAATAATAAGAAAGTTCTAGGTGTCTAGATTCGTTTCGAACAGTTTTTCTTTCTTCACAATTATTTTATATTATTTGTTTTGCAGTGACTGCAACGCACTAAGGCTCAACTGTAGTCGCAGAGGTGAGTACTAAACGTTCATTCCATTTCATTCAGTTACCAACAATATGAAGATTTTGAATGATTGTTTCATTTGTTGCAGCAATTAGATATTTTTTCTCAGCAAAATCATAGAAATAACATCAATTATAATACAAATGATAAGATTTGAGGAAGTTATTGATGCTTGAAAGATGAAATAATTAGAAAAAGAAAATGCAATGAAAAGTGATAAAAATTTGTGTTCAGTTCAAGATGTTAAATAAAATTGATTTAATAAAGTCCCTTTTAAAACTCTCTATATTATAGATTACTGAAATGCTCGTTTATGTTGATAGTGTAGATACTGACTTTGCTATATCACTGACAATGATAAAATAACGAGGTACCTAGTACCTTGCAAAACATGGAAGTAGCCAGTACCGTGCAAAATAATAATGTATTCAGTACCTTGCAAAATAGTGAGGTGCCAAAGTACTTTACAAAATAATAATGTATCTAGTACCTTGCAAAATAATAATGGGGTACCCTGAAGAATTGCCACTCACGAATTGACTCATGAGACAAGCTTATGAATTATTGCACCTGCAGAGGTAACCAAAGTTTCTTTAAGTGTAACCTTGTCTAACGCACGGACACACTCATTGAGTACCTTGAAGAACAAACTCTTCCGAATTGTTCCGTGTGCCTAACCTACGAACGATTGCACTATAGGCATCCAAAGTATTAAGATTTAACTTCGTCTAGAACAAGAAAATAACCGATGACGACCTTTGATGGTTTTCACTCACAAATTGATCCGTAAAATGGCCGTGCTAAATATTTCACCTAGGAACGTACCCAAAGTATTCTTTAAGTTTAGCTTTGTCTGATGCAAAAACACAGTCGTAGATCACCCTGGAGGATTGAGATATGAATTGGTCCATGAGAAATAGAAAAACAAATTACACTGATATATCACAAATAACAAATTTATATACCTGCATAAAATATTTGCTTTTTAGAATTTAAACAGTTAAAATTTAAAACAAATAAAGAGAAATGTAGTGTTAGTTTGTTTGGTAATGTTCCTTACTTTTGTGTGTAATTACGAAAATATATTATTGTATAAATTTGATTTGTAGGATCAAATTTTCTGAAATCAAATGCTTTCAATATAGGTTGTGTTGATTTGAAATTAACAAAAAATGAATGTCGAATTGAAAATTTATTTTCTTAATGTCACCATAACTCTAGTATGTGATTCATACTAAGAAATACCAAAGGGGTGCCTTTCTTCTAAGAAAGATTGATCTGAGGTGATTCTAGTATGTACTGGGCTTAACCTAAGAGCATCGAAGGAGTCAGTTGCATCAACGTATTAGCCTGGAAGGTAACTTCAAAACCACCACATGTGGATTCGCGCGTCACATGATCTGCCCCATACATAGAGATAAATAGCCGACAACGCTATTCTTAGGATGTGTACGCAAGGTAGAACCAGATGACAGGAATATATATTTACCCTCACATCCTAGCAGAAAGACGATTTATATTCGAAGAAACCCCGTAAATTCAAACATCCTAATTCTTATGTTAATTGACGAATTCAAGATGCGAATGGACAATAATTTTATATATGAGAGATGTAGTACAACAATAGCATTATGTTTTCGTGCTACGACCAGAATCGACTCAGTGTCTCTAAATCAGATTTAAAATTCAAATATTAGCAAGTTCATTTGCATGAGATGACAAAGAGAAAATCATGTTCACTAGTCACCAGGGCTTATTTCATTTCAATATGTCCTTTTGGCGTTTCAGAAATCTTTCGTGTTGCAGAACCAGGATTAATACGCTCTAGCATATTTAGATTATATACTCGTATTTAAGTACTGCGTAACAAATAAAGACGATTTTTAGATGCAAATATTAAATAAGGTTACCTAGTGTGAAAAATTTTTCGAGGTGATGGAAGTTTGTAGAAATGCTTATACAGGAAAATGAATTCAACTGGAAATGTTTATAAAAAAATTCCCTTTTTTCGAGTGTGCATTGTCAAAGAAAAATTTAAAATTCTTTGAACGAATGCTAATGTGAATATATCTTGTTTTGATTTGTTGTGATTGACTATTAATTGATTAGTTTCAAAGAAGGAATTTCTTGTGGCCGAACTCAACATGTTGACGTGAAAAATCTTTATGTACGGAACATTGCAATCGTTTCGGATCATTGCTTATGCTGTCACTATTGATTATCACAGACAGGCTCACTAAAAGAGTTTTGAATTGATGAAAACTTATGTTTTGATTTGTTCGAAATTGCAAGTTGAAATTGATATTTTGAACTCTAAATTTTATGTGGGGAGAGCCTTTTCTAAACAACATGAGTTGATCTAATTTTAAACTTGATTAAAGCATCTGAGACTGGATCTGGTTCTAAATTTGGAGGTGAAACTTGAAGATACGACAACTTCATGACTAGATGCATAAAAAACCTATGTAATATTTGGCTGCATTTATCAATTACCGCTACCCTATCTACCAGATTTTACTTGCTACCTGCTTTTCTTTGCTAGTGTACTTCCATGTTTCGACTATGTAGGATTAGAGATTGTATTAGGATTGGCAAATAGGATTTTATCTATTTCCATATTTTGGTTATAGGAGAAATAATGTATAGAGTGAAGAGTTAGACGGGAGAAAAGTTAACTACTGATCACGTGTCATTGAACAAAACTTTACAACAATATGGCATCGCCGATAGGATGCGTAAGTTACTTGGACAAACCAGAATTTGCCGATACTTGGGTCCGGTGTTTTGTAGCCCAGGCTAGGGCTAAAAATAGAAAGACAATAAGGGAGGTTTGGAAGCTATAATGAAAATTTATTTTATGGCATACTCCAACCAATTGGAGAACTTAAAATTTCAAAAATGATAAAAAGAAAATTACGACCTAAAAAGAAATTTCTCATAGCGGAAAGAACCAAATTTCTGTCCATTAAAGAGAAACAAGATGAATCAATTATGCAATATATTCGCAGATTAAGAGAAACTGGGAACTCAATATTTGATAATCGAAGACGAATTGATTCAGTTACATTTGATTGAAGGTGTGGCTGAATATATCCCATAAATATAAGATATTGGAACAATTACAATTCAATAATTTGTCTCTAAATACATGTGTGGAAGTTATTCAACAGTTAGAATTGATTAAAAAGTATAATTCTACTGAAAACAGTTGAATCGTATAGTATAAAAAAGAAACGTAAGAAATACAAATACTGTAAGTATAAGCATGAAATTGACAGAAATATTTACTCCAATTGTGGAAAGATTTGCACAGGCCATCTGCGTTAATGGAAAGATAAATAAGATCTCCATTAACAATAACTTAATCGACAAATGAGGTCTAAAAATTATAAAATAGCAAGTACCGAGAAAGGTAAATTCACATGAAAAAGAAAAATAATATAAAGTAAGAAAAGGCTGACTTAGTTTTACCAATTTTCTAAAGTTCACAAGCTTTACTCCGATAGAGGCTAACATCAAGGAAATCATTGTCTTCTTATTCGTCTTCTTTTTTATTGTCATTTTCTTGTTGCTGTTTTTGTTGTCATCTTTATTGTTGTTGATTTCTTTGCTATTTAGAATGTGGTACTAGGAGTGCGACTTTATACGATCCTGTTATTAGACATGGACAGAAAGCCATTCCAGGAGAATGGCCCTGGCAAGTTGCAGTCATGTACAGGGGAAATCGTTCCTGTGGAGGTGTACTTCTTAATAATCGATACGTACTTTCATCTGCACAATGTTTCCGATACAAGTAAGTTCGAATTAAAGACAGATAGTTTTAACACTTCATTTAATACATGATCAAAAATTAAAAGATTTGCTATTAGTTTGAGACTATATGATAGAGTAGGTACAAGCTAATCCCTATTTCAGATAACTGTTAAATATCATTTGTGTTTTGTTACACCGATAAAGTTTAGGAGCTCCATAACCGAAAATGATGTCTTCCCACGAGACACTAAGATAAGAACATGGATAGAGAAATGAAGAGGTAAGAAAACACTGAGATAGATAAATAGGAAAATATAGATAGATTTGAATAGATTGGGACAGATAGATACATAGGTAGATATGAAAAGAATGATAGAGACTTATGAACAGATTAATTATAAAATTAGATATAGATAGATGTCAAGAGACAGACAGATAGATAGATAGATAGATAGATAGATAGATAGATAGATAGATAGATAGATAGATAATGATTAGAATGTGATAGAGCAAATATATATTTTCCTTTTTAAATTTCAGTTCGTCTCCGAAAGATCACGAGATCGGCCTGGGCTCTACAGTTTTTGCTGCACTACAGAAAATCAAGGTCAAGAAAATCAAGGTACATGGAAACTACTCATACTGGACTGACAGAAATGATGTTGCATTGTTGGAATTGATGACTCCAGTACAGATAACAGATTATATTCGACCCGCATGTCTTCCTTCTGAACCTTGGGAACCTTATATGCTTTGCTACACAACTGGCTGGGGAGAGAACGAAAAGGGTAAATATATGTGGCTTAATCTCTCTTGCTCCCCTACAATCTATCTATCTATCTATCTATTTGATGTTCATTTGTGAAATATTTGCATGTGGGTGATTTATATGGAGAATGATCTGACATCACAATATGAAGAGATTTCAGATTCAACTGTTCATTTTTTAAACGTTTGCCTGTGGGTGGCTCATATGAAGGGGAATTGGACTTTATGAAAGATTTGAGATTCAACCCATCATTTGTGAAACATTTTCATGTGGACGACTGATACAGAAAGGGATTTAACATCATGAAATAAAGAAAATTGAAACCTTTGCAGTTTGGTAGTTAATATGGAAAGCAAATTTGAAATTAAATTGTTCATTCGTGTAACATTTGCATATGGGTGTTTTATATGGAGAGGCATTTGACATTATGAAATAAAGATATTTGACATTCAACTGATCATTTGTGAAACATTTGCATGTGACCGGCCAACATGGAGAGGAATTTGGTATCATGAAAGAAAGAAATTTGTGACGAAATGTAAATCAGGTGTAGTAACAAAACAAGAAATATTCTAATGTTGTTATGAGAAATTCACGAAATATGACATCATTGGTCAATTTCCATGCACTGTCGATGAAATAACATGCATTTTAAATATTAGATTTCAACATCCTTAAAGAAAATATGAACACCTCTTCTCTCACACAAATAGGCCATAATTATTTTATGCAAAGTTACCAATTTTATTTCCATTTTGAAACTTTTATTATTTTTTCAATAGCATGTTTGTAATTGATATTTGCTTCAATAATACCATTATTTTTTGAATATTCAAATAAAATTTCATTTCATTATTGTTGTGGATTCCGAGATGAATTCGGTCTCCAAGGAATGACAAACGCAATAATTAAATATGAGAAATAAAATGTATTTACACAATCATACAAAGAGTAATACTGTTAGTAAGTCCAGGAACGAGTTTAGTAGCAAATACAGATAGATATATACAGTCTCGACGTAGGACTTCCTTAGAGTCTACGTACTTGTAACTGACTTCTACAAAAGGTTACCGCATACTATCTCTGTTCGTATATTCTCTGATTCTCACTATATCCTCTCTCTATCCGACTACTCTCACTGACTGTCTAACTCTGGGTATTTAACGGCAGCAGTCCAGGTAACACTGGTAGAGTCCACTTATATGAAAAGGGGAGGACCCCATAACAATTATTTTCATCAAATTTTTAAATCAATTACAGTAAAAGCCCTTCAACAAATTTTATACTAGTATAAGTTATGAAGTGGTAAAAGAGAGAGAGAGAGAGAGAGAGAGAGAGAGACAAACATTTTATAAATGATTTGAAGGCTGTATTGAAAACATCAGTCGGAGAATTTACAACAAAGATCAGTGTATTGACTTGAATCGTTCCAGGTCATCTAAAGGTGATTGTCAAGTAAAAGACAAAGGTTGACAAATGAGTTCTATTTGAGTTGAATTTAAATAAAAAAAAAATCATAGATCAAAAGTTTTGCATTTAATGCTATAATATATTTTTATTTTGCATTCTACGAACATCGGCTGAAAACTTCATAGACTGATCATTTTTCATGGAATACTTTCATGGAATGTGACCAAATGAGATTTTTTTTTATTTCTTAACATAGTCCCCCTTGTGATCCACATTTTTCTTCCATCGGCCTTGCAGTGTTCGGATCGCACTGGTGAAGAAGCTTTCATTCTTTTGATCAAAAAAGTAATCGACAACAGATATAACATCAACATCCTTCGATACTAGTTCCCAACCAAGTGTTTTGTTTTTCATTTTGAGGAACGAGGCCAAACCAGAATAGGTGGGATGATCAACCAGTTCAAAGCCACAGTCATGAACAGCAACCATTGAAACCAAGGACTTGTGAGGGAGCATTGTTCTGATGAAACAAGACCCCTTTTTTTAATTTTTTTAGGGGTTTGGTCTTAATAAACTTTAGTGACTACCTCAGCAAGTTGGCATAACACCATTGTCGGTGTGGTTCTTTTGAAGATAATGTCTAGGACTTCTTTGGAGCAGGTGGGGATGTGTGTTTCTACTGCATGGATTTCTCTGGCACAAAATGATGAACCCAACACTCATTGTGGGGTAAGAAACATTCAAGGAAGCCAGCTGCATCTGCCTCAAACAATGTCAAATGTTCCTGTGATGTGATCAGTCCAACTTGGCACCCATCGAGCAGAAACCTTCGTCATGCCAAGATCATTGTACATAATGTTCTCAACTCTCTCACGGGAGGTGATAATAGCATTGGCTATTTGATTTATAGTCAATCACCTGCCATCTATTACCATGTGGTGAGAATGATCACTGTTTTTCTCGATGATGGCAGTTGCAGGTCTTCCAGATCTTGGGCCATCTTCAAAACTGTTCCTTCCTCACATAAATTGAACTGCCCACTTTTGTATTGTTTCTAAAGCAGCAGCATCATCCTCTAATGTAGCAACCATGTCAGCGTGAATTTCCTTGTGTACTCAATAATTTTTTCAGCCGGTGCTTAATAACACCCCAATGCCAAATTTTGTTCATTTTCAAGAGAATTCGTTACATGTTACATTTTAAGTCTTCTTTGAACAGTTAAATATAAGTTTACCTGGAAAGGAATAATGCAGTTATTAATGAGAAGAGTTGAAATGAATGCATGCAAGATGTCATAGCTCTAGCATCACTCCTTCATCGTCAGCCTATGAACTTTTCAACCCACCCTCGTACCTGGTTATTAATAAGAAGAAAATAAGTGCAAATGCACAGTTATCGTCAAACTTTTCAACCCACCCTCGTAGAATAGTTGAATATTGAAATTAATACATGCAAGGTTTCACAGTTCTAGCATCACTCCTTCATAGTCAGCCTATGAACTTTTCAGCCTAGCCTCATAACTGAAAAGAAACAATGCAGTTATTAATAAGAAGAGTTGAAATGAATTACTGTCAATGAAAAGTTGAAAAATGAAACCAATCAAAGAAAATCGTGGTGAAGCCCAGGAAAGCTTTCAATATATCAAGCTAAACACATCAACGTATACATAAACCTCATTATCTGATCCCTAGCATTGGTTTTTCATTGGATCAGATTTTGACATTTTACATTGACGTTCTTTAAAAGGACGTAATTATGTTGAATATACTTGATGTTCATGTCCGGTTCAGATCGGGATTATTTAATTTAATGAATTTACTCTCGATGTGTTTTAAAGCAATAATAAATATCATATGTTTTTTCGATCGATTTTGAAGAAAGCCCCACTCAGATAGATATTTCCTAAGAAAATACCACTTTATGAAACTGGGTACCACGTAGGTGCTTCTCTGAACTCTAAAATCTTGATTTCGTTGAGTCAAGGATCTATCGTTATCCATCTTCCTGATTCTCATAATCTTCATTTGCTACCACTATCTCTTCCATTCATATCCCATTCCATCCATGTCAGTTTTAGTATTTTGAATGTTTCCCTCTATCTTCACTGATCTCGAAACTTGTATTTGGTGATATCGAATCTATATTACTTTATTCTAGGATATGTTTTCATAGCCAAAGTGACAGAATAACACATATACATGAATCACTTCCCCTGACCAGCAGTTTTGTTGTAATTGGACCTTAAATTTAAAGTTGGTGTTTTTTTACATTGTTGTGCGTTAAAATAACTTATTTCTATTGAATATAAGACACACAATATTCAAGTTAGATTCAAATGGCGAGAATTTAATTTAAATGTATGCTTGAATGCATTTTTAAACAATGATAATTATCAAATAGGTTTCGAATCTGTATGACTTGATATCATGATACAATTTATTCATTAAAAATAAATATGTTTTATCACCTGACCGCAGAAGGTTACGAATATTTACGGTTAATGTGATCTGGAAAAACTCATGGTTATTTCTAATAATGTCAAAGATGAAGACTTTCATTTCAGTAAGTATTTATGGATTTGTCACTGTTGCTATTAGTGATGCATGTTATTTTATGTATATGACATTATTACTATTAGGGATGCATGATTAACTGATAAATGTTACAATGCAGTGACGCATGTTGCTGTGAAATATATTACATTATTACAATTAGGTATGCATGTTAAACTAACTGATAAATGTTACATTATTATTGTTAGTGATTTATGTTACTAATAATAATGGATGCTGCAGTACGTCATTGATGTTACACTATTACTGTTAGTGATGGATGTTACGCTTGTTTCAAATTGTTAATGGTGGATGTAACGCGGAATTCAAATTAATTTTATCTTGTTTTTCATTTCTTATTTAGATAACATCCAAAATGACCTGATGGAAACAAAAGTTAAGATCTTACCAAGAGACGTTTGCAATACTGAATACACTGGCCTGGATGCTACATTGTTATGTGCTAATCACAACCAACCGACCTCACCAGGAGATAATGTAAGTAATTCATCGTTTGATAATTGTATTTCTCCCGTGTGCACTTGCCTCATCTTTGGGAAATGCAAAGAACTCAACTCTTTTGAACAATTGTAATGGAAACACCATTCCCAGTTCCTTAATCTGAATGTAGATTGAGGTGGACCCAATTGTACATGTGAGGATCTTCATATGTATCTTTCTGTTTCCAAATTGCATTTATGGTTGACAAACCCCACTGATTTGATGTGTGCTTTTGATACCAGACTTTTCTCATCAAATCTTTTAAATTTAAGAAATTTGTGAAGCTATAACAAACACAATTACCCATGAGATAATGGTTTATTCGATTAGGACTAGGATGCGTCAATCGACCCCCCACCCCTATCAGAAATTCAAGATTCAGCAGTCAACGAAGAATTAAATGGCAACTGTGTATTGAGAGCCAAAAGATGTGTTGTTGGTAGAGCCTCAGAGTCTGTAATTAAACGCAGTTGGATCCTTTTAAACACTGGATAGACTGGGAGAAATTGTTCATCGATAAAGCCCCAGTGTAAAGGAGCCATCCTACTGCACGACAACACTTGCAAAAACTAACAAAAGAATGGCTCCAGCGATATGGTTTAGATATGTTAACATATACACTGCATAGTCCTGAGTTGGCGCCACCAGATAATCACCTGTTTCGGTTCATCAAATGATATTTATCCGGAAGTGGTAAAACACAGATTATATGCTATCTATTGTTTCAGGGGAGCAATGTTGCCTCTAGTCGCTTGATGTCATGTTATTCAAAGAGGCTATTTAAACAATCGGTCACAGATGGTACAAAGTGCATCAATCCCGATAGCAACAACGTGAAAATGTAACACATGCACGCAATATATTATTTCTATCTTAATAAACGTGCTTTACGTTTTCGATATCCCTCTCCTTCTACCTTAATCTTCGAACATCTCTCGCATAAATTATCTTTGCATTCAGCTGGATGGTAAAACAATAAGGTGAAAGTAGGTCCACAAATCTGTAGCCTAATAGTTAAAACAAACCATTTACTTTACACAAGAAATGTTTAGTTTTCAACATAATATCTCTTTTTTGCCAATGCACTTAATGCTTTTTCATTGATCACATAGATCGAGCATTATACAGTGAAAATTTCAGATAAAAATGATTGAACATGTGAGCAACGACAAAGTTTTAGAGAAAATGAAAACAAAAAGGATATTTATACTTAACATCAGGAAGAGACAGTTGGGATTTCTAGGAAACATAATAAAAAAAGAAGGCTTGGAAAATTTGATACTTACAAGACAGATTGAAGACAAGAGGAGCAGATGAAAACAATGCATCACCTAATAAGGAAGCTTGAGTAAATTGATGATGGAGCAAGGTTTATGAGAAATAACAAAAAGACAAAATTTATTAAAAGTTACAAGAGACAGGAAATTATGGAAAGTCATAAAAGAACAAGGCACATAGAACAATGTTGGTAAAAAAAAAAACTGTAGAAACTTCTAAAAATTTCAACCAGATCGCCTATGCATAAGAAAAGCCTCGAAGAAATTAAATAAAAGTTTATGTGAACAAAGGGATCATTTACAAAACAAGGAATCCAACTTACTAACACTTAACTCACAAGAAAGTCGAGTAACGTGAAGAAAAGAAAAGAAAATGGCAATTTTGACGTTTATTTAGTTATATTAAGTTAAAATTTCACACACACACACACACATATTTAGTTATATTAAGTTAAAATATCTTTAGTTATATTAAGTTAAAATCTCACATATATATATATATATATATATATATATACATATATATATAGGGGGTGGATAATTGATGACAAAGTGAAAAAAATTGTGTGATGCATTTCATCCTTGAGGACTTTGGACTAAAGTGAAGTTTACGTTGATATAATTATATATGTGGATGAAGGAGGGCTGATGCTGAAATTTGAAATTTTTAAGTTAATTTTTTTAGGGTCTGTGTTTGGGTATATTCTAAACAATTTCGTTTAGTTTCTCTTTGTTTTTATCACTTTTGTTATTAAATATCCCACATAGTAAATTGCATTCTTTTTTAATTAAAGCGGAATTAAGTCAAAATTAATGTCAAACTCATTGCTGTGGGCAATTAATTTTGTATTGTTTTGCAAATGATCTTTGTTCACATGAACTTTTATTTAAATTCTTCGAGGTTTTTCATATGCATTCCTTGTGGAAATTATTATTAGCGGTATTAGAGCAAATTAATGATTATTATTAGCGGTATTAGAGCAAATTCCTCCTTCATGTTTGAGCTTATTATTATTTTGTATTAAGTTTTTAAATTGTTTCAGAAGTAGTTCTCACTGTAAGTATACAACCCTCACCCAGGCTTTCCATCAACCGGCCAATGATATCGCCCCAGGAGTCATTTCAATCACCGATATCGTCGGTTTTCACCGAAAACTTGGACGGGGAGCACGGAACTCTCTCTCTCTCACACACACACACACACACACATATATATATATATATAATATTGCTTGGAACTGGGCCTTTTGGAAATTAAAAACTCTGCTAAAATTGGTCTGAATATTAACGCGTTGCATTGTATTTAGTTAATGTTTATTACTTTTCTGATTGATTTTAGGGTGACGAAGGCGGTCCTCTCGTCTGTCGAAATATGCAAGGATATTGGTCAGTATATGGAGTCGTCAGTTGGACTTGGTATTTTAGAAAGAACTTGGAAACGCAATTGTACGCTGATATCTTTACGCTCCGAAAATGGATAACTGACAATATGATGAATTAGTAAGGAAAAAACAAAATCATGGAAATGAACGAAACAAACCCGACTATGTCCGATAAAAGGATTAAGGATTTATGGAAAGAAACGTCGAACTCGGCATTTTCTAAAATAAAAGAATAACAAAGAAATATTAAAAAAAAACTGATATTAAAACGTTAAATAAACTTTCTTCCTAATTATGTACTAACAATATTAAATAAATCTTATTTTGTTCAGTTGATCAATTTTTGGACATATTATAAAAAACCTATTTTGTAAAATCTAAAGATAAATAAATATTCTCTTTGCATGCAAGAAACACTATATCTATTTATATCACTTATATCTACGTAATATATACTTAAAATATATATATATATATATACACATAATATATATATATATATATATATATATATATATATATATATATATATATATATACGAGGGGTGCAAAAGTAATCAGAATCGTTTTCTGTGCGACAAGCCTGTAGTAGTTCAGGCTTCCGCCGCTAGATGCCACTTGATGCAACCCAGTGTGCTAACTGGTGTCATCGTGGGAAGACGTACAGCTCTATTCATCACATCGTTCAAATGAAAACTCAGCCGCGGAGACAACGCGGTCGTAGTGTAACCAACATAAATATTTTTTCCATTGTTTTTAAATGTCCTCTGGGAGATTGTATCCACACGACGACCACGTTGTCTCAGAGTTTTCATTTGAATGACACGTCCAACATTTCTAAACATTTACAACAGCATGCCTGCTGTCCACGTTCGCAATTTAGGATATATATATATATATATATATATATATATATATATATATATATATATATATATATATGGCATGATCTGGAAGCGTGCTCGTTCAACACAACTTTCAAATCTATTTCTTAGGAACGATAGGATTAACCCAAATATTCGTGACACCATAGCTCTTGAGCTTCCGTAGAAGGCTAGCATGCCAGCCTGAGCTTTACCATTTTGACCTAAAGCTTGACATTGATGGCGGTTAACACGTTGGTGGTAGACCTGGTGAAACGGAAGCCATATTGTTTGTCTTAAAGGAGGACGTGCGAAATAAGATGCTTAAACAATTTGGCATTGATTAGGGCCTCAAGTAAATTGCTGAAAAGAGGTAAGAGACTAATAAGGCGATAATTTGATGGGTCATGTTGTCCACCCGAGTTCTTAAAAAAGTGACTATGGAGGGGAACTTCCAACAAGCTGGAAAGCAAGAAGCAGTGAGACATTTGTTGTAAAGTTTGGAGAGAATAGCAGCCACTTCAAGAGCACGTTTTTTTAGAACGGCAACAGGGATCCTGTCACATCCGCTTAACTTGTGGGGATCACAATGATGTCTGTTGTTTAGAATGATGTTTGAAACCAGTGATCGGGTTATGCGTATATCAATTTGACAGAGGTACCCCAGAGAGTGGAATTGGAAGAGAAATTCCGGACAAAATACTCTTCCTTATCTGCAGTAGATGTCAATACTTCAAACTGATTGAAGAGAGGAAGGACAGAGGATTTGATATTATTCAACAAACTCTTATAGAACCGCCAGTAATCTCCAGAACCAAATTTGTGAGAGGCTGGACGAGGCCTCATTCTATGAGCAAATAGTGACTTTACTTCTTTACGAACACGATTGCACTCATTACAAGCAGCGATAAATATACAATCAGACCTGTCGCAGAAGTGATTCCTGTGGTCTATAGTAGATGAGCAAGCAAGTGGGAAGCAGGGTGATGATCGTGGTTTCACTTGAAACGAACGATTAAATGCTGGCTTTCATCCAGGAAGAGACCCTCAGTAGCACATTTCTGAACAGGATGATTAAAAATATCCTTCCAGGCGACATCTCGAACGAAGTCACGAATCGTATCAATCAGCGCGTTGATAACAGTTTTGTTAATGGGAGATTTGTGACTGATGGGAGAACGGATAGAGATATTTATAGACACCAGCACATGATCGGCGTTGTCAAAACGACAGAGCTGCAGATCACGGCAAGAATCTGGGCTGGAGTCAAGGAAGAGATCATCTAGATGATTCCAGCGCAGTCAGTGACTTTAGAGTGATTAAGCCACCTGACGATGATGGGTGAGTACTGAAAATCGCCAAACACAAATATATTTACAGGTGATGGAAAAGAGAAGGCTTTATCTATACTATCAGAAATTCTGTCAAGTATACAACAGTCATGAGAGAAAAAAGAATGATAGAGGAAGAAGAGATAGTTGACTGAGTTTAATAGAAACAGGCAGAAGTACATGTAAGAACAGTCCGGAGACTCAAAAAAGAGTCCCTTTGGCGGTGAGAGATGGTCCCGAATATAGACACCAAGGCCATGCATGTGGACATTAAAGTCCTTCCGAAAGAGAGGAAGATAGCCCAGAATAGAGAATTCAATGGGAGAAATTGAAGAATTCAGGTTAGTTTCACAGAGAGCTAGGATGTCTGGAAAGCGTGCCAAGAGGAACGATTCCACATTGCAGAAATTGGTACGAATAACACGAATGTTAGAGAAAGAAAGGCTGAAGGGTTTGGGTGTGTGTTTTTTTTTGGGGGGGTATTTTGGTATTTTTTTTTTTTTTTTTGATAGCTACTTTAGTTGAATTTGTTTTATTACTTTTGGTCATGTGTGGTTATAAAAGTGGAAAGGCCAAGAAGGCTGGGAATTGGCGCGGACTGCAACATAGTGTAGCCTTGATGCTGCCCACCGGAAGTGCTTGCAGGAAGACCTTTTCATGCGCGACATGACACTGGAAAAACACCGATATTATGTGGCTACCAGTCAGGATGCAGCAACTAGAAAACTGCCAACTCAGTACTCTCAGTATGAAGAGGCGTAGCTACCATCCACTCATATCACCAACGATTCTTGACAGCCACCATTATTAAGGCCTCAGAAGGAGAAAACCGGAATCCCAATCTTAAACAGGAAACAAGAAGTAATCATCTACTCCTGTTTAAAAGAAGAGGGAAGAGTATGGACTACTCCTATTTATTAAAAAAAAAAAAAAGACAGCATAACAAAATGAAAATTGTCTGTTAAGTTTTAACTTAGTCGAAATATCTATTACCAAAATAAAATTGGGTGGGGAATTAAAACTACTCTTATCGTATGAGGTCAATACCCAGCTGCGACAGTCTGTTTCGGCCTTAAGAACAATCATCAAGGCCTGAAGACTACGTTTAAGCATGAAAAAGACTGTCGTCGCCGAGTGTTGACTTCAGTGTTCACTTTTATATTTAAATACATTATATCCCTGATATTGAGCACTTTAACCCATAAATATAGCATATCTTAAAACACACGCATTATATATGTGTGAGTGTGTGTGTGTGTGGTTAATACAAATAATATTCGTCAGCCTTGTGGGTAATGAACTATTCTCCACAGACAAAACGTCACAAGCCTCTCAAAAACTCTAACGGCATGTTAAATGCTCAGACATGTTACATTCCTTAGTCCCACCATCTCGGACCTTCACAACCAGGACTCTCGCTCTGCTTTGTTCACAGCAGCAAACCATCCTCATCGTTTTCGTGTTCCTTTGGCAAGGAGTAAGTTTCACTCAGACTGCTTTTCCCAGAACTGTTACTTTGTGGAACAAACTCCCAAGAGGATACTTCCCTAACAACTGCAATCTTAACCTCTTCAAATCTAGAGTCAACCGTTATATATCCTACTTATGCTTATATCCACTTCCTACTTCGCAATCCCACTCAGTAATAATCTACTTTGAGTGGCTTTGGGGCCTTATATTGGGTAAAAAAAAAAGAATTATCATACATATAGAATAAATGCGTAAATTGCATGACAGTTCCAAAAGACATTATGAAGAGTAGTAAATTCTTTTGAGTTCTAATATAAAAATAATTTACAGTAATTTCACAAATCTTTTCTGAAAATCTTTAATTTCTAACATTGAATAAGCAGACATGGTTAAGTTGAATTGACAAAATTCTCAATAACAACAAGAACAGGGAAAAATAAAACAAGACAAAGAAGAAAATTAAAAACGGAAATAATGTTCATATGCAAAAGGGATACAGTCAAGTGATTAGAGCCTTTTGACTTCAATGGCTAAGACCAAAACGTGTTCAATTTTATTGACTAGGAAGAAATCCCACCATGCATCTGTAGGGTTTGTCTATAAATGTGTGGGGGGTACTTTTAGCATTCATTCCCAGATTGGAATAATGTGCCCTTTAATTCATTAACTGAACCCCTGATTTACAATAACCTTCCTATTCTTTGATATCTGTCTTCCAGTGAAGGCTTAAATATTTTGACATATCTTCCAAGATACCTGGTATATAAACTTTATTCTTAAATAACCCTTCAAAAATATCTCAAACAAAAAAATTTAGTAGAAATTTGCATAAAGATTATAGCATCCATTTTTTCCTCTTTAAAAGCAAACGGCAGTTTACCAAAACCTTTTAGTTATGCTAAAAAATAACCAAATTTACGATGTAAAAAAGGTAACAAAATAAAAAAAATATACATTTTATATGTAAACCTCAAAGCTGCATCAGAGACAATAGGGTCATTAAGACGTAGATTGGCGAACCACGTATTTCAATGTAATGTCAATTATTATCTTCTGTCTTCTTAATTCCTGTTCTTTTATTTATCTCTTCTCCAATAACATTTTTCTTTTTCTCATATACTTTAACATTCAGTAAAATTTTGTGTCTGTGTGGCTTTATTTAAAAAGCAGAGTCAATGCCATAAGAAAGTAACCGCCATATACAAGTGACTTCTCCCATGAGAAAAATTCCTGTAGATAACACAAGTCATTTTAAGAAAATCTAATTGTTAAAAACGTCTGAAGATAACTGAAGCACTTTGTATAAAACTATTCAGGCCAAGTTTCAATCAAGCCCTGTTTGAAAACGGTAAAACACGGAATTATTACTAATTCAACCCAGCATGGCTTAGAATCAATATTACTACTATACAACTTAGTATAGTTTCCCGTGTTTATGTCCTAACAATGAACCCC